AAACCACCTCACAAGCTTGTTATTCTGAATATAAAATATGTGGCAGGGGAGGGGGGAAGAGGAACTTAGTGTGCTAAAAATATAGCAAATATCAGAGCAGCTGAAAGCCTTGAGGGAATTTAATTTCTAAACCTTTTCCCCATAGCTAATTTGTTTTCCTTTCATAGTTTACTAAGGTTGGGGTTTTTTAAAAAAGAAAAAAAGTCTAAATATATATTTTATCCAGTCTTCCAGTCCTGTTTAGGAAAGGGGGAGAAAGGGTTGCTTAAGAGCAACTACTCTAATGCTTCTGAGCATGTGCAGAATGCCTACCAAAGGTATCATATTTCAGAGGGAGAAGAGTTGTTTTTTTTAGAAAAGGCAAATGGCATCTTACGTAGTACAATGAATATCAGCAAAAAGTCCAAATACTGGACACACACACACACACCCCCGACTTTGCAAACTCCTGTTTTGACAGCTTTTCAAATGTGCAAAGTTCTGGCTGCTTGGCAACCCTAGTGGGGAGCTGCGGATGAAGACCAACACAAGGCTGGATTCTGGCACTGTGGGATGGAAGGTAGATCAGGAATATGGGTAGACCTGGCATAGCCACCTAGGTCAGCCCTGGGATTAAATAGGCAGCATCTAGTTTCTGGGCAAGGATAAAGGACCATTAACAGCTGGATGAAGTTGAGCACAGACAAAACATAGACAGGAGGTCGGTGGAGGGTGGCCGACTCAGCTCCCTGGCCTGGGGTACATATGGCACTACTGAAGTGGGGTCTGATTTTGGATGTCACAGCATGCATGCTCCCAGCCTGGATAAAAATAGGTTTGCTCCCCGGGGACACAGGCAGTTGCATAACGGGGGCTGCAGTTCCAGAAATAAACCCCCTCTATTGGGGCAGCGATGGAAGAGGAGGTGTGGATATGCGTGTTGCAGCTTTGCTGGGGTGACCTAGATTTCCTGTAGCTTAAGCCGAGAAGGACGTTAATGCAATTTTTTTGTTGCCGCTAAAATCTTTTGCTGCCAGCCACAATCCTTAGCCGTGCCAGATCGAGAAGGTGCCCCTGGCACCCAGGAGCCCTTCAGTCGCTTGCACCGGACTCATGGCTTTTTGTTTGTCAGAATTTTAATAGCACCCTCAGCGCAGAAGGCACTTTACACAGTCCTCATTCTCCGTCTCACAAGAGCCCCGTGAAAGTACGCCAACTGGTGTAGCCACATTTTACAGAGGGGGGAACTGAGGCCATTAATGATTTACCCAAGGCCAGGGCTGGGCAAGGGTTTTAAACAGGGCAACCACTTCTGCAGCATGTTTACTCTGAAGTAAACTAGTTCTAATTTTGTCCTCCTGCTGCTGCTGAGTTCCATAAAGGGCAATGTTGGGACACAGGAGAGAGGAGAAGCCGACAGCCAGCGCTAGTCTCCTGGACTGGTTGTAAGGATGGATGCAGAGGCAGGTGAAGAATGACTCAGAGCAGGCTCTGGTGACCTCTTCAACTTAATGGAAGGCGCATTAGAAGACGCACAAGAAGTTTAGAAGATTATGTGTGGCATAGAAAAAGTGGTAAGAGCAAAGTTGTTAGGTGTTATAAGAATTCTAAGGTCTTATATATTTTTAATAAATGTTCATAAATGTACAAGGCAGACACATACATAAGTATATAAACCACGTGTCTGAAATAGTACAGGATAACAATCCTGAAGCCATTTTGACTCTCCCAAATTGACCTCAAATATTTATCTGAAAGGAGGAAGCAAATGGGAAAAGCTTTCCAGTTGTCTTTGGACTGTAGGGGCTCACACCTCCCTGTAAATACAGTCTTGGCAAGTATATGTTAAGCTGAGCACACTATCAATCTCAAAGGAATGGCCAGGCTACCCAGAAAAGGCAATCAGATAAGGCATTATCAGGTATCCTGGCAGACAGGAGAGAAGCAACACACTCATATTTCTGCTGGGGACCACCTCTTTCTGTGATGTATGTATGATGTTTTTTTTGGGGGGGCGGCCTTGAGCTACAGGGTAGGTGGTGCTTGCACACCAATGTTCTGGGTTCCTCCTCCCTCCTGCGTGGGGGGGGGTGAGCACCCTGTTGCAACAGTTTAATAAAGATAAGGCTTACTAGCTGCTTTGCTTCTCAATATTCTCTGGTTGGCCTCTGTTATTTTCTCCTACCGAAAGAAAACCTCCACAAGGACTCTATACAGGCTCTTGGGTACCCCATAAGGGAAAAGGAGCAGTTTCTTTTCTTATAACATAGGTAAGGTAAAGGACCCCTGGACTTTCAAGTCCAGTCAAAGGAGACTATGGGGTTGCGGTGCTCATCTCGCTTTCAGGCCGAGGAAGCTGGTGTTTGTCCACAGACAGCTTTTCTGGGTCATGTGGCCAGCATGACTAAACCACTTCTGGCGCAACGGAACACCGTGACGGAAGCCAGAGCACACAGAAATGCCATTTACCACTGCAGCGGTACCTATTTATCTACTTGCACTGGTGTGCTTTTGAACTGCTAGGTTGGCAGGAGCTGGGACAGAGCGATGGGAGCTCACTCCGTCACAGGGATTCGAACCACCAACCTTCCGATTGGCAAGCCCAAGAGGCTCAGTGGTTTAGACCACAGTGCCACCCGCATCCCTAGAAAAGTTGTTACCCTTCTCTCATAACACAAGAACTCATGGACAACCAATGAAGCTGAAAGTGGGAAGATGCAGGACAGAGAATAGAAAGTACTATTTCACACAGGACGTAGTTAAACTAGGGAACTCACTGCCACAAGAGGCAGCGATGGTCACCAACTTTTGATGTATTTAAAAGGAGGTTGGGCAAGCTTGCAGAGGACAAGGCTGTCAATGGCTACTAGCTTAGATGGCTAGGCTGTGCCTCCAGAGTTAGAGGCACTAGCGCTTCTGAATACTAGCTTGCTCCCAAGCCTCTTTAACGCTCGCTAGCCCCATAAATGCGATGCCCTGGTTGAACGAGGCTTATGCATATGTTGTGTACAGTCGGCAGCATTAAGAAAAAAAATTGTGTGGAGGGAAGCTAGTTTCAGCAGCAGACATTTTATGTGAATAATGTTGTGTGTTGCAGAATTAAACAAACGGGAGCAGTAAGACCTGAAACCCACAAACCTCCTACCCTTGCATTTTCTTTTGAGATCCCACTAGGAAGTTCCCCAATATGAAGCAAAAAGCAAGAACTCCCAAGATATGTGCTGAGACATTCTGAAGATACAGGACTTTTTTTTCTTTTCTTTTTTACAATTACCAAAGTTAATTTGTAATGGTTCAAAACACATGCTAAAGCCAGCCCTGAAATTGATGGGAGGTAGAATTGTCAACCTAAGGCCCCATCTCTGCAATATGCCTTTAAAGTAGCATCTTATCACTTTTAAAAAGTCGTAGCTTTCCCTAAATAATTGTGGGAGCTGTAGTTTGCAAAGGGTGCTGAGAGTTCTCAGGAGACCCTGTTCTCTTTGGAGCTCCAGATCTCAAGAGTGGTTTAACTGCCAATCCGGCTTCCTAGGGTACTCCGACAACTGTAGCTCTGTGAGGGGAACAACTTGTCAAGGGTTTTTAACAAACTACAATTCCCAGGGTTATTTGGTTTGAAGTGGTATGGTACTGCTTTAAATGTGTTGTGCAGGAAAGGCCTAAAACTGGGAAGAAAAACTCACTCAACTCACTGACCTGTAGCCAGTTCCAGACAAACACACACAGCCTAACCTGCTTCATGGGGTTGTTGTGAGAATAAAAGCAGAAGAGAACTACAGACATTGACCCTGCGCTCTCTGAAGAAAGTACATTTGCTTTTTTTAAAAAAGTTATCTTATGCACCAATATTGGTTGTTGGGTCTTTTTTTGGATCGGTTTGCAGGATGTGGGTACCATTTTAAGATGCTCTGCCTTTTCCAAAAGCTGTATGCCAGGAAAACAAGCAACTGGTATACAAAGGAGACCGATGGCAGCCAGATCTCTAGTCTGGTTGCTTTCTACTTGCAAGTAGGCAACCCAAGAGCCTTGAAGAGCATTAGAGGTAACATCCCTCCTGCACCTGTCACATGAAACGTAGCTCCAGCCTAAGGATGAATGCATCTGACACATGTCAAAGTCTGTAGAATGCTATATAAAGGCCAGGGTATTGCAGATATTAACAGGAAGGAAACAGAGCAAGCCAGACCCTTGAGCTGAAATGGAGGTGCATCTCTCCCTGGCTCTCATCTCTGCGGGGGGGGGGGGCAAGGTAGTCTGGGACACCCATTTGGTAGCAGAGAGCAGTAGCTTGAGGGTAGGTTCAGGTGGGAAATGGGTTTGCAGCTGCCTGCAAGAAGGGAAGGGGGGTGCACAAAACAGCAGGCAGCCAGGGACCTGGCTGTTATTCTCCCTTTTGCAGATGCCCCCAGTATCTAGGACTGCTGCTGAGGGAGATGCAGTCCTCTCCTCTTTTTCTTCTTCACCCGCTCTGACCTCCTTCTCCGACTCTGCAGCTGAATTCTTCCTCTCCCCACCTCCCCCCCTTTATGAATGAAACCAGGTTGCTGCAAGTGGCAGTTTTATGAATGCAGCTGGAGGCGCTGGGGACACGAGAAGAGGACAGAAGACCCAAGATCCAGCTCCCCCTGCAGTGCTGTGCGGAAGCTCCTTCTCTCTCCTTCCCACCCACCCCCTTCCCCATCCCAAAACCCACCGGTGGATGTCTAAGCAAGCAAGAGAGAAAAGGAGGGCACAGGAGCACAAGGAAAGCCAGGCACATAGCCAAGATTTGTGATACTGTGTGAATAGCCAGTTAGTACTGCATCACCACTTCCCTGCATTACTCTCCTGCAGCGCTGGGCGGGGGGGGGGGGGAGGAGAGGAGAGAGGAAAGCAATGCTGCTGCATTCACTGCAGTCGTCTCTTTTGCTCTGCTGCAGAGACTGTAAAAAAAAAAAGGCAAATTCTCAAGCCTGTTCTCTTTTTAAACCCACTGTGAGGTGAAGAAGTAGATGATTACTTTTCTCTCTCTCTCTTTTTTTGCAGAGGCTGAAGCTTGCCCTCTTTCTGCAACACGGACACATGCAACTAGGCCACTCTCGGACAGCAGCTTGAACACGCAAGGGTTAGCAACTGGATGGCCCTGGGGCCAAATCAGTCTCCTGAGAATGTACCATCTGCTCTCCCCTGCCCCTCCTCCCAGTTGCCAACCAAAATAGCTATGGAGAGGCCACCTCTCCCAACAACTGTCCTCCCTCTCCTGGGTCCCACAGCCTCCTTTCCAAGCCTCCCGTGGCCTTTCCGTCTAGCTCTTGTACACCCACATCCCATCCAGAGAATATCCCAATATCCAAGGGCTCTTTTGGCGCCAATCTTCTGGAATGATGAGCAGCAAAACATATACAGTACAGTGGTACCTCGGGTTACATATGCTTCAGGTTACAGACTCCACTAACCCTGAAATAATGCTTCAAGTTAAGAACTTTGCTTCAGGATGAGAACAGAAATCGTGCTCCGGCGGGTGTAGCAGCAGCAGGAGGCCCCATTAGCTAAAGTGGTGCTTCAGGTTAAGAACAGTTTCAGGTTAAGAACGGACCTCCAGAACGAATTACCACTGTACACTCTTTTTCAAACAAACAAACCCACATGGCCTTTTTGATGGAAACCTACCATGCTTGCAAAGCTTGGGTGGTTCCTTGCCTGCTTTTCTTTTCAAGCATCTTAGTGGCACTAGAAATCAGGCCCATGCAGAGTAGGGGGGCGGGCAGCCAGATACACTTGCTCTGGGCCTCGGACAACTAAGCTGACCAGGGCCCCCTGCTTTTTGGCTTGAGTTTATAATTTTATTCTAACAAGGCTCTGGCCCGAGGCCTCAGACACAGAAGGCTAGGAATTAGAAGCTTTAGGGCTCAAGTTTTATCTCATTATACACTACATAATTTAAATCCCTTCTCTGGAGTATTTGACCTATTTTGACCTCCCAGTGCAACCATACAGGCCAAAGGCAACAGCTCTAGTTTCCAAGTCCTTTCTTATCAGAAACCCCACATTCCTTCTAGATTGCCTTTTCCCCCCTTCCCTGAACCCAGGACTCTTAGCTAGGTCTTCCATTCTCCCCCATAAGAGTCCAATAACAACAGATAGGCTTTATTAAGCAGTAAGGCCCCAGAGTCATCCACGACTGGACCTAATGGTCAGGGGTCCCTTTACCTTTTAAGACAAAAACATTTGGTACTGCAGGGGTTAAAATCCATGAGTTCCGTGGAAGCTGGGGAGGGGTCATAGCTCAGTAGCAGAGCATGTGCTTTGTATGCAGAAGGACTCGAGTTCAGTTCCTGGCATCTCCAGTCAGGACAGAGAAGCGCCTTCCTGAAGCCTGGAGGGCCACTGCCAGGCAGTATATTGGAAGGGTTTCCTATGTTCCAAGTGACAACCAACAGCCGAGACCATTGAATCTACACTGAAAACACAGCGGCAGGGTAATATGATCTCACTTACCACTTGGGAGGTTAGGCTGGCTCTTGCTTTGTTTAGAGGTGTGGAGGCACCCACACTAGGGGGCAGAAATGAGTGAAAAACCACCTCATCTACCATACTTTACGGCATACTTTACCCAAACTTGGGTCTCCAGTTGTTGTTGGATTACAATTCCCATCATCCCTTACCCACTGGCCCTGGTGGCTAAGGACGATGGGAGTTGTAGTCCAGCAACAGCTGGAGACCCAAGTTTGCGAAACACTTCCTAAGGCAAAATGACATGTCGTGGTCTCACACAGACTCCGTGGTTTTCTACATGCACTAAGACACAGGTGTACCCTAGCTGCAAGTAGGCAAAGCTATTGTGGGCTTCTGTTTTGGGTAGCCTGGGAATTCCAATTCTGGAAGGAGCGGCACTTTGATGATTGAGGGATCTTTGGGAGAACCAAGGGATCAAACTAGTTTTAAATAAGCAACGCAGGCATATGCACTGTGGGAGACAAGAGGTCAGTGCAGCATAGCATTTTAGGAAGAAAGGGGAAACGGATGTCAAACACTCCCGCCCCTTCATTCCCTCACACCTCTCAGCTCAGCCTATCCAACATGAGCAGCTCGGAGCAGTTTTTCATCCAAGATACAGAAACACCAATGAGTGACACTACATTTTTAATGTTATGTTATAAAGGAAATGAAGGAGCCAAGGTAAGGGCCGAGAAGGATGCAGTTCAATAATCAGAAGTGGGGCATATGCAGACAAAGCATCGAACCCACTAGGCTGGAGAGGCACAGAAGAACAAAATCAGAGATCCTTTCCCCTCGTATCTCCAACTATTGTCAGTTCATAGGCAACCCACTAAAAAAAGGAATGCGGCAAGTAGGGAGGGAGACAATCTTCCAGCCAAGGGAGGGAAGCACAAGGAGCTACGTCAACAGGAACTCCCTGGCAAAGGACCAAGGAACTAAGAGCTCTGCCTTGCAGCCTCCGCTGCCGTAACCACCGACTCCATGTTCTTCTCAGCGAGAACCAAGCCTCCCCCCACCAACTAGCCTCTTGCTAAGGATTCCTCATTTCCAGTTGCTCTGATCTGCTGCCCCTCTTTTCTCTTTGCCAAAGAACTTGTGTTTCCTAGCTTTTGTGGGCTGAGGCACAGGTTTCATTAGCAACCGGAAACAGTAACAAAAATAATAATAAAGATGTCGCCATCAGATTGATGCTTAGTAGACAAGCCCCAAATGCCACAGAGGGAGGTGCGCATGACATAGAAGCAAAACAGGTACGTCACGAAAAAAGGCAGCGGGAACGGAAGGGAGAATTTAGGAGACTCAGCTGCAACACTTCAGAACCCAAAGTGGAAGAGAAAGGCATGGAGGCCTTCAACTTGCTCCTTTCTGTCTCTGCACATCCCGGGAAGGAAGTTGACCTCAAAAGCGAGCCCTTCCGCATTCTAAGAGATGGCCGTGCCCCAGTGCATTGTGGGAAAGGCACACTGAGCACTGGGGAACTCTGGAAGAACACAGCCGTTCCCAAGCCCTAGTTGCCTTTAGAGGTGATGTTTGTTTGACTAATTAAACCCCAGGGAGGAAAAAAAAACACACATCCCAAAGCCTCTACTCTGCCACCCTTCCCAGCCCTCACCCTTATCTGGTTAAAGTGCTTGTGTTAAGAAGATGGTGGTGGTGGCAGCAACAGCAGCAGCAGCAACAACAACAGGTTTTCAAGGAGAGAGAGACTGCGAGGTGGAGGCCTCCTCAGTAGGCAGGATTTCGATGCTGCTGTCTGGCTGGCTTGGGGAAACACTGTCCGTCAGCTCCATCTCCTGGGCCTGGCTGGGTGACAGCGGCTGCGGGGAGCTGGCTGTGTCAGTGCTGGGAGTTGGAGATTTGCCCTCAGAGAGCCCCAGCAATTCCTGGACATTACGGGGTAAATCCTGGGAGAAAGGGAAAACAGAGATTTGATTTGTTAGGAAAAGTTATCCCCTCTGGCTCACACCCGATTCAAAAGCACACTGCCACAGTGGTGTGGCTCGGTTTCACACAGCTTCAGTGGCATATGAAGGCTGGGACCACATGCAGACCGAAAACCCCCAAGTTCAATGACTGCCATCTCCAGCTGAAAGGATCAAATACGTAGCAAGAGAAAAGACCTCTGTCTGAGACCTTGGAGAACCACCAGCAAATGTGCCCTTAGAGCCGAATTCATTATTTTAGCTTCCTTTAATAAGATGTACAAAAAAGCAACAACAAAAACCAAACCCTTGAAGTGTGGCACATAAGAAGATTCCTGCGGGATCAAGACCAAATGTCAATCTAATCCAGGGTTCTTTATTGCCCAATGGCCAACCAGATGTTTCTGGCAACCCTCAAGCAGGGCCTGGAGGCAGCAGCCCTCTCCCCTGCAGGGTCCCCCAGCAACTGGTTTTCACGCTCCCTCTGAATGTGGAGGCTTCCCTTAGTCATCATGGCTCCTGGCCATGGTTGATAGAACCACTCTACACCAGCCAGTGTGTAGGGTATCATCACCTCATCCTAGGGGCAGTGAATTCTGTAGATTACGTATGGTATGAAATGCCAAACTGCGTGTGTTTCCTGAGCAGTGTCTTCAGCACCCCAGCTTAAACTTCCAGCATGCAGATAACAGTGGGGAAAGTTAACAGGGGTCCAATACCCAGAGTCTATGTTCCAGTGGCAAACAACATTCTTTGGGTCTCCTCCCAAAACAGGGAAAACCCTCAAAAAACAACATCATAAGGACTGAGAATGCTCATCGGACACAGAATACTGACTTACTACTGGAGGGGTAGGGGAGGGATACCAGGGTGTGTGGCAATGGAGTACCCTGGGAAAGGGTATAGCTGGCTGGCTCCCTAGTCAGCAACACTCCAGGCAGCAAGCATTTTTGTTTGTAAGGAAAGATGACATGCATGGCATGGAGGGCCTACTGTGCTGAGTTTTGGGGCCTCCCATTTGGCAACCCTTGTGTTTAAATCTGCTCTCAGTAGCGCTATATTTTGAAGCCACAAGGGGAACCATCTGCATTTCCATTTTGCTTAATGTGTCTCCCTGAGCAAGCGAGATGCTTGCTACCTTGTTCACTCGCAGAAGCTTGCTAGCTAGATCATGATTATTTTATGTATCCGTTTTGCTATGAGGTGGCCAAGGGTAAGGACAGAGGACTGTTGGCTTGCCCAGGGTGTGCAGCATTAAGGAATGCTTAGAGGCTCCACGCCTCCTCAGAGGATACCAAGGTACAGAGGTCTTCATTCATGCTGGACTGGGGGGCGGGGGGAGCGCAAGACTCACTGGAGTAGCTGCCAGCTGCCTGTAGATCGCCTCAGCCCGGCATAAGATGTCTTCCACACTCATCTTCATGGTAAGCTCATTGATGTGCTGTGAAAATGCAGACACAGAAATCAAGAAACTCAGAAGGCTAACTAGGAACAACAAAGAGGAGGGGGGAAACACACAAAGAAATGCACTTTTTTTGAGAGAGAGAGAGAGAGAGAGAGAGAGAGAGAGAGAGAAGGGCAGGTTGTGGCAAAGGGTTGATTATATATTTCTGGAAAATAGGTTCCAGTTATAATGCTACAACTGGAAAAATACAAGTGGCATTAGTCAGGAATGTGCTATGCAAAGTGGACTGGGAAAGCCTTACAGAGGAAAGCCAGGTATACAGAAAGGCAAAGGGCCAGGCTCAAGGTGCTCCTGGGGAAGACTGAGATCTGTGGGGGGAAAGATGAGCATTGCTCCTTAACCAAACAGATGGGTCGTATTATGGCTCGCCTGCTATCTAAGCGTTCAGCAGGAACTTTGCAGTGTGGTGCAAAGGCAGATTGGAGCTGGCAGAATGGAGCCGGGCCCAAGAAAACGAAGAGCCACGAGGAGGGCAGGAAGTGCGGGAGAATGAATGGGGCCCTTGGTTGTTTTGGCTTTTGAGCCTTCAGAGCAACCCTGACCATACTTTTCAGAAGCAGGTGTAGCGCATAAATCACCTTTTGCTTCTTTAAAGAAAAAACAACCACCTACGAATATTGCATGGCTTAATGTACTAGAGCAGGCATGGGGAATCTGCAGTCATCCAGATGTTGCTGAACCACTCCCACTGTCCCTGACCGTTGGTCAAGCTGGCTGGTGCTGATGGGAGTGGGAGTCCAGCAGCTACTGGAGGGCCACAGCTTCCCCATCTCTGTCCTCAGCCCACACAAACCCACACATGGCAAGAGTTAGGCCCCCAAGCTCCACAGTGCTCACCTTCAGGATCTCATTGAAGCCAAAGCCAGAGTTCATGAGTGCCTGCCTCTCTGCATCCAGAATGCCACAAGCCACCAGCAGGTGGAAATTGGGGCAAGGCAGTCCCGTCCACAGCACCTGGGATCAGAGGGACAGACACACGGCACATGGATTGAGGAAGCACGCCATAACCCATTATCAGGAGTGTTCTGTACCATACTCCCGGGTGTAATCCTCTGCTAATGTCTGGCTCTGCATTAGCCAGAGTGAATCTATTTCTAATGGGACATGCTGCTTGTAGCTGCTGGTGGGCGACGTCCCAGAAGCTGGAAGTCATCCCTGATATGTATTGGCTGGCTAGAAGCCTGGGCTTCCCAGGTCATGCTGTGTCCTCGAACTAAGCCCCAGACAAGAACACAGCTCAGGTTAGAGTAAACCAGCTTTAGCAAGATGCTCACGCAGCACTCCTCCGTCAAAGAAAAAGAGGGACAATGAGATTTCTACGTCTGCTCCCTGATACGGCTCGCCTGCAACCAAATAAGTTGCAGCACCTGCCTGCTTCATCTAGGGCAGGAATTAAGTGAGAAACAACATTTTGCTTTAATTTTTTTGTTTCCTGAACACAACCTTGCATACTTAGTGACTTTTTTAAAAAGCTTAAGTACATGGTTCAAATAACTAGGCTTGTTCTGATCTGGGAGACAAAAGGGGAGGCATGGAACCTTTTTTAGAACTAGGTGGTTAGAAACTGAAAGCTGGAGGAGCTATAAATAACCCGGACCTCTAAACCAAAGCAACTATTCCTCATGGCTGTAGCAAGGCTCTGCAGCTAAAGACATCTGATTTGTTTTAGGCTGTATTTACTAGTTCCAGTGGTAAAACTAGTTACTGGATGGATAACCATCTGATCCAGTTTACCAGATGATCTTTGGGGTTTGAGGGGAAGGAAGAGGGCAAAGGTCTTCCCAAGGAACCCATAGATGAGACAGCTGGGCTCTACCATCTGTACTGTCCAGGCACACACAAGCAACTCACAGGCACTCCCAAATATTCCTTCCAAGTTCTCAATATCCTGTTGGCCTGAAACTGCACCTATAGCGCTCACCCCTGGCAAATGGCTGCAGCGCACAGTCCAGGTGGTCCTCCTAGAGATCCTACGTGACATTTTGGGTGTGCCAAGGAGTACCTCTCAGCTTGCGTGCCACGAGCACTTCACCCCCATGCTCAAAGTGAAGATACAGGATGTGCCAGGCAGTTCTGTTCAGCTAACCATAGACTGAGGAGACCAAGGGGCTCATGGAAAGCCAACATGCCCACAGAACTAAACCCACCCAGCGATAACTAAGGGTTGCCTCTTATAGACAGGATCACAAGAAGCTGCCTTACACTGAGACAGACCATTTGTCCATCTACCTCAGTACTGTCTACACTGACTGGCAGAAGCTCTTTCAGGCAGGATTCTCTCCTAGTCTGACCTGCAGATTTAAGCCGGGACCTCCTGTATGCAGAGCAGATGTTCTACCACTGAGCTACGGCCCTTCCTGGTATATATAGCCCGACGGCTAGGGGATTGTGGTCAAGAGAAGTAAGAAGGATGCTGGCATCCCTGTGGAGCACTATGAGGATGCAGCCCTCAAGTGGCTTGTGGAAACATTTGGCTGGAAGGCTTAGAATGCAGTTACTTTGCTGAAGCTTAATACATCCAGGCCTGGCCAGAACTTAGATGAAGACCACCTGGGAACTGTATATGACTGGGAAGGGGGAACCTGTGGCCCTCCAGATGTTGACAGACTACAGCAGAGGTTTTCAACCTTTGTGAGCCCATGACTCACTTGACCAATTACATTCTTTCTGCGGCACCCCTGTGGGGCTCAGGAGCCGTTATGTCACCCCCTGCCTGCAGAGCTCACAGCCTTTCACCTTTTTTCAAACACCCTCCCATGTGGAGTGCTGCCTCAGCCTCCTCTCCTTAGGAGTCCTCTGGGCAGCCGCAGCTGCTGCCCCTGGTCTCTGAGCTGCCCCCGCCCCAAAGAGAGGTACCTCCTCACACTGCCCCACAGGGACCTGGGAAGCGCCCCCTGGCCAGCCCCAGATGCACCATTTGCCTGGGGAGCTTGTAGCCAGGGCTACTGCAACGAACAGCTGTGCAAGCCTTTGGGAGGCAGAGACACAAGAGGGTATCAGAGGAGGGAGGGAAGGAAAAAGGGACAGAGGCCAGTGTTGCCTGCGGCACCCCTGACTGTCATTCACAGCACCCCAAGGTGCCACGGCACACTGGTTGGAAACCACTGGACAACAGCAATCATGCCTTACCATTAGCCAAACTGGCTGAGGCTGCGTTCTTCAGAAAACATCCCCCCCCCCGCTGCCTTCTCTACTTTCAAACCCCAATATTGCAAACCAGAAGTCTGATTATACTCTCTCCTGTTCCCATTTTTCTTGCCTTTCCAATGCTGAAATCCCATTATAACAATGTAACTTATGTTTTCCCCAGGCAGAGATCCTCTCCCCACACAAAACAAACAAAAACAAACCCATTTCTCTTAATTCAGTCTCACCTCCCATAGCTGAAGAATTTCAGAGAAGGCAAATTCCCTCTTGAACCAGATCAAGATCCATCGGAAGCAGAAGCAGAAGGTGCCAGATTCCTTAGAGTCTGAGAGAAGTAGCCAAGAAGGGCAGGAGGAGTCAGTAACAGATTGTTTTATACAATCAAGAATTCCAAAGATTAAGAAATGCCTCACTTGCTTCAGTCTTTGCTTCCTTTAAGCTTTCAAAGGAATTAGCCAGAGACTAAATGAAAGAGCCCCCAAATAATTAATTGAACCCCTACCTACACCCTTTTATTGAAACCAGTCAAAATGACACACAACTGTGGCAAGCTTTTGAGTTATCCAGAACTCTTCATCAGGTAAGATGTTATACAAAGCTGGGGAAGTGAAGAAAAGTAAAAAGCAAAGAAAGTGGTGATTTTGTAGCCAAGAGCTCAGTTTGTGGACCTGAATAATTGGGGGCTCCAAATTCACCTACTATATTTCATTATTAAAAACAAGCACCCGCAAACAGGAGACCTGTCCTTTCCAGACAACATATGTTAAAACCACCCAGCTTTCAGCAGTCCCAGAACTAGGCGCACAAGTACCTAGGAAGTCGCAGAGTGGGGGGTCCAGCACCCTGAGGAGCAAATTGAGCTGAGACAGCTGTCGCTTCATGGACTCCTGGCTTTCTTCAAAATTGCGGTGCTGTGGGCAGAAAGTGAGAGTACACGGACAAGTTTATGGAAAGAAGGTGACATTTGGAACAGCTGCAAGGCCCTTTCTGAGCTCTCCCAGGCCATGTACTCACCACCAGCTCCATAAAACCACAGAAACACCAGAAGGCATCCACTTCGTTCTGGGTGACGTAGAGAATGGGGGACAGGAGGTCGCTCATGCCTTGGACGTAGCCTGTGCAAGGAAGCAAAAGACATGAAGCCACTGGGTTTTACAGTTGAAGCTGCAGGCCCACCAAGTTATTTTCTCTTTCTACTAGGGTGTTGCAGAATGACGGGATGAGAGATACAATTACGGGACTGGTGAGGGTTCAGAGTGCTAAGAGGACCCATAAAAGACTAGCTGGAGAAGTCTGCAGGGCTGTCTGCATTGTGCATACTTCTCAGCATGGAATTCAGTATCCCAAGTATTTCAGTTTTCATTTTCATGGGGGGGGGGGGAATGAATACTAGAGTCAAGTTTCTAGTCCACGTGGCTGTGTGAAGCTTGAAAACAGGTGATGGGTTTATTTTAGCACAGAATACACACAGCAGTACTTGGGCCCAAGATCATCAAGAACAGGCAACTGTTGGGGTAGCCTAGACCATTAAGGGAATCATCCACAAAAGGCACTCTTACTGCAGACTAGCCTCCCCCAATGTGTTGAGCTACAGATGCTATGGACTACAACTTCCATCAGCATAGAATGGCAGCGCCAGCTGGGGCTGATGGGAGTTGTGGTCCAAAATCTCTGGGTTTGACTAGTGAGGGGTAGAAGGGAATGTAGCAGCATCTGAAACAGTACAAGCCCCTTGGGACACCATGGGAGATTCTGGAATGCATTCTGCTGCCACTTAGCATGACCAGATCAGAGATAGTACATACCCCCTCCAAACTAGCAAAAGGCTGCAACAGTCTTCCCTGTGCTGGTGCCCTCCAGAGATTTTGGATTACAACTCCCCTCCCCCACGGTAATTAAGGGGCCCTCATAGGCCAAGCTAGCCAAAGACTCCCGAACCTGAGCTGGTTCTACAATGGCACACTGCTAGCGTTCCCTCCCCACCTCCAGACTCACCCAGGTCAAAGTTGTACATGCAGTACGTCATCAGCACGTCATTTAGGAGCACTAGGCCAGGGTTCTCGCTGCCTTCATAGAATTTGTTGTTCCTATCCGTGCGGCTCACGTCTCTTTCTGCAAAGGCAGACAGACACCCCCACGAATTATCCATAAAACTCGTTTATTGCCTTTCTGCCAAAGGCCACTCAAAGCGATGGCGAATACAGGACAGTAACGAGGCAAATGAGCAAGAAAAAGTAGCAACACACAGCTGAGAGGAGCTGCAGAAGCACAACCCCAGGAAAAGCTCCAGGGGCCCCCAGCTCAGTGGCAGAGCAAAGGCTTTTTATGCAGAAAGCTCCAAGCTAAAGTCATGGTACTTCCCCTTAAAGGGGGGGTGCACACTTAACGCCATGTTTTGAAAGTAAGACAGCTTGGCTGTCCTAACACCTTTATGGAAGTCTATGGAATGGTCACATTATGGGGCAGAAGACGGGGAGACCAATAGCAGGTGGAATCAGAGCCAATGAGAGCCAACTGATTTTGGGAACACAGGAAGGTGCTTTATGCAGGGTCAGTCCACGGGTGCAGCTACCTACAGTGACTAGCAGCAGCCCTCCGTGGCTTCAGACCAAATTCTCTTCCGGCCCCATCTGGAGACACTGGGGATTGAACGTGGGACCTTCTGCATGCAAAACAGAGGCTCTGACTATTGTGCTAGGACCTTTGCCCAGTCTAGTTTTGTTCCCATCCAGGGTCCTAGCTAAGGGCAGAATGAGTTTGGCAGGGCAGTGCTCCATTTGCCCTAAAGGACCCACCTCCATTGCTAGTCCCGTCCTTTGAAAAGATCTATTTTAGAGAAGGAAAAGGTGCAAAAAGCCAAGCAGCCAAAAAATAAAGGAGCTGAAGTACCTCCTCTAAGAGATGAGACAAAAGTGTTTGGATCCATTTAGTTTAGAAAGAGATGATTGGAGCAAAACGGAAGTTTATAAAGTTATGAATTCTGTGGGGAGAGAGAGAGAAAGAGCGAGATTCTCCCCCTCCTCCCACAATCCTGGAATGCAAATGTCACTTAAATTGATTGGCAATCGATGCAGGATGGATAAAAGAAAATGGCTCTTCACACAATGCATAATTCATCCATGAATTTTACTGCCACAAGATGTGGTGCTGGCTGCTGGCTTAGATGGCATTGAAAGGAAGATAGATTCATAGAGCACGGGTTTTAATGCTCTCATTTATCAGCTAATAGCCACAACTGCTAAAGAGAACATTCATCCTCAGAAGCAGTATATCCCCCTCTTGCATTCCTGTTGCTAGAGAGAACTGTTGCCTTCGCTTCCTGCGAAGGGTTCTCTTAACGCATCTATCTGGCCGGTCACTGCTGGAAATAGGGTGACAAAAAACTAGGTACCCCTTTGGACTGATCCAGCAGGTCTCTTGCATATGGACTACTTGTTACCACGAAGTGTTTTTATGATCGCCAACCTCTTGCTGTGTGCACACAAGGCTGTGCTGTCAGGCAGGGGAAAGAGGACGGAAAACAAAAACGAAGCAAGAAAATATCTTGTGACAAAGAGGGGTGTTGAACTCCTAACAAATGAGGAACAAGAGCCAGAACTTATACTGACCAATCAGGCTGCGGTAGCCACGCAGCAAGGAGTTCCGCTGTTCCTGTTCCTCGCTGACCGACTTCCACTGTAGTTTCATGCGGAAGTACTCATCCCTGTGGACACACGTGGGAAGGAAGTTGTTAAGAGAGTTCAGAGGCTTAAATGCTGACCCACAGACTGATCGCCTCCTTCCAAACCCCAGTTCCAGTACTCCTTTGGCTTCCCCATAACCCTGACCCAGACTTACGTTTTCCTCCTCACTTGTGCCTTGTTCTCTTCACTGGTGTTGTCCCATGAGTAATAGCCCAAAAGGCATTTCCAGGCTTCTTTGCGTGATGACATGTTGAGACCCTGGAAGAGGAGCACCGGGGGGAGGGGGGGAGAGAAGGTGAATTAGGCCAAGTGTCAAAGAACGACACTAAGAAATTGGGAAGGAAACCAACACGGCCCCACGCTGCATATATCCCTGGCCTGACAGGCAGCCACTCGCGCTTCTGCACAGACCCCCAATTCCCCCTGCAAACAACGGCCTCTCGCTCTCTCCTCCCCACAGGCCTCACCCCAGCGAAGATCCTTCTGCGCAAGGCAACGGGGTCCCTCACACGCCCATCTGGGTCCAAGTGCTGCTCCCATTCCTGCTCCGAGACGGGAGCCTCCCGCTGGACAGACGGACGCTCTCCTAGCCGTGCCTGCTGCCGGGGCAGAAAAGAGGAAGGAACTTAAAAAGAAGTGTCAAGGAAAGATACCTCCCAAGGGGTATGGAGAAAATAAAGGGGTGGCAAGTGAGGGGGAGGGGACCTCTCGTTTATGTTGATGCATGCCTGCTGAAAAATCCCTGCACCGCTGGAAGGATTGGAATAAACTTTCTAGGGTGCCTGCCTACGTTTGGGTCTAGACCAGTGGTTCCTAAATGGTGAGATCCACGGAACCCAGGGAGTCTGCAAAACCTACCCAGGGGGTCCGTGGCACATAATAAAACAACTACCATAGCGCAACAAAAACTACCACAGAGAGACCAGAATTTTCAAAAGTGGGGGTCCATGGCTTGGCTTTTGAAAAGCAGGGGGTCCACAGCACTTAGCTAATTGGGAAGAACTGGTCTAGAAGACAAGCAGAAATCACTTCAGATTGGTGCATGCTGTGGAGGAAGATCAGCAATGGTGGAAAGCTTACTTTTACACGTTTGCCCACTCTTACAGATCCTCTTGCCTTAGATTCCCCAATAAGCTTCTGCAGAACACGAGGGTTCCATGCAGAACATGGAAGGTCAAGGCCCTGGATTCTGCTCCAAGGAAGAATGAGGTCAACAGAGGCCTTGCCCCACTCACATAACCAGCACAAACCATCTAGACGAGGCTAACTGCTTCAACCACCAAGCCTGCCTTGTAATGTTGTAGTGTGATGGTGGTGGGTTTGGGGTGAGCATGACGTAAATCTCCTTAGGCCTCTGTGTGAATGGATTGCTTGGTCCTCGCTCAATGAAAAGAGCTTTCTTGCAAAGGGGCTCATGTCCACCCCTCCATCTCTCTGGCATTCACCCCCATTTCCTTGCTCACATTCTCCCACAACCGCTCCCAAATAGTCACCTCTGATGCTATCATAGGCCAGTAGGCGTGAGCGGGTGGCTGGGAGTAAGGAAAGATGGCCAAAGATCTCTTGGCCTACAGAGAAGCACACACAAACACACATACACTGGGTGCCATTCCTCTCCCCCTCCACCGCCCCACGGTGGAGCTACCTGTTCCAACACTCACACAGGTGATAACTTCAAAGCCTGTCTCATCCTCAACGTTGGCAGCAGCTGGGTCGCCATGGGAATGCTGGATGACGCCATCCTCATGGTGCAGAGCCCCACGGAAGAAGTTGGTGACTTTGGAGAAGCCACCGAACGTGGCAGCATAAGGATCCTGCAAGAACCGCTAGGGAAAGAGAAGGTGGCTTAAAAAAGAAGAAGCCACATATCACCTTTGGCTTGCTGCCCAATTCTAGCCTTGCTGAATTAAGATTCAATTTGGGCTTCTCAGCTCTGCATCAATAATCAATATTCCAGATACAAAACACCCACCCACACACCCCAACTTTTTACCATTACTGCCTTTCTGTTCTAATATAAACAAATAAACAAATAAACAAACAAATAAATAAATTGGTAATATATATATTACCAAACTTAAAACCATAGAGAGACCTGGTCTGAATAGAGACATTGGATTCTTATCTCATTACACATGAGAAAGCTATTTTTAGCCATCTCACCCCTTGCTTTTTCCTGTAAGACCAATTGCAGTCATTAACAGTCGTCAACAGATTTACCACACCCATCAGCCAATCACCCATTCCCACCACCCTTCTGAGTAATACCCCTCCCCACCCTCTCACTATATATAAGGGTCTGGTGACTTCTGTTTCAGTGTATCTGAAGAAGTGTGCATGCACACGAAAGCTCATACCAGTAACAAACTTAGTTGGTCTCTAAGGTGCTACTGGAAGGAAATTTTTTATATTGTTTCGACTACGGCAGACCAACATGGCTACCTGCCTGTAACTTGTACTAATATAATTCATTCAAGGAAACCCAGGAGCCCATGTTCCCATAACTCCCTGCTCTAACCAGTGTCAGCACCTACAACAGACAAGTCTCCCTGTTTATAGCTTTTGTCCCTTCCCACATAATCCCACTGCCACAAGTCTTTAGATTTCTCCCACAGAGCCAGGCCACACAAACACAGCCTCTCTGCATTCTAATCCTCTACAACAGTGGTTCCCAATTAGCGGTCTGCGGACCCCCGACCAGGAGGTCCATGGCACATATCCATCCTGTTTTGGGGAGTCGTGCTCTCATGCGGGTCACATGACTCATGCAGGAGCATGGCCTGGAAGACACGCGTCTCTGTTTTTGCACTGGGACATGTTGGAGGGTATGGTGGCACCATTCACATAACAAAACTACCAGAGAGATATCAACATTTTCAGAAGTAGGGGGTTCCATAACTTGGCTTTTCAAAAACAGGGGGTCCGCAGTACTTTGCTAATTGAGAACCACTGAACTAGAACTTAAGTCACAGTTGCAGAGCATTTTGGAGAAGGGCCTCACCGACACAAGGTTGGAAGAGCTGTCATCGAAGAGTTGAAGCTCATCGAAGGAGTGGGAGAGGGCGTACGAATCGTGTGTGTAAACCAAGTAGAGGCGGGAATCTTTGGGGGAGCTGCAAGGCGAGAAGAGAAACCAGAGTGAGTTTATTGCCTTCCAGACACTGTTAGGTTATCTGAAGGACCACTGGCACCTGGACAAGCTGCAAAATTAGCGAAATCAGAGACCCTCCTTTCAGGTCCATGAGTGAATGAGCACCATGGGCAGGGCCTTTTCAGTGATGGCTCTACACATCACATCCCCTCCCTAAGGAAGGCCTCATCATTGTTGCTTTTAAAAAGCAATTGTGAAAACATTTTACGCCAGTCTGAGTCCAACTAATTTACTATTATGGTTTTTCAGTTCAGAACTGAGTATTGTATGTATTATTTTTCTTCTTTAATCTGCAGTGCTGGGGAAAGTGCTCCCTGCCTCCAAGTTCGTGCAAACTGACTGCCTCAATCCTGAGTAATGCAGCCCAGAAGTTGAAGGCTAGTTGGGCAGCACCTTCCACATCTGACTTAAGAGCTTTCTCTTTACTTCCACCGCTTTATCTTTTGAACAAATAAGGTACCCGGCACCACCCTCACTCACGTGGCTAAGATAACGTATTTGCAGAGGGCCTTGAGCAGGGCTTTGGTGCCTCCACGGTGGAAGTGCAGGGCTTGAATGGAGATGCCGTCTTTGGTGATGAAGATGAGGTATGACCAGCCCAAACCTGGCTTGCTCTTGCGGATAGATTTCAGCTCAGACAAGCTGAGGGAGAAGGCCCACTGACCACGTGGGACCGGAGATTTGGGCCCGGAAGCTACTGGAGAGGGGAAAGCCAAGCACAAATATAAAAGGGATGATGTCAAGAGAACCAGAAAAGAATATCCCACATTTGCCAGCTACTTCTTCTCCCCTACCTCCATCCTGTATCCCTTGTTGCATCTTTACCAACAATCCCTGTACTATGCCACTTAAGTATACCAAGGGGCAAACATCCCCGTCATCTTTTTGATTACCATTTGTTTCCTCTTGAGTCCGAGCCCGGGTCCCCACTGTACTGATCACAGCCCAGTCCGGTTCATACCCCGGATCAAAGATTTCTTCTTCAGTCTGGCAGCCCACTGGGTCCTGGAAAATGGAAAGAGAGATCAGGGCTTTCAGAAGCTACCCAATTCCTTATATTTCATCATGATCTTCAAGGAGGTGCTCACACAAATTATGAATTAAATGGAATACACGTTGAACTCTTGGTCTCACTGAGAGGAATTTGAGTGTGGAAGAACAGACTCCTCTTTAAACAGAAGTACATTCCTGTCTTTATGAACATTAACAGACCTGAAATTGCCCTGCTCCCTTTCTGCATCACAATGGAGGGGCTACTTCCTAGGATGAGAAATACAGGATTCGCTAAACACAGTCCTCCTTGTTAGGAAAAATAATAATGCACTGTTATATGTAAAGAGAATGGGAAACAGTATAGAAGATCATTCCCCATCCTGAACAAAACCATAAATGAGCATCTAAAGATATAAGCGCTTCCTTAGGGTGTTTCTGTCTTAAAACATAAGAATTAGTAATACTTTGCATACAGAAAGTCTCAGTCCCTGGCATTTCCAATTAAAGAGATCTAGTGCAGGAGGACTGAGAAAGATCTCCGTCTGATGCTTTGGAGAGCCACTGCCAATTGTAGTGGGCAGCCCTGAGCCAGTTGTTTGACTCAATATAAAGCAGTTTCAAATGTCCAACATTTCTGCTGGTCTAACTATATCACAGGATACTTTTTCTGTGCTACCATTTCCAGGACTGGCTCTGATCAACAGAGGGGGAAAAGATGGCATGCTTTCTAGAAAATAGAGCAGCAGAGAGCTGGCATATCCTCATCACTTCATTCTCCACGATCCTCCTAGAGAGGGGGTGGGGTGGAGAAAGCAGGGAATAGACCCCTGTGTGCAAATCATAAAGCAGTAAAGGCACATTCCTGAATAACATTTGCAGCTTTGTGTCCTGGTTAATGGGAATGAAGCCCAAGACAACTATCTAACTACACCAACTCAAATGGTGGAGCAGTCTCAGCAGCTGCTCCACAGTCCTACAGCTCTTTCCCCCAGAAACCAATTTAAAAATCTGCTATGGCAATGTGATATGAAAAGAACAAGGAAACTAAAACACCAGTTCCCATTACAGGCAAAACTTTTTAATGAATCACTAGTCTAATTAATGTTTTATTTAGACGATGTTTTATTACTCAAGTTATTAGGACACAATGTGATGAAGATTTAATATACCAGTAGAAGTTTATACCAGCAAGAAAGAGGGCCTCACCTTCTTGGTATATGTGATCTGAGCAGCATCTGATGACTCTTCTATGGGTGTCCATTGTAGCAAAGTATCCGAGCCCTGAGTAAATGGAGAAAGACAGTCTCACGAGAGTGTCATGAAAAAGATATCCATAACTGTGTACACACACTTTACTAAAACAATCCAGATGCTGTAACAAAGCAATCTGAATTTGATCACCTAGATGATATAAGTTTAAGGAAAGTCAAATAGCATTACTGATTCTCCAAGCCTCAGGGAAGAATAAGAAACTATATCGAGCACAAAGGATTGCCACCTCTGTATACCTCTTCCTTCTCCTACGAAAGTGACTCATCCCCAATTAGTGGAAAATCTGTTCAAGCCTACACCCACACTATATTCCAAGATGTCACCAGGTACTGCCTACACCTTTTCACAATGTCACCAGGCACAGCTTACAGTTTTTCAAGCCTACTTCTGAAATCACGAGTGCTAGGAACACTCTTTAAAATCAAAGCCTGATGTACTCAGAATGCTGAAATCTATACCGACCAAATTCTACCACCCCACACCACATGCACTGACCTTTTTCCTATCTTGGGTGCACAACCCTTCCCTCATCCCTTTTCCAACTCCCACCTGTATCCCACCTCAACCAACCTTCTCGATTATGCGGATAACCCCCGGAATCAGGGAATCCTGGTCAGGATGACGCTTTGCGCTGGTGTGTAAATAGACACCATCCTTCTCAAATGCAACCTGAAGGAGGACAAGAAAAAACAGGAGGTCAGCGCAAGAAGCAGGTTCACTGGAATCCCCACTCACCTCTGTAGAATGCAGCTGGGGAAGGGAAGCCCTGCCTCAAACTAAGGCCGCTGGAACATACTTTATGGCCCCCTCAATAAACACTAAAGTAAGAGGAAGGGCGACTTTATAAAGACAACTCAGAGCAAAGGCCTTTTAGGAACTTCCACCCAGGAAGGGAATCAGATTCCGCTTCTCCCCACTAATTATCCAGCTGAGGGGACGAGAGAGCCGCTCTACCAACCTCCCACTGCGCTCAAGAGGAGGAAAGAGACCCTCCCGCTCCGCTCCTGGGGGATAAATGTGAGCTCTCCGAGAGAGGGGAAACCCAACCCTCCCCCCAAGCCTGCCCTTCTCCGAGGAGCCTGGCCAGCCCTGCCCCACTGCGGGGAAGGCCTCCCTCACCCTGCAGCCCCCTAACTCCATTCTCCCTGACAGCCACTTCCGGAAAAACAAACCGTCAGTTCCTGCTCCATTTGCTCCACCCTCTTGGTTAGGCCGCTTCCCACCCACCCCGGCCGCCATCCTTGTTTCTGGCAGAAAGCGCCTCAGCAAGGAACGCTTACGGGCGCCACGTCCGCGGACGCTTCTGACGCCATCTTGGTAGAGGGCAAGGTGAGAGCCGCGGCTTTGCGATCTTTCCCGTCTGTGGGCAAAGTGTACCAATCGAATTATACCACAGCCGGGCTAAATAGAAATGGGCTTTTATGCTTAGATACGGGGTGTGAACACTTTCTAACCGACCGCAATCAGAAAAAAACAATTAACGCCACAGCGTATCAAACGGAGGGAGGGAGGGGAGAGGAAAGTGGACGCACCCGCCATCTTTATATAGGGCAAAAGAGTACAGCGGGAGGGGCAACCGCTTCCTACCGTCGCCTTTATCGAGGAGGCGAACGCCATTTACGCGTAGAGATAGGAAAAGGGTAGAGCGACGCACAGTTCGCAATGGTTCACCCACTTCCGGGCCAAACCGGAAGTGCTCTGCACGAAGTGCAGATTCTGTCCCGAAGGCACCAAGCTGAAAAGCGCCCTAGAAGAAAAGGATGGGCGGCTTTCCCGTTATTAATGGCCGTTCAGACCTGAGTGAAGTTAAATGGCAGCGCCGTTTTGGCAAGGGGGCAGCACCGAGCCTCTTCCTCCTCCATCCTTGCACGGAGCGCCTCGAAGGAAGGGCGCTCCCGGCTGCGGCCCTTGCCCTGCGCACGCTTACCTGAGAGCAACCCCCTCCCCCCTGAGCGCGGCAGAGACTGCCTGAGGAGAAGGCGCCTTCCGTAGCCCTGGGCGGGGCCAGCCCCTCGCTCTCCGGCCTCCATCTTTGAATCGGGCATGAAAAAACCCCTCCGGCCCTTAAAAGGGAGGGAGGGGGCGCTGCGCTCTTTTAGCTCCGCCATCTTCGTAACGGGAAACGTGCGGGCGCCTCTCTCATGCCTTGTGAGGGCAGAGGGAGTGGGCGGGGCCTCCGGGGGGAGGAGGAGGCGGTTGTTGTTTGGAGGAGGAGGGGGGCCCATAAGTGTCTTGGGGAGGGTCAAAGGTGAGAGGTCAGGGTTCCGAGTGGTGGCCCCCGAGGGGGGTGGGGAGGCTTCGGCGGAGGAAGAACTGAGAGGCGCTGGCAGGTAATGCAACCCTTTCCCCCCTCCCTCTGGAGCCCTTCTTGGAAGGGGAGGGGGGAAGGTGTTTGTTTCTGTCCCCCCTTCTTCCTCCTCCTCCCCCCGTTAGCGTTGTTTGTCTGGAGATATTGTGATCTGCCGCCCCCGCCCTCAAAGGGATGAACGTGCGTTTTGCCGTATTGCTGGAGCAGAACCCAGGAGTCCGGGCTCCCTGTTTCCATCCCTCGCTGCGACCCGTTAGAAAGGACCCCACTGTCTACTACTCACCCACCCCCAAAAAGAGAGTCCCAGGGTCTGGGTAGGGGTAGCCTTTTCTGCCTGCCCTTTTCTGGGGACCCTGGAGACGTTGCTTCTTGACCCTCCCTGCTTAAATGTGCTAGTTTACCTTCCTTCCCAATGGCAAAAGTTTCTCCTGATAGATTAGGCAGCAGTTCTCTTTAATAAGAATGATTCTTGTTTCGATACAAATGCTTACAGAAATAGTGGGTAGCAGGTGCTGCTTTAGAAGAGGCATTATATGCAATTCTCTTCAAATATGGTCCATGCGTGTGGTCAAAAGGAAAGGTTGTTGGGTTGCCTCTCAAGTACTGTTTCATCCACATAACTTAAGCCAATTTAATATGTATTACAGTCAACTAAAGCCCTTAACATTTCCCCAGCTGCTATTTCCATAACATTAACGTGTGTACCCCTTATCTTTTTTGTTTGCCTGTAGGATGACGAACATGGCGGATAACCACAAGGAGAGCTGGGCGGCCCTGGTTGCTGCAGCAGAACAGTACCGGCGTCAGACAGGCAATGAGATAGTGCTGCTCACCGCCTTCAGGGCCCCACCCCCTGGTGGCTTCAGCTACGCACAGCATGGAAGTGGGGCTCTGGCTGATGCCGTTCAACGCTACCTCGAAGATATCGCGGTGGTTCACAAGACCACCGCCTTTACCTATGCTGCCCGTCCTCCTTCTGCCCCCCGCCCAGGTCCCACCAACGGGTCTTACTCCAGGAGCTGCCCCTCTACCAATGCCTCAGATGAGCCTGCCCCACACAGGACACCTACCCCCCAGGGGCCCTTGCCCCAGGCTTCTGGAGGCCAGGAGCCCGAAGAGGAAGACGATGAAGGAGACAGGAACACATTGACAGAATTGGAGCAGCCAGGTGGGAGAGAGCATCCCAGTGACACCACTGGTACGTCTATGTGCAGTCGGTGGTTTGTTTGTGGAAAAAATATATTTATCTTGGCTTTCCTTAAAATGCTTACAGTGGCTGTCAGTAGCATCATTGAAATGCTGTATAATCACTAAAAATGGGGAGTGATAGGCAACATCTTAACAAATAACGCAAAAAGTCACAGCAGCCAGAAGTAAATTCATTAAAGCAACATTCACACCATACATTGAAATCACAATGATACCATTGAAACAGTTGTGGCTTCCCTCAAAGAATTCTGGGAGCTGTAGTTTGTTAAGGGTGATGAAAGTTGTTGTGAGATCCTACTCCTCCCCCAGAGTTTAAAAATCTTTGTGATTTAAGAATCAATCCCTCTTCCCAGGGAACTCTGAATTGTAGGTCTGTGAGAAGAGGAGGGGTTTCTTAACAATTCTCAGTTGTTACCCTTAAGCTCCCTTTAGTATCGCAGTGCTTTAAATAAATGGTGTGAATGTGTCCTACATTATTCCTGCCTCCCAGGAGCTGCTGCTAGGACTGTCCCTTCTCAAGTAGCCTGGAGCATTCTCTGCTGTGGATGTGTCCCCAGAGGAAACCACCAGACCTCTTTCAATTCAGGAAGGCAAGCTTTGCAGCACTAACACTCACCTGAATCAGTCTGCATAGGATAATGCTTGGTTCAAAGCCATTATTATTATTATTTCATCCTCAACAAGAGTTTGTTCCATGCATGAGGTTTGTCCATAGCAATATCAAGATTTCCTTTTGTGGAAAACTGCTGAAAGTGTGCCTTTAACTCCTAGAAACTTGGTGTTTCTTTCTTCACCGCAAAATCCTGAGTATTTTGCCTGTTCTGGTCAGGATGCATGAGTCTTGTTCAGAGCACAGATAATAAACAGAGATAATGAGCTGAAATTCTGGTGTGACTTTCTCATTGAATCTGCTTCTTCCAAAGTAACGCTTTCTTCACTCGTGTTGGATGTTTCCTGACACCTAGCACGCAGTAGTTGGGTCTCAAGCTCTACAAGTAATTGTAGGGTGCTGCTTTTGCCAGCTGAATAGGAGACGCCCTTTTCTCAGAAACTCAACTTTGGATAATGCTTTTTTCCAGATCAGAATCCATATCCAGGCACACAGCACATCACCATCCTTGCCTTCCCAAAGGGGAGAGGAGCTCTTCACCATTTTAGCAATACTTGAAAGTATAATTTTCAACTCTTTAAATCTGTCCCCTAAAGAGTTGCAATATAGCCCCAAGCTCACAACCTAGAAACAAAAGTGTTTCAAAATGGTGTTTATGGTGATGGAACTTGCGGAATTGACCACTTTAGTGGGAGTGGTGGTTTGATAACAGAAAAAGACCCTGTGTGAGAGACAGGGAAGGGAAGATCTCTCAGGGTGGGAGCCTGGGAGACGAATGGGATGCTCCCAGGTGGAAGCTGGGAGGGTCCACCCACTTTTGTATGAGACAAGGGTTAAGATCTACCTCTGGCAGAGGGCTTTGTATTCCCACCCACCCCTTTTGCTTTTGCTTTTTTACTATTTAGAATAATTTGGTTTTTATCATATTGTGTGCTGAAAAGTTTCGATAAAAAAATTAAAAACCAAAAACACACCACCTGCCAATACCCATTGATAGCTTTATCCTCCATGAATTTGTCTAAGCCCCTTTTAAAGACGTTAAAGTTTGGTGCCACTATTACATCCTGTAATAGTGAATCCCATCATTTTAACTATGTGCTGGTCCAGTTGCCGTCCCAGAAAACTGGACTGCTGACGTACATTGCGATCAGATGTTATCGCAGAAAAATACGATTTTCGTGTAACGTTGCTTCTGTGCCGCTTATGGAGATGTAGCAAAACTGGCTGTCAGGTTTCCAGGCTCTGTCCCAGCTCCCATTTTAGCTTATATTTTGATGTGTAAATAATGAGAAATGCAGTATTTTTCAGAGACTGAACACAAATGCTTTGTCCTTTAATCTGTACCTCTCGGCACTGAAAAAAACAACCCCTCTCCCACGCTTTCCCTCTGGTACGTTCTTAAATCAGAAATGCTTTTTAAAAATAAAAAATCACCTCCTCATCTGGTGAGGAGTTCCACGCAGGTATATGATGTTAAAATTGGCCACCGACCCAGGTGGCTTTAAAATAGACAGACTAGCAAAAATGAATAGATCAATGAGTAATAAATGTTGGAGATGCAATAAGATGAAGGGCACTCTATACCATATGTGGTGGACAAGTTCAGAGATCAAAAAATCCTGGGAAATGATCCATGAAGAAATTAAAAAATTAATAAAGGTTTCATATAACAAAAGGGCAGAAGCATACTTATTAGGAATTTTGAGTAAGGATATCCCCGAAGATAAAATTAACATATTCCTATACGCAACAACAGCAGTGAGAACGCTGGTGGCCAGTTACTGGAAAGGAAATAACATCCCAACAAAAAGGGAATGGTTAAGTAAACTATGTGAGTATCTGGAGTTAGCAAAATTGACAGATATAATAAGGCATAAATCTAAAACTATGGTACAGAAACAATGGGAATGCTTAAATGAATATTTACACAAACAGGGATCAAACCTGAAAGTTTGGTGGTGCTTAGACTAACCTTGTGAAGAATACTGAAAATACAAAGATTAGATGGACTACGAAAGTATTTAAGGAAAGGAAGTGACTGAAGAACAGGTGTAAAGGTGAATTAGATAACCAAGAGACGTGCGGTGAATGCGGTGGAAGTCTTTTATAATATTTTAACTAGGATTTAAATATTGTAATGTTTGAAGTATGAATTTGGAATAATTGATTATGAAAAGTATTTTTTCTCTTCATTCTTTTTCTTGTTTCTTTATCTTTTGTCTTTCTTCTTTTCTAGTTTGCATTCTGGAAAATTGTGTAGACAAAATGTTTTTATGTATGGTTATGTATTGTTTCTATTTCTTTTTTTTCCTATTCATTTTTTGGTAACATTTAATAAAATTTAATAAAAAAAGGAAAAAAATAAAAGAGGATTGTACAAATTTGTGGAGGAGAGGGCTCTCAACGGCTATGATCCATGCTGTCTATTCTCTGCCTCTGCAGCTGGAGATAATAATGCTTCTGAAAACCAGTTGCTGGAAACCACCATGTGGGAGTGTTCTCCTGCGCTTGTAGGTTTCACGCAGGGCATCTGGTTGGCCACTCTTGGGAGCAGAAAGCTGGGTTAGAGGAGCCATTGTCCTGATCAAATGGGTTCTTCTTAGTTTTTAAAGTTGCCACAGGAAGGGGAAGACGCTTTGCTTACAGTTGCCACTTGCATCTCAGTTGAGAGATGGAACTTGAAGCAAAATATAGCTGTACCTAACTAGTGAGGGATCCCAGTATAATTGGGGGCTGGGGGGGTTCTCCGGATGTGACTGTGTTGATCGCTTGATAAGCAGTCCCAGAACGGCTACTTCTCATGTTCAAATAGAACGTCCCTGTGCATACATCTCAGCGAGATCTAATTCTGTTTTGTTTTTAATTCATTTCCAGGTTTGTTTGTGATGGACGAGGATTCTCCAAGCCAGGAATATGAGCCTTTCTTCGACTCTGATCTGGAGAGCACTGACGGTGAGTGGCAGCTGAATGTCCCACTTTTTTTCTTTTAGTCTCTTCACTCCCTCTGCCAGCTTCCCACAATGTACGTACTATGCTGACTGCAAATGTGGAAGAAGCCAAGATACTGCTGATTGCATTAGGTAAAGGGACCCCTGACCATTAGGACCAGTCGTGGCCGACTCTGGGGTTGCGGCGCTCATCTTGCTTTATTGGCCGAGGGAGCCGGCGTACAGCTTCCAGGTCATGTGACCAGCATGACTAAGCCGCTTCTGGCAAACCAGAGCAGCGCACGGAAACGCCGTTTACCTTCCCGCCGAAGCGGTATTTATTTATTTATCTACTTGCACTTGGACGTGCTTTCGTACTGCTAAGTTGGCAGGAGCAGGGACCGAACAACAGGAGCTCAACCCCATCACGGGGATTCGAACCACCGACCTTCTGATCAGCAAGTCCTAGGCTCTGTGGTTTAACCCACAGCGTCACCCACGTCCTTGCTGATTGCATTAGGCCTGGAGTCATTCAAGACTTTATAGGTATCTTGAGGGAGCAGTTTTTCCCACATCCCCTCTCTCTTTGTCAGGATCTTCCTTGTAGGGCATCGGAGAGGATCAGCACTCAGAGGAGCGAAGTGGTGAGAGTGTACCAGAGAAACTTGGGTTTTAATCCCTGCTTGGCCCTGAAGCTCACTGGGTGCCCTTGGGCCAGGCTAGCCTACCTTACAAGGTGGTCTATGAGAATAAAAGAGGTGACCCCCCCCCCAATCTCCACACTTGCTGCTTTGAGCTGCTCAGAGGAAGGATACAATAAATGTGAATAATGGGTACAAGGAGAAGGGCTCTGTTGTTTCATGCATTCATTAACTTTTTTTATTCTACCAGGGTTTTGAAGGGAGGTGGCAGCAGAAGCTATGTGCATCCTAATGACAAACGAATTGCCTTTCCCGGCCAAATGTCCCCATAGCCCTTTTGTTCTACCTCCAGCAAAGTCAAAGCAGATGTCTCGGGAAAGCTTGCAAGTGGGCAGACCACCTCCTAATAACTTGGCTCCAAATATCACATACCTCTTAAGATGTATCACCCGGCAACAGACTTGGAGATACTGCCTTGGAACATGGAAGCTCCATGTTCATCTTACAAACTGTAAGGCAAGCCGGGAAGAGTCTGTCTAAAAAACCTTGCAAAACGGCTTCTAGAGATGCATCTAATTTTGCTGTCCAGGTGAGGTAGGGAAAAGAGATCAGCAAATATGTTGGGCTGTTCTGACAAGAGCCTCAGGCCATTGGGAACCACTTGATCTAGTAATTGCAAGAACTGGTGGGCAAAGGAAAGGAGTAACGTTTAGGAGATTTTATCTTGGTTCAGCACTTCCGGAAGGGAGTCTGACACTCTTTTGTTACTGCTAAATTTACAAAAGATAAGGGATGCATGTCAGGGACTTTATACAGTAGGAAGGAGACATTTGCTTGAAATGTGCATGCCTGGCTTCCTGTAGTGGAGTCTCTCTTCAGGCCTCTCCTGGCCAAAACTGAACCTTCCTTGCTATGACATCAAAAGTTGGAGGTTTCATGGGGTGCTGCAAAACAACATCACTTGTCTGTAAAAAACATACCTTTTCAGTGCAGTCTTGGGTCCTTAACTGTTGTTGGACTACAGCATCCACAGCTAGCAGGACCAGTGGTCAGGGATTATGGGAGTTGTAGTCCAACAACAGCTGAGGAGCCAAGTTTGAGAAACACTGCTTTAGTAAGTTTTAGGAATTCGAAATAAATGGGAGCATAGTTCCTACGAGAGTGATGTTATCCCTTCCCTCCTGTAGCTAGGGAGGAGGATGCTTTCTGATGGTTCATTTCTTTTTATTTCCTTCCGTCCTTCTGACCCATTTTTCTCCCCACATTTCTCTCCCGCAGATGGGAGTCTAAGTGAGGAGGCTCCTGGCCAGACAGCCCCTCCACCCCTCAGCCATCAGTATGCCAAGTCCTTGCCTGTCTCAGTGCCTATCTGGGGCTTCAAAGAGCAACGGCAAGAGATGCGATCCTCTGATGAAGAGAACAGCAAGGTGGGTAGGAACTGAGAATGTGTGAAAGCTCTTCTAGGTAGAGATCTGAATTTAGATGTAGGATGGGAGCGATCTAGTTTTGCTGATGTAAGTAATTATTTAAGACAAATAACGAAGACTTCTCCACCTGGCTCCCCCTCCCTTGCTCCTCAATACAGCATTCGTCCCCCGACCTGGAGAAAATTGCCGCCAGCATGCGAGCTCTGGTGCTGAGGGTGTCAGATGGCACAGAGATGTTTGGGGACCTGCCTCGGCCGCGCCTCAACACGAGCGACTTCCAGAAACTACAGCGGAAATACTAATGGATCTGGTGGCCCTTTGTCCCACCCCTTCCTCTGTTTGTGCCCTTTTATTTCTTCCCCCCCCCCACATCCAAATCGGTGGACAGGGTTGGAAGCTCCCCTCAAGCCATACAGCTCGAATTCCCTCCCCTCTTTTTCCCCACCCTCCCCTTCCTGAGCTCCCACAAGCTTTAAATTAAAGTGATGACCTCAATCTCCACACTACAGCTGGCGTGGAGGGTCCAATTGTCTCCTCTCCACGCCAGAAATTCTGTCCCACTTTCCCCTTCTATCCTATCTAATTGAGGAGGTACAGTTGTTGTTGTTGTTGTTTTCTGAGATGGGTCCCCGACACATAGAAGAGGGAAATGGAACACTACAGATGGATACTGACAACAAATACACCCCCATATCTGTTCTTGCCACCACCATCAACCCTTCCAATCTTACCCCAGCATCTGGCTGCGGTGGGTTCCCTTCGTCAGTTCCCCAAGCCCCCCCCTCTTTTTTTGCTTTCTTCCTCCCAAAATAAGTGTCTTAAAATATCCTTTGCACATAAGCTGGGTTTGTCTATACACTTGACCTAACTGACCCTTTGCAGAGCAGGGCAGCAGTGGTGGGGGAAGGAATCCTGTCGTTTTGTGCTTGCCCCACCTCCCCCTCCCCCACTTTCCCCCATGCATAGCTCTCTCCCAGTTTCCAGGAGCGGTACTTCAGGGTCCTTTTTTCCCTCTTGGGGGGGAGGGGTGGTGCAAAGGTGAGGCTGCTCTCATGGCAGGCGGGATGTAAAAGCGGCTCTAGGAGTCACCTACACCCCTCCGGTTATCTTCCACCCACCCCCTCGCTGCCCCAGCATAATACTTTTGTATCAGATTTTTCAAGGGCGCTTTGTGGCCCTGGCCCTCTATTTTTGTCCAAAGATGATTGGTGAATTGGAAGGGAGAGGATGTATTTTTTTTTCTCCTTCCTGCAAACCTACAAGCCAATAATAATAATAATAATAATTAAAAAAAAGCTGTCTTTTACCAACTCTTTTGCTGTATTGTCTGATTGACAGGAAGTGAGTTAGAAGGGGGGGGGAGTTACATCTCCAGAAAGGTGGTGGGATGGCAGGCCTTTGTGGAAGACCTCTTCCTGTACCACCAGCTACCTTCATCCAGACATGTGAGCGGAGCAAAACAGGAGGGGGAGAAACATGCCCCATTATATATTTTCCCTCTTCTGTTTATATCCCCCCTCCCTCAAAGAGTTCGTAAAATCACTTGCCATTTGGGCTGATGGAGAGTTAGCATGAAGAACTCTGAGCAGCTGTCACTGTTCACCCCTAGCCCAAAATACAAATGTGCAGCAGGAAATAAATAGAGTGACTGAAAGGGATTAATTGCTTTATTGGTGCTTGGTATAGTTCTGTTATATACAAAAGCAACAAGATTGAAGGGCAAAGGGTGGGTAAGTGTCAGGATCATGATGTAAAATATAGGGGTGGGATGGGGGATTATGTAGGCTAAGGTGAAAGGAAATATAATCCCACTCTAGGCCTGAAAAGAGGTACGCACAATAAAAGATTTAGCAAAAAACGAGGTCCTTCAGAAGGAAGGGGGGGTATCTTCCTCTCCCAGCAGATATGGCATGAGTCTAATGGCAGGAATGATCTTTAGCAAAAGGCCTCAGGCTCTCAAATAAGAAAGAAAGCGAAAGGGAGAGGAAGCAAGGGAAAGTGGGTGCCCTAAAGGAGCTAGGAATCCCCTTGGTGCTGCTTCTGAGCCACAAAGACGGAGGCATGAAGAATGTACTCGGATGGGGCTCAGTCATAGTATTTCTCCGCCCGCCGCACCTGGCAGTACATCAGCATGGAGAAAACGATGCCCAAGACCTGGAGAGACATAAAGGAGGTCAGACAGACAACAAAAAAAGCGGGGGCGGAAGAGTCCCAGCCCAGCATGTCACTTCCTTACAATATTGGAATTAAGATGCTGCCTCCTGAACTCCCCTCCTCGCCGCTGCCTCTAAAATGTAGGAAGGCTGAGCGTGAGGTCTCAGGTCCAACCACCCAGGATCTCCAAGCAGGGCTGTCTAAAAGGCTGGAAAGCTGCTGCTTGTCCGTGTAGACCAGGTGTAGCCAATGGGCTGCCCTCTAGATATTTTGGACCACAACTCCCATCACCTGTGACCTCTGGCCATGCTGCCTGGGGCTGATGGGAGTTGTAGTCCACAACTTCTAAAAGGCCCCATATTGGCTAACTGCGTAGACTCTACAAATGAGCCAATGCCCTGGCTTCTGGCTTCCCATTCCCCTGCTTCTTGGCCCATTTTGTACAAACTGGAGGTGGCAGGGGCAGCTTCTATGTGGTCTTTTCCCAGTCGGGAAACCATCCTCCTGGACAGTCTTCTCTCCTAAAGGGGGATGCCTTTTGAAAGCACAGATTGCACCAGTTTACGTGTTTCTTCCAATTTATTTATTTACTCCCTGTGGGACCATGGCCAGTGTTGGAAAGAATTCCTGCCCTGGCTGAATCCTATTCTGTGGTCCCCTGCAGACAACCCCAACTTCTGTTCTTGGGCTGATGGTAATGGGTGGCACATGCGTGGTTGCACCAGAGCAGCCTCGGCAGTTGCTCAGGTCAGGTGTGTGTGTCCCCTCCCATGGCTGTTCCTTCCTGCTCACCTGGACAACAATGATGCAGGCAGCAAAGATGCCCATGGCTGAGATGTTCTCTCCTAGCCAGCGTTTCACCTTCTCGTAACAGGGCTTTAGGGGAATAGAGCACAAAACAAACATGGTCACCAGAGCGCACTGGCAAGAAGAGGCAGTGCCTCCGATCTGGGTTGATCACACTCTTGTGCACCGAAAAAAATGTCATCTTCCATTTAATCTAACGTTTATTTAACATGCAAGCTGTTTCTAGTAGGAATGCTGGGTCATTTGTTCCATTGTGGAACTGCGCTTGCCATCAATCAGTTGAATATTTGGGTTGAGTATTAAACTGAATAGTCAGCCCAAATCAGCTCCTATAACTTAAAGTGTCCCCCCTTCTGATCCACTGGGCTGAAGTGAACAAGCCTTTCTTCTGCAACAGGAACCTTTGCCAGCAGGAGGGCTGCATTTTCTTCTTGGCGACTAGCTGGGAGCTGCAGGCTAGGATGGGTGAAGGAGTGAAGCTAAATTTTACTACTGTACAGTAAGTAGACTGGTTTCTGCACAGTCACCCCTCTCTGTCCTCCATCCAGACAAGCAACAGGCATTAGGAGAGTTCAAGGACGTACTACAGTCAGGCAAAAACACTCTAGATACGAAGTCGCACCAGTGAGGGATGAGGCTAAGGGAAATTTCAACAGACAGATAGGCCTGGCAGGCTGCATTTGACCCTGAAGTTCCCTGCCTCTGCTTTATGTGACAGCATTTCTCCTCGAAGAGGGCTATTACACACATACCTCTCTCAGTCTAAACAGAATCAACATACCTGGTTGCTTCAACCTTTCTTCCCAGGATTATTTTCCATGCAGCGGGTCATCTTCAGTGCTCTTTTCTGAACCTGTCTAATTTGCCTATATCGTTAAAACTGCAGCAACCTAGGCTGGTAACTGGTCACACTAATAGGCTGACTGCCACCATCCTTCTATTGTAAGAGAGTAAAATATATTGGGGAAGGTAGGAAGATAACTAACTAAAATAGGATGTATCCATACTACAGCCTGGACTAGGTGGTGTTGTTTTCCCCCAATATATTTATAGCCTGCTTCTCATTAGCGACTTTTAAGTATAAACAACATGATGTTTTAAAAATCATAAAGCAGATATGCCATCCCGCTCAAAAAAAAGAGCATGAAAATCTCACAGTTAAAAAGATGAGTTAAATTAACACGACAGCTTTGAGAAGCAGCATTAATAAAGCAAATCAAAGACTTCGCTGCAGCCGTCACCAAAACTCAGTTGGGTTGAAACATCAGAAGAGGACTGGGCTAGGCCGCTTTCCTCAGGAAAAGCAATCCACAAAGGCCCTCTGTCTTACTGTATATTGCTAACGGCAAGAAGACACACAGAGTAGCTAGTCTTGAAATTTTTGGGGGCTTCATAAAAGTCATGTGCTGGTCTGTAGACCACCAACGACTAGGAACCCCTTCCCCTTCTGGTTTCATCATTCCCTCCTTCCTGAGACAGCTCAACATTTAATGCACAAAACGTTAAAAACAGAAAGGTCTCGGCACCTCCTTGAGTGACAATTCTCAGGATTCACTGGGATAAGCCATAAAGTTAGAACAGCACACAAGTAATTTTGAGAGTGTTGTATGGTCAGAGAGCGAGATGAGAATCTACGGTCAAAAGCCAGAAGCTGATACTTTCGTTGCAGGACAGAGTGTCAAAGGCCCTCTCAACTTCAACAGATTCGAGAAAGAGGTCTGCTGGAGGGTTTTAGTGCAGGCCAGCCTTGGTAATCAGACCCTGCATTTAGCCATTTGCCACTTGCTCAGGACACAAGCATTTCTGGAGGGGGCTTCAGCAGACAACCCAATTTGGAAACCACAGCCGTAGGGGATTCTCTGCTCCTTGAGGGCAACTCCTGCTGCCGTCTCACCTCCTTCCACCAGCTGGCGCTGTCCACTTGGCAGATGTCACTTTGCTGCAAGCAGCAGGATTCCGGAACCCACGTTCTGTTGCGGACCTCAAACCAGTCTGTGTAGTTCTGCACCCCACAACAGCGAAACTGGGAAGCAAGGGGAGAAATCAGTCTCACACACGGGGGGGGGGCTCTTCCAAAATGGGATGAGGATGCTTAAAGGGGGGAAAATCTCCCTGGCTGTTTCTTAGCTCTCAAAATGTGCTTCCAGATGACCTGTTTGTGGGCAGATTAGATGGCAATGCATGATGCAAGTGCAATCGCACACTTCCTACTGCCTTTCCCCCACCTCTTTCTTGCAAAAAAATCCCAATCTATTAGGGAAGTGGATTTGTTGCACAAGAACTCAAAATCAGCTTTAGTTGAGCAGCCTGAATTTGCTAGGATGTGGCTGATGACCATTTGGAAGTACTGTAAACTGTGTGTGTGTGTGTGTGTGTGTGTGTGTGTGTGTGTGTGTGTAACACTCACCTCATTCTGCACAACGTCCCATGCTCTGGTTAAACCCACATTTCCCTCTGTCTCATACAGCTGAAGTCCTTCCTTTAGATTGGACTGGGCATATCTATCAAACTAGAGAAAGGACAAAATAAGCACACCCAATGGACCACCAGCACTTGTGTGTGTGATGGTAAGAGTGATGCAGAGACTAGATTGTGACTTCGACTTGATGGGGCAAGCACAGCCCTCATGGTGCTTATTCAAAGTTGGATGGAAACCCTGCCCTGCCATTTTTCTTCTGAACTTCTCCAAACTGGAGGAGTATCGGGAAACCCTCCGATGTTCAAGTTAGGGGTGGAGACTTTGCCAAGTAGTTCACTCCAACAGTCTGAAGTCCAGCCCCCACTCTTTTTTAAACCTCCCTTCTCTTTTCCCTCACTTCCTAATTCCGTGGGTTCCAGACCTCTTTCTGGAAGATACCACCCTAAATGAAATGGTGCAATATTCCAAATTCCAAGGACGAATTAAAACCTGCTATCTTAAGAAAGCATGTAACTCAAATAACTTTATCCACTATGCAACTGTTCCGTATACATGATACAAGCAAACTCAGTGTCTGAGTGTGGCTCCTAATGTAGCCAAAAATGGCACCAACCATTAACAAGTGGGAAAGTATCAGCAGGCTTGGCAGACCCCAAAGTTTGAAGAAGTATATGGGGTGTGGCGGGGAGGTGCAGGATGATGATTCATGAGGTCTATACAATGGGCTCTTTCCTCATTCCACGAGAATCGGGACAGGCTCATGGTTTGAATCAGTTTCCTCTCTGCATACACATCTGTTAAGAGCACGGGTGCTACAGGGAGCTGCCAGTATTATCATGGCATCTTTAAGTAAACTATCTTGTATCAGAGTGTGCACTCAGCAGTGGCAAGGGGCGGGGGCTGCACTGCAGGCCTGTGATGGCTGAATGTGGCCTGCAGACTGCAGGTTGCCCAAATGAACTGGATCTCACCATCCTCATTCTACATACGGGGTGAGGAAGGTCCTTACCTTGTCCCTACAGGTGACAAAAACCAGCAACCCAACCAGCTCCAGGAGGAAGAGGGTGGAGAGGACCAGGAAGAACTAGGGAAGAGATATACCCAAATCAGCAATTACAGGGAGAAGGAGAAAGCCTCATACAACACAGTTTTGTGTTTACAGATATGTGCATCTCTGAAAAAAGTGTGCCCCCACTTCCGCACTCCCCCCCCCCCGCTCCATACTTGATTGCAGTCACAGGATCATATACATGCAATCAGGCCCTCTGGTTCAACTAACCCTGCAAGCCCTCCTTCCTCCCAGCCACCCACAGTTGAATGAATAGCACAAGTTGCCGCCGCAAGCAGAGATCACTGGCATGGCTGAAAGATACATGCGGAACCCACAGCTCTGCATCGCTCAAGCCAGCCAGCCAAGTCACAATCAGGAAGAAAAGTTGAAAACAACAACATATCTAAAGCAAGACGTCCCACAAGCGAAGGTATGTTACTGCTCCCAATGGTTTTATGCACAGAAAAATGCACCTCTTGGACCCCATCTTGTCCACAGCATCTCAGAAATGCACTTTTCTGCTTCCTACTGATGACTGCACTCTGCCTATGCTCCAAAGCAGGGCTGAGCATTCTTGCATTTAACATAGGTTCTGTAGAGAAACTGTGCTTTGAATTAAGCCATTTCTCTGCCGGGCACCTTCTCCTACCGAAGATCTCATTAGACACCTCTGCACCAATTTAATCCGAATCTCTTACACTCACCCCCCCCCCATGTAACACCCAGTGGAGAGATACCTCTTACCGTCAGCAGGAGGCAGCGGTGCTCTGTGGCCGCCCCCAAGCATCCGAGGAAGCCCACAACCATGATGATGGCTCCAGTCGCCATGAAAAGCCCCGCTGCCGACAGAGACGGGAATGAGAACGACAAGGTGGCAAAGCGGCCCTGGGTCACAGCCAGCCATACGCCCACGCCAAGCACCCCACAGCCGCCGAGCTACGGGGAGAGAAGGCAAGCTAGATCACTGTTCAGGGACACATGCCAGGCATGTAGAATCACTAGAGGAGGGTGAAGATCAAGGCTAGTGAGGGGTGTGGCTTGGGCAGAGTCCTGAGGGTCAAGTAGAGAGGTCTGGAGAGATGTGCATGACCTGAGGTTCCCCACCTCTGATGGTACCACCTCCCCCCCCCTCCGTCCAGGATGCTGTTGTGGAAGAGATCATCGGCTGAGTCTCCACTCACCAGCCGCAAAAGCTCTCAGTTCAGCCCCTTCCCACAAACAAGACCTAGTTCCTCCTGACTCCCAATCCTGTGCCAAGTTTTTATTGGAACAAATAAAGCAGCTGTCGACATTCTGTTGCTGACACCCCCTTGCCCATTACAATGCCGATGAAACTTCTGTGACATCACAAGCGGTTCAGCCAATAGTGGAGAGCGGGGTCTCTCAGGCAGTCTACAGGCAGATTTTTGGTTTGCTATAAAATGACAGCGTTTTAACACACAGATGCACTTTCCCTCTTGTTCATTCTTACAAACCTGTAGGGCAACTTGTTACTTATTTATTAAAAGAGAAATGTCCTGCCATGAATAACAGGCCCATAAGCCCTTCCCACTAATCCTGGGAGTCCCCAGGTCACATGTAGACAGAAAGGCTATCCGATGAAGATTTTTTTGACTTTCACACAACCTTGTCTGAGGGGAGGTGCACAGACCCAATGCAACTCACCCAGAAGATGAGGTTGAAGACGAACATCTTCACTTTAACGCACAGCAAGCAGCCGCGGCTGACCCCCATGGTGGATGTGTCTGGAAGGGGGGGGGGCAAAAGAAAACAACATGCTGTGATTCTGGAACGTTCATACATGAGCATTTACACTACAGTTGGAAGAAATTCATAGGCAATCCTGGTCCCCTATGAAAACAATGAAGTGACGTATCCAAAGCTGTCCATGCAATAGGATTCTATCCTCCTCTTGTCTCCCCCGCAGCTTCCTCCCCTTCCCCTAATTTGCTTTGTGGGGCTTGGGACTGCAAGGGAGCTAGAGAGAGGAGGAGAGGGAAGGTGAAAAAGTCTGCTGGGATCCCACAAGCAATTTATTGGGGTTTTTATTCCCTTTAAATTCAAATAATAAAAAAAAATTAAGAGGGAGAACTATGTATGCCACCTTGATCCCCTTGGAGGGGTGATAGGATACAACTGTTATAATTAAGAACTACTAGGCTGGTGTTACTCAGTGTCACTCACACAATATGAAATAAAATGAAGTCTCTCTCACTGAAATAATTCAGAGAAATGTCCCCGCCCCCCTGTGCCACTTCAGCCAAACTGTGATTAGGCTAATCTATATGAAAGGAAGCCTTTCCTCAGACAAAAACGAGCCTTTCAGAGTTGGGAGACCCCAAACAAACAGGCCAAGGTAAAATTCCTAGGCCTAAATGGGAGGATGGGCAGGTCAAGGCCTGGTTAGCATTAGAAATGGTATTGTGGATTCTACATAAAGTTTAAAGACCATCTCTTGGACATGCTGAAAATTTTAAATGCTCACCACCCTCTTTAATCATAGCAAACAAGTTGGTGGCTATGGCCTTCAGGCCTGGCACACTGGTTTGTACAATTTTGTACAATTTTTTGTTTATGTTATTCAAAAAGCAAAGGGTGGCTAAAGGACTCTCACCAATTGCATCCTGGCAACTCCCCTGTGAGATAGGCTGGGCTAAGTTCTGGCCAAAAGTTCATGGCTGAGGTGGGATTTGAACTCAGGTCTCTCCCTGAAGATAGCCCCATCAGTCTAACCACTACAAAGCCCTGTCTCACTATGGCTTCTAAAGTGTGCAGAATCAGTAGGCTGGTCAGAAATAAAGATGCTTCTGAACAAAGATTAGACATAGTTTTGAATGTTTGCGGGGCAGGGCGTAGGAGCAATGGCCCCTTATGTCCTTTCTATATCATGCCAGTAGCAAGGGAACTGTGCATTCAGGCAGAACTGAGGGGAGTTTGAATCCAAGCAGATCCCTAACAGCCAAAAAAAGTTGAGAGGCCTATCAAGAGAATGGCCAAATCTTCCTCACAAACACAAACAACTTTCAGTCGTAACCTCTGGACATCAAAATGGAGGGAGTTATTTTTTGTTCCCAATGTTCATATACTCTGCTTTTTAAAAAGAACAATGCCGTATTTATGTACTTTTAACTTTAAAGGTTTGCCTGTTTCCCACCTCCTATTGAAAATTACTGCAATAAAAATTACAAATGCAGTCAAGCTCGGGAACTGTTTTATTTTTTGTCCCATTTAAATGGAGAGTGCATCATGTTTTAAGTATCAAAACAACTAAGAGTATAACACTGTTTAATTTTATTTTTTAGGAAAATAACTTGAAATACATAAAACGTTGATTTACCCCCTTCAGACGAAGCGGCTAAGGAAATGGAGGGAAAGCAGGTAAATTATCTGATTTAGGGAAAGCTAAATAAATAAACAACAAACGAACATGGGGTGGGAAAGTCCCCTTGTCCAGGCCCAGATTACAGATTTCCTGTAGGGCATCACATCCCCTCTATCATGTGCGCTGAAGATGAAGGTACATGAAGGCGAGAAAGAAGACGGGCAATGTTTATCCCCAGACCACGTAAAAAGAAATTGCCAAGTTTTCCTTAGCCAAACGCTCCCCACCCTGTAGGTCTTTCCTGCTAAAGCTACCCCACCGCACCCTTACCCTCATTCCTTGCCTTTTTGCCACTCACGACACAGTTCCTTTTCCATTTTTTCAGCAAAGCCCATTCTGTAGAAATAAAACATAACCCACATTCCAGACCCACCTTCCCAATTCAAGATCCAACCCCCCCCCCCCTTCTGGATTTAACAAGAATGTTAAATTCCCGGATCTGAACTGGTCGAAAATATATTCCTTACAGCAAATAACCCATAAAATTGTGCTGGGCTTTTAAAACGCACACCCATTCCCGCTCTCCCTTAAATTATTTCCCTAAAGGGGGGGGGCGGGGACCAAAGGGGAGAAAAGCAAAATAACATGAAAGGAGCCTTTGGATCTCTTTCTTGCGTCTTTCTTTTAACAAAGTACCAATACCTCTGGAGGGAACTAACTACAGCTGCCAAATTTCTCCCTGCCCCCCTGATCTTGCAAGTAAGAGACTTTAGGGTGGGCAGAATCAGAAAAATATTCTGCAATACAGTAGAAATCATCCCCTCCCCCCGAGGAGGGAGTCTCCTCCTGCTTTTTATACCCTTCAAAATATCCCTGGTTCGACACATCCCTCCCCCCCCCATTATAAATACATTTCCGTGCGCCCCTCACCTTGGTCTCGGGGCGGGAGCGCGGATTTGGGGCGGGAGCCCCCGTCCCAGATACCTAGACCTCTTCCAAGTTGCTTGTCCTCTGATGGGATGCAGGATGGAAAGGGAGGGGGAGCAAATTCCAGCACGGGACAGGGGGAAGGAAATGGGAGGGAAGAAAGGGGGGCAGTAATGTGGGGGGCGTGTTTGAGGCTGTGGGGAGGAGCCCAGGGGGCTCTGGGAGGGAAACGGGTTTCTATTCGAGACAAAGACGTCCAGTCGGATTTGAACCCCCGTTCTTGTTTAAACCTTCCCCCTCCCCCGCAAAAAAGGACAATGAAAAGCGACTCAGTTGTACCGCATTAACATCAGAAGTGTGTGGCTCAGGATTCTGTTCCCTTCTTGTCTCAGTACGGCAAGTCCTATTGGACTCATTGAGACTTACTTCGGAATAGACTTGTATGGGATTGGAGAATAACTTCTCTTTCTGCTTTCGAGACGTTTCCAAATTATGTCCCCGCGGAAGGGAGGGGGTTAAAACACGCTTGCAGAGACTAGATCTCAGGGTTCTGGGTTCCATCCCCACGTTGGGCAAAAAGATTCCTGCATTGCAAGGGGGTTGAGCTAGATGACCCTCCGTGTCCCTCCCAAGTTTACAATTCTAAGTAAACGCCAACTTCCGAGAGCACCTCCTGTTGTGCAGGAGTAGTTTACTCTGGGAGCAACTTCGGGAGTAAAGTACTTCGCTTCTGTACCTTCCACATTGCCAGCTTCCAAGTGGGTGTTTATTGTCAAATAGCAGATGCGGGGAGCGGGGGCACAGCAAAGTAACGGGGCAGCTCTCAGGATTTCACAAGAGAGGACCTTTACCCCTTAATAAACCCCTGTTTGAGATGGTGGCTGTTAGCAACCCCCTGTATATTAAATATTCCACAATCTTTACAACGTATCATTATCTCGGGGAGAGAGAATGCGCATCACTCTCAAAATTTAAACCGCATACGCAGAAATTCGAATTTTTTTGGACAAATGCCTTTATTAGGATCAAGCAAAATGTATGAAATTAGCAAGCAAACTTCCGAGTTCTCCAGAATTCTTCCTCAGGCGGGATGTGTTACAGAAAGAAAGAAAGAAAGAAAGAAAGAAAGAAAGAAAGAAAGAAAGAAAGGGAAAGATCTGCGCGGCGGAGAGGAAGGGAAAAAACTTGGATAAACGCGAAAATAGAAAGAAAGAAAGAAAGAAAGAAAGAAAGAAAGAAAGAAAGAAAGAAAGAAAGAAAGAAAGAAAGAAAGAAATGGGGGCGGAGAGAAAGAAAAAAACTTGGATAAACGCAAAGATCCCGATGATGTTATAACAACAAGATGACCCTCTTGCAGATCGATTGCCGCTTATAAAGGGAAGAAATTTGGGCTCCGCTAGGAAGGGGCGGCGTCGCCGTCGGGGCTCCTCCTCCTGCCGCGGCGGCGGCGGCGGCGGCGGCGGCGGCGCTTGTGTCTCCCTCTTGCGGGCGGCGGAAGAAGCCAGCCCTCGGCCTCGCTGCTGCGCCAGAACCACGAGGGACCCCCGGGAGAGAGGAAGGCGGCCGAGGCCGAGAGGAAGGTGGGGAGCGGCGGGGAGAAGGAGAAGGGTCGGCCGGGGAGGAGGGCGAGGGGGAAAGATGGCCAGTGGGAGGGAGGGCGGTCTGGGAAGCGCCGAGCTGGCGGGAGAAGACCGGGAGAAAGTGGATGTGTGGAGCCGGGGAGTGGGGAGGGCGAGATCCGCGGAGGGCCGCCCCCACTTCCCGAAGGTGGAAGCAGGAATGGGGGAAGCGCTTAGGGGAGCGGAAGGCTGTTCGGGACGGCTCCAAGGCCACGAGAGGCAGAGATTCACCCGGTGAAGCTTGTAGAGTGGGGAAGACGCAGTAACAGAGGGAAGCAGCACCTGTTGAATTTCAGCCTTCCCTGAAGCCGGGGGTGAGGGCGTGGCCTTATCCTAAGAGGTGTGGGTTTGTCCCCTCCCGATCGCTCATGCAGCAAGAGCAGTTAACCCGTGGCTGGAGGATGATTATGATGGGGGGGGGGGTCCTAAGGCTTCCATCACCTTTGGCCATTGGCCAGGACAGCTGGGGTTGGTGGGAGCTGAAGTCCCCCACAATAAAATATTTGAGGGACCGGGCGCCCCCAAAGTTGATGAGTATTCCCATTCAAACGGTGTGGGTGCACTGCATCCTGTGAACAATTATGTGGGGGCAGGACTTACCTGGACCCCCACAATATTTTATTCAAGTTGGGGGGGCCTGCTGTAAACTAATGTTAACGGAGAAATTCCTGCAACATTAAGAATAGCTAGGTAGCCCAGGAAGGTTTGGTGGGAAGAGAGGGAGGAAGCTTGGGTGACTTGCCTCTTTCCCTGTTTCTCCCTCCCCAAAATACATTCCTTTTTAGGCCACCTCACAATGATCATCCCAGTTCGGTGCTTCACCTGCGGGAAAGTCGTGGGCAACAAGTGGGAAGCCTACCTGGGCCTCTTGCAGGCGGAATACACAGAAGGGTGAGTCCACAGGTTTGCCTCTTTGCTGTATCTTCTAGGATTTCTACCTTGTCTTTCTCTGTTGACCGGCTGAAGCAGGCCAAAGGCACATCTAGCCCCGCATCCTGTTATCACAGATAATAACAACAACAACAACTTTTACGACACAACATTTTGGGATGAAAACTTTTAGTATACCTGTAACGTTTTAATGGTCTCCTTTCCCCAATCTCTGTAAATGGCTTCCAGACTCCTTCCAGTTGTTGTTGTTATTTTGTTTGTATCCCGCCCATCTGACTGGGTTGCCACAGCCACTCTGGGCGACTTCCAGCATATACAAAAACATAATAAAACATTAAACATTTCCCTATACAGGGCTGCTGCCCTCAGATTGTGGGATAAATTGGATAAAACTGACTAACTCACTACATTGGACATGGGTGTTTATCTGGGTCTCCAGTCCAGAGCAGGCCGCTGGTGAAAGGCGCAGGAGCAGAGGGCCGCAGAAAGGTTGGCAATCCGAGTCAGGAGAAAGAGAAAGGGAGAGAAAGAAAATCCAGAACAAAAATCTTGAGACCACCCACTCATTTTTCCATTCCCTCTCTCAGGGATGCGTTGGACGCCCTTGGCCTGAAGCGCTACTGCTGTCGGAGGATGCTCCTGTCACACGTGGATTTGATTGAAAAGTTGCTGAACTATGCGCCCCTGGAGAAGTAGTAGCATTGGCACCCTGGAACAGACCCACAATGAGGCTGGAAGACACCCCCACCCCCGTGGATAGATAGATAGTCTGTCTTCAGATTGTATCCAAACCAGGCACCTCCCACTGGAGGGTGCTGTTGTGCAATGGAAGGATTCTGTCTCATTCAGTGATGTGCAATAAAGAACATGGTGCATAGGAGCACATGCACTGTGTTCCCAAAAGAATGATACACACAAATCTACTCTTGTGTTGTTTTTCATGGGGTTTTGGGGGTGGGGTGGGGGGTTGAGCAAAATGATCTTTGGTGTTTTGTGGAATATGGTTGTAGAGTAGATTTTACTGTTGTTTTTGATTTTGTCTTCAATGCTGCCTTCCTCAGGATTTTAATTTTGAATGAAAGGAGAAACGTACTTAATTATATTCGAGTGGTTTATGCAGCCTTGTTTCCCTGCATATAGGCTTGCCCAACTTTTTGGAACAATCTTGTGAGATTTGATCAGAACTACTGTTAAATCAGAACAGACAGTACTCTGAACAGCGAATTATTGAAGCAGGCTTTCCAACAGAACAGAGAGAGAATGATTTCAGGAGACGTGCTCTTCCAAGAACCATGGGTCCCAGAGTTCCTCCGTTCCTGCAAAAGCAAACAGGGTATGGCAGCAAGAGGGGGAGAGAGAAGCACCATTTTCCTTCAAAACAAGAAGGCCCCAGAGATTACAGGAGCCAAGATTTACAGGCCCCAGGAACATAATACACACAACCCGTTCTTCTTGTGCGGTTCAAGGGGTTACAAATGCTTTACCCAGGGTCTGTGTTCCTTTTTTGGAGAGGCACAGCAATCTGTGGTGTCTTTAGGATATATAGTTTATTTAAACATATATGCAAACTGTGGCTACTGTGAACCCATGTTGATTTCACAGAATTATGGATGTATGGCACATAACTGATTTAATTGGACTACATGCATGCTAACTAAAGGTTTAGCAGGGACACAGCTACCACCTCCAAGGAAATTGGCTTTGATGCTACCAAACCTCAAAGAAAGTTTGGTCTCTTGAATGTATGGACCCCACTTTAGGACGGGCGGTAGCTCAGAACTTGCCGGTGTGACAGCCAAAGCTGCCAATGTGCCTGCGAGTACCTCTTGCAACACCTGCAAAAGTGATCAGTGAATATCCCCTCAAAAACCGACACGAGAGGCTGTTTGCTGTTCCTGCTCAGTTTGTGTTTCCACCGACATAGCCTTTCCTCCACCTGCGTTTCGTTGGCTGCAAGAACCGGACACCGGCCCTCGCCTCCATTTTGTTCCCGTCTCTTAAATGTGGCAGCCATTTTGTGTTCTCCCCATAACCATTTTGTGACTGCTGCCCACTGGTCCACAAAGGTTGGCAACCACTACCAGACTAGCTGAAGCCTAGTTCGATAAGTGACGCCTATTGAACAGGAATTAGTACTGGAAGTAGGCACAAGTAAAACGTCCATTTATATAAATTAGCATGACCACACATAAACCTTCCAGAGCTTTCAGAATCAGCTTTTAGTGGTGCAGAAGTTAAGCTCAAGACCAGGGGTCAGCAAACTTTTTCAGCAGGGGGCCAGTCCACTGTCCCTTAGACCTTGTGGGGGGGCCAGACTATATTTTGAAAGAAAAAAAGAAAATGAATTCCTATGCTCCACAAACAACCCAGAGATGCATTTTAAATAAAAGCACATTCTACTCCTGTAAAACACCAGGCAGGCCCCACAAATAACCCAGAGATGCATTTTAAACAAAAGGGCACATTTTACTCATGTAAAAACACAGATTCCTAGACAGTCTGCGGGCTGGATTTAGAAGGCGATTGGGCCGGATCCAGCCCCCAGGCCTTAGTTTGCCTACCCGTGCTCAAGACCACCAAAGCCAATTCAGTGTTTAGGTTAGAATCTCTAGGAGCAAGGGCTTCATGTGTCATTCAGGTTTCCAGATTCAATGGTGCACAACAGCAAAATACCACTGAAACTGCTGATGCCGATGGAGTTCTGAGGCTTGTTCTAGGCCTGGGCGATATATTAATATATCACCCAGGAGCAGTATGAGGAGCAGACTGCGATGTCTGGTTCACCCAGCTGGTGAAACAGCCGCTTCGGAGTCCCTTTACTAGTGACTTCCTCCAGCGAGTGTTTGTGAGACCACCATCCCATTCTGCCCTCATAGTTCACAGAGAAAAAAAACTGCATCAGCACTGATACAGCTTGTTTCTCCCTCTGCATCTTTTAACTGCTCAGCTGAGGAGTGTGCAGTTGCTGCTCCCCTCTGAGCAGTTAAAGGATTCCCCAGCCTGGCGCTGGCTTCCACACAAGTGGGGGGAGCACCAAGGATGGCGGCTCTGCCGGTGATGGGCTGAAAGTTGAGGATGCAGCTTGTTTTTTAACCTGCCTAGGCACCAGAGTCGAGGATAGGCCCAGTCTACCAGCCTGCCTTTACTAGACTCAAAAACAGGAAGCTAGATTAGGCTAGACAGGCAGAGGTCTTTATCCATGGCCTGCTTAGCTAATCATTTTATCTTGAAATGCCAGAGAATGAATGTGGTACCTCTTGCATGCAAATTATGAGTGCAAGAAGTTCCCTTCTGGCAATATCTAGTGCTGTACTGTCCACATGGACTGGCTGTGGTTCTCAGAGAGTCCTTCTCAGCCCTGTACTTGGGGACGCCAGGTACCTCCTGGAAGAAGCACTCTAGCACTAAGATAGGGTGAAGGCACCTGCCAGTTCATAATTCCCTCCAGGTCCAAATTAGAGCCTTCTTTGCAGCTGGAACTGCCTTCCTCAAAAAGGGGAACTCAGCATCACCTCAGCTTCTTAAACCTCTTTTCTCAGTGAAACATCTCTGTAAAGCACTCCTTAACAGCTTTGATCAAAATTATACCCTAGGGAAGTCTCCACGGCCCCTTCTGTTCAGCCTCCTTCACACCCCTGCCAGAGAAACATAGAACAAAAAAACATGTGCCTACATTGGTCATAAGAAAATCTGGTTTTGTCACTACCTTCATTACACCAACCATTCCCACCAGCGTGCACACCATTTTGTGATCTATCGATGGGCCTAATAAAGGTACTGTCCTTTTGTGAATTTGAGGTGAGGGAGACATTCCTGTGTCCAGCTCTTCTGGCTCTTTAAACTGGAGTTTTGGTCCCTGCACCCAAGGTGCAGTGTCAGCTCCCAACCCCAGGATCAGCATTCGTCCCCCGATCCAAATTCTCCCCCTCCATTTTAAAATCAAGGAATAGCTGGGCATGCAGTTAACCTTCTTGATAATCTAGGCTCCCCACTTAAAACAGGATTTGTAACAAGAATCCGAAGACACTGCTCGTGCAATTGGGTCTGAGAACAATCCACTTGCCGGTCCCAGTGGCTTCTGTACCTGGCAATGGGAAGGAGGGGACTTGGTTCTCCATCTCCGGTAACATGTTTTGGGATGGCTCTGTAGAGACCACCACTGTATCTGTAATTAGTCCGAAGCCGCAGTGTTATGGAACAAAAGCATGTCTTCCTCAATAACCTCATTTTTGTGTGTGTAGCTGTAAGTTCTGCCTTGTGACGTTCGACAGCTGGTTCGAGAGTCCTACATCTTACATTTTACTTCTGTTCTTCTGTCCACACAGTTGTTGGGGTTTGGTTGGGCGGGGGGGAAGAGACAAGCAGTGAGGCTGGGCCCAAGGAAAGGGCCCCTCTCTAAATGCAACCCTAAGGCCATCAGGCAGGCAAGCAATATGTTTGAGTAAAAGAGGTGGTTTCAACTTCTTTATTATTATTTTTTCCCTCATGAATGTAACCATATAAAAACCATAAGTTATGAAACAGTCACACGATGTCAGCTTTCGAAGGGGCAAGGGATTTAAAAAAGAAAAAGAAAAACCCCACACAACTCCCTCCCACAGATCCGAACAGGGAATTGTTAAGAGGGGGGGAAGTACAAAACCGTCAGTGGGGGGAAAAACTTAACACTCACAAAATGGAGATGCCTTTTCCACCCACACCCCTCCACGTGCCCTCTTGATAAAAACCTGTTGGGAACCCCCTCCCCCACCCCCATTTGGGCACTGGATAGAAGTGTGTACCCTTCAAAAAACTGAGCAGCGTTTACACTGGAGCAGGATATTGTCAGGAGCAGTTACTCCAGAAAACAGGGCAAGAGGAGGGACGAGGATCCTGGGCAACACAGTTTGGCAGGTGATACCAACAATGATTTAACTAAAAAAAAAATTATAATTATTTTTAAAAAAGAAATTCATGATGGAAGTCTGCTGTCGGCACTCGGGCCTCAGAACAAACGGACGGATGGACAAACCACCTGTGTCTTCAGTTGTGCTAACAGCCTTGGCTCCTGGCCTGGAGGAGGGGAGGTTGGTTGCGGGTGGGGAAGGAAGATTTGAAAATGAGGGGCAACAGGGTTGAGGGGGGGTCTTGGCTATTTCCCCCTAGCCTCTAATACTGACCCTCCCCTTGCTGGCCCAGAGTCGCAGCAACAAGGAACTACACAATGAAATGAATTAGTGAGACACCAACTTAAACAGGACGACAGGGAGGGTTAGCTCTGGGTTGCAAGGTCAGTTGGAGGAGGAGGAGAAAAAAAAATCTGGCAAGGGGTGGGCTGGGCTAACGCATCCGGTAATCCGTTGAGCAAGACAGCTCACACAACTGGCCCTTGAAGTCCAGGTCGATGGTGAAGTCCAGGTCTCGCTGCACATGGGAGGAGAGAAAGGAAAGGGGTGTGGTTGTCACAAAGTGTTTTTTCCGAGATACACTCCCTTGGAACAAACCTCACATCACCTCCGTGCCCCCAGGGAATGGCTTGCCCTCTTTACCTCCCAAGTACTGTGCTGTAAATGCAGCTAACTCCTTTCCACATCTCGATACCTGAGGGTGCTCCCCGACCACAACAGATGTGTTTACCAGGTCACACAAATGGAACACTCATAACCACATTGAAAACATGTGTGCCCCAGCTTTGGAACCTCTTGACAACCCTGCGTGCCACTTCCTTGCTCCATGTCCCCCCCCCCCTCCAACACTGCACCCGTCTCTTGATGCCACTGGATGGTAGGGCTGGGTGATTTATCGTCCAAAACCAGCTTGAAGTCCATATTGTAATACCGCTTTCATAATTTTTGACCTGGCAATATATTGCGAACCATGTTTTTGTGTGTGTGTGTGTGTGTGTGCGTGCGTGTGCGTGTGTGCGCGTGCTATGCAAAAATCACAATGTGGGGAAAACCGTGAAGCCAGCAAATGTCTCTACTAAGCTCCATCCTTATTTCAGATATTGTGATATATCAGTATATCACGATGTTTAGCTGGTGATATATCAGTGTTGAAAACCAGATGTCGCCCAGCCCTAATGCCTCAAAAAGGCTGAATGCCAAGTTGGCTGGGAAGAATGTGACTTTCTGAAGTCAATGAGCAACTATGGCCCGGACTGGGTGAGCTGGCCAGAGTGGCCCAGGCATGGAAGAACTGCATTTCTGCCAATGTGCCACTGGGCCAAATTTAAAGGCCTCTTTCATTATTCAGAGCTCTAAGCAACTCAGGGCAAGCTTACTCCGTGTGTCTCCCTGACCAACCAGAGAAGCATTTTGAACGATGATTCATGATGCCCACTAGGAGCAGGGCATTTAGCATGGCCGCGCAAATATTAAGCAAGCGTCATCAATGCTTCGTTTTGGATGAGGGGTGGGAAACCTATAGCCCTCCAGATGTTACTGGACTTCAACTCCCATAATACCTGGCCATTTGCCATGCTGACTAGGACCGATGGGAGCTGGAGTCAAACAACATCTCTAAGGCCACAAGCACCTCACCTGTTTAAAAAAGGCCTTCACTCAGGCTTCCCATGATGGGCGACTCAGCCACGTGCTCTCTGAGTGTTTCTTCCCCATGACTGAGAATCTATTGTTATTCATTGAGTAGTAGTATAAACACAAAATACTAACGCCTCCTCAAAATTGTAAACACTAGTTTGTCAAAGTTCTAAAACGTTCACTTGTGTTTATCTTATTCGAGCTTTGGGCAACTGAAGGAATTTAAAACTGAGTTGAGAAGGAAGAGACAGGGCTGGGGAGAGGGAGCTAGACTGTTTAAGCAGCATGGGCAGACACATAAATGAGGGAGGGAGAAAGTCCGCTGGCAGAGGCTCCCATGAAGAGATTTATTGAGATCAACTTCCAGGCTGGATTATGCCGGGAAGCAACAGAATTCCTAGGCTTGGCAGCCACCCACTCCTTGTGAGTCATAAAAATGCTGGGGTAATAAAGGGCTGGCCCAGATTAAGGACATATTGTCTCCCATCAAATATAGTCAATTCACCAGTTACTTCAGTTTGACGCACTTTTAAAGTCCTTGAAATCCCCCTCTCTCTCACACACACACACGGAGGGGAGTAGAGTACCTATATATACAGGGACTTAAGAGGAAGATACAGAAGTGTCTGCTTGCAACTTGTGCGGGCCCAGAGCCTTCCCTTACTACCTCTGCATCACTGAATACATTTCTGTTCTTTAACAGTGTGCAATTACAGGAGGCGGCCATTTCCCGCAAGTTCAACTGATGCACAACCGCCAACACGTGGGTCATTTTGGACCTGGAATAGGGCAAAATGGGGCAGGATGGACTTGGGTACGCTTCGCCGATGCACATGGGGGCCAGCAATGGAACCCCTGCACAAATGGGTCACTGCCTGTGGTACAAAGGGTATTGTCTCAACACAGTGGCTGTTACCAAATGAACAAGACAAAGCAACTCTTGACAAGTTATGTGGTGCATTTCCCTGTGTGTGCATGCATTTATATACGTGGATGCGCACATGTACATGTACACACACACACACACACACACACACACACACAGCTGGGGTTGATTTTTAACTGAATATGTGGGACCAGCCTCAAAATACTGCCATGAATCCTCACCCGCCTAAATGGAGTGGCTCCTTTTCCTATCCAGGCTCAAGCCACACTCCTCCTCCAGCCAACCATTCCACTTCCAACCCTCAAGTTTTTTTGTTACCCTTTTTCCAACTGACCCTCCACACTCCATCGTTACTCAGCCTGCACTGGACTGGTTTCTGGAGTTTCCTCCCTCCCCAGCCCTCCCTAATAATTTTTTGCTTTGTTTCCTTAAAGTATTTTGCAAACCCACACGCAGTTACTTCTCCCCCTCTTATTTCTCAGTGGCCCCCATTTGGGCTTTGTTTTCGGCTCACCACCCTTGTTTGCCATTAGAGGAAGTGATGCTGCCGGTGTTTACAGGGGCATATATAGGGTTAAGAACCAAAGTCCTCGACTCACATTGTTCTTGGCGTTCGGCTTCATGCCAATGGTGCCAAATATCTCCTCTCCCGTCTTCACTGTTAGGTAGTCCTCCATGTAAAAGACTGTCTGCTTCCAATGGGTGTAGGGAGATTCGGGACCTGGGGAGCAACAGCCATGTGAGGACAATGTGCAAGGGTGCAGGGTGGGGAGATAGAACAGACATAGGGAAAGAGACATGGGCCCTACACATAGTGTCCCCTATCGTTTGCTTGGGTTTAGTTTACTCTTAGCTCTACTCTTAGCTCAGGTACTTCTTTTCCAAAAGAACTGAACCTTCCTCCTTGCCTTCAAGCTTCCCCCCAACTGTGCTTTATAAGCTCCCACTTGGCAAAAGCTACAAGAATTTCTAGGCTGGGAGGAAAGCCCAGCTTCATAAACTACTAGCTCCTGGCTTCAACTGAGCTCCTTGCTTGCCAGCAACAGCACATTCTTCCCAGAAGTACAGGCTAAAAGTAGTCTGTTAACCAGCTAGTTCTTAAAAGCAGATTGTTAGAAACCCAAAAGTTCTACTGCCCGTTAAGATGCAGCCACCAAGTCCCACCCTGCTGCTTCAAGTATACTCGGAAGGCAGAACCAGACCACCAGCCCGCCCGCTCCCCTGCTAACTCCTCAAGCCAAGGTCGTTCCCCTTACTGGTGGAGAATCCAGTGCGCTTGTGGCAACGAGTGAACTCTATGTTGAAATAGGCGACCAGGGCATGGATGTAGTCATTGCGCTTCACTTGGAGGCAGAAGGGTGATGTGAAGGTAAGATCTTCCACCTTCACCGTGTAGATATCCACCTCCTGCCAACCGTGGGTGACGAGAGAAAGAAAGAAAATAAAGAGAAGGCATGAGAAGCAGTAAGAAATGAGGTCAAGAAGATACTAAATAATTCTCACCCTTTACTAACCCAACACTACAAATTAAAAGCCAGTCATTCCTTTTAAGAAGCAAACTCCCCTGTGCCAATCAAATTAGGGCCACCTATAAACAAAGCGGAAAGTCCATCATATTGGGGAATTTTGAGCAAGCGGAAATACAGACATCAAAAAACAGAATTACAGGAGGACTGCACTTTACTCATTGTTTATTTGTGTTTGGTCAGCTCTGGCCTTCAAGCTAGCTGTGAGACGTTTGACAGATTCTCTCCCACTCCTCTGAGGAGAGACCTTTCTCACTGGCCTCCAAGACAGGCTCTGCAACATTTTGCTGTCAATTCCTTTTGTGGAGCTGTTTCTCCATCCATCTCCTCCCACCAGAACAACAAGGCTGCAACCTCTTGCCTGCAGACTCCATTAGTGGGCCATCTGCTCCACATCCATAACAATAAACTAAAACAGTCAATAACAATAAAGTAATACAGTCCAGAACAGTTGTGTCACAATGAGGGTGAGTGCAGGTGCACTGTCAAAAAAAGGAGCAAGCAGGAAAGCTGAACTACCAACAGCAACAGCAGGCAAAAACAGCCTGCAGCGCCACACACCGCAGCTAAACACTCACATCTACCCTCCCACTTATCCAGGTGTGGACTGCAAACCCCATGGACTGGCACCATGTTTCCCCTAAAGTTTCGCATATCACCATTGCTCCATGCTTATCCATCTGAAGTTATGAAAGCCAGAGTTTCATTCCATCTAGTGAGCCGTGAACAGTTTTGAAGAGGCAGCAGCAACACAGGCAATAAAGGGAGGAAGTGAAGCATCCAAAACCTTCAGGTTCCTTTTGCTGTGCATTATGCCCTCTAGAAAAGCACATTGGCCTGGAAACAAGAGCATAACCAGTGGACAAACTGCCTTTCGTAGGAGACATGGTTCTCAGCAGCAGCCATGGAGGTCCCTGGGCAGAAGGGCAACATGTCTCATTGTGTGGTGCCAAAGGCAAACTACTCCGGAAGCTGTACTTATGCCATCTTGGCACTCAAAATGAACCTTCAAGGAGCTCGTGTATGTTTGTATATGCCTGCTTTGATCCACTAATTGGCTTAACTTTCATGGTGCCCTTATCTGGATGAACTGGGATGCTGGGCTCAAAAGCCCAGAAGAGGAACTTTGTATTGTCTTGGGTATCTGCTACCTGCAGCCCTGGTCAGGTGGCTGACGTCATCTGCCATAGTGTATAAAGAATGTATGCATTTGGGGCTGGGTGTGGACAGTCTCCCAGAGGACAAGCCCTCTCCTTGCTGTGGAGCCTACTTGCTGTAGCATCTGTCCCACGTCTGTAAGGGCAAGGGGACCTGACAGACTGCTTTGCTGTAAGCCTATACCAATCTACAATAAAGCAGCAAGACTGCTCACTCTGGCGTTTGGCACTCTTCCTGGGAACTCCTGCATCTCACAAACTCCCAGCAGCTTAGCCCTAGCTCGGGGCTGTGACACTCAGCTAGTAGTACCTTGATGAGGCAAGCATTGGTGACCAATTGCTTCGGGTCAACAACATCCACCAGGGGCTCCTTGATCGCCACGTCTTTGATGCAGGACATGTCAAAGCCGTAGACATTCTCCCACCCTGCGGTAAGAGACACAGGTTGGATGTGAAGTCAGATCCTGGAAGGCCGTGACAATCGACCACACAGAGGGGCACAGCATCGAGAAACAGACCAAACTCCCCACCCATGGCTAGTCTAAGAGTTTTAAAACTTTAAATCTTCAGGGAGCTATTTTGTAAGACATCTCTCTAACACCTCCCACCCTGCTTCTCACCACAGAACCCCTGGACATTGCAGAAGGTTCTAGGACAAGTTAGTGGGTGCGCAGACAAACTGCTAACTGGGGCCCAATAGGCCTGGTGGCACCCCTGGATAACCAGGGGTTGACCCAAGAACATACCCCACACCCCTATGCTGCTGTGAAATGTATCCTGGGGCCCAGGAAGCCATAGTTTTGAACTTGCTGCCTTTTGGGGAAGCTTTTTTCCTATTATTCATCTTCTCTTCAAGAACCTACCAATCCCCAGAGGACTGTTTGAAAGTCACTGGGCTGGGCCACCATACAAGCGGAGAGAAATACTTGCTCCAAACCAAGCTAGAAACTACAGCTTGTCTTCAGTTATGGCACCCACCCGACACCTGCACTTGTCAGCCTTGTCTTCTTTGTTAGGGGAGCTCTTGAGCCTGGTCTTGTTCCCTGCAAACCACTGTGGTGCCGCCTGCTACTTACAGTGGATCTTGTAATCTTTGTACTGCCGGTCTTCAATAGCTGTGATGTACAGTGTAGCACGGTCTGGAAATATGAGTCCATCAGGGGTCTGGGACAAAAAATAAATAAGTGGAAGAAGATGTTACAACTCACTTCAGCCCTATTGTGCCATAATTTTTCCCTGTCCAGAGAAACTGATTCCTTGTGCTGAACTACTGGATGAGTGTGTGTGAGCTTCAATCCAAACACCATCCTGATTTGAATTATGACAAAGTGGCCTGGATTCAATTTACATACTGAAGCTTTAGACTTCAAGCAGCTGTTAGAAAAATGCGACTATACTTAAGTCATGCTTTGCTGCTAAGCTTCATGTCACACATTCACACTCCAAGTTATTACAGTATAGAACTTAAAGTTTAGCTTTTCCTATGGCCTTCCTAGGGGCTGATCCTAGACTGGGGCAGTACCATGCACTATTCACACATACACAACTTGCTTCTAGAGCTACCATGGAAGAATGTGTCCCAAAGGTGTTTCCACACCTCAGACCATCCCAATAGGAAGTGGCTCTAAATCCCCACTGGGGCCATTTTGCCCCTTGATGAGGTTTTGTTTCCTCTCATTCTTAAAAGCTATTTGAGCATACTGCCCTTCTAACTAGGGAACATAGTCTAATTCAGCACCTGGTTGCTCTTATGACCGAGGGCCAGTGACAAAACCTGCCATCTGTGAAGCAGAGTCCCCACAAGGAACAGCTCTTGGCTCCAAAACAGAGGACCTGGGAAGCTGCACAAGGCATGACAGTCCCATTGTCAAAGGAGATGACACCATATTGAAAGTCTGGTTACTGGTGTTTGTCCAGCTGATCAGATTTGTGAACCTGGGATATTAATAAGCAGCCACCCCAAATTTGCACCCTCCACATGTTTTGGACCACAACCTCCAAAACATTTGGTGGGCAACAGGTTGGAGGAGCTGATTATGTCAACTGCTCTTTCAGCCAAGAGAGCAACAGAAACCGTTCTGCCCCTACGTGTCTAAGGTTGATGGGGGGAAGCGGCTGGTGCACTCAGTTATCAGCACATCAGGAGATTTGAAAGTGTGAGTATGGACCCAGGAATTGCAGACACAGCAACAGGGCAGGTCAGAGACTCACCAGCCACTTGTCCCGGGCGTAGATGACAGTGTTGAGCATGGACTCGTAGAAGAGGCAGTAGCCCATCCACTCACTGATGATGATGTCCACCTTCTCCACAGGCAGCTCCACCTCTTCCACTTTGCCCTTGATGATGGACACCACTTCACCAGAGAAACATAACAAGAATGTAAGGGCTGCACTGGAAGGAGGTGCAAGCCAGCTGCAGCAATGGGATTTCCTCATATTAACAGCTGTTAGTCAATAGATGTTAGATGGGGGCTCTTGCAAAAACATGACGCTCCCCAAGCAAAGAATTAACACACAAAGTGCCTGGGAGAGTTACAACAGCAACGGATCTCTGCCCGATGGAGCTTTCAGCCTAGCATTCAGCACAGATGAGGAAGGTAGAAGCAAAGTAAGGCAGGGGGAAAGGGTGTGCGTTAAAATTCAGTTCCTTGTATTCATGCTTAGTTTTAGTCGGGGAGAAGGACTAAAAGATGATGGAGGTTAACAATTGATTTGAAGGAAGGAAGAGACAGGCAGCAGCAAACAGGTTTGATATAGGTGCACGATATTGCAGATGTTTAAAGGGCAAGGGAGAATGTAAAACAAAATTAGCTCACCATGATCGAGTTTGTTGGCTTTGACAATTTTGACAGCATAGTCAGAGATACTGGAGCATTCAATCTGTTAAGAGGGTAGTACCAAAAGGAGAGAAAGGATATTCACATATGTTCGTACAGCACACAAAAAATAAAAATACTTCTCCCTTCTTGCCTTGCTCACCCAGGAAAGAATCTTATTCATGCCCTCCACCCTCCACTAAATGTTGTTTCAGTTCAGTTCATCACGACCTCAACACTCTTTGGGGCCAGGTTTACTGCAAACTAAAGAGGTAAATAATGTTTCTAGTCCTCATGGGCTGTGCAGCAAGACATAGCAAACAAAAGGGCAGCAATGTCCAATCTCTCCTCCAATCTCAGCTTTCTCCCGAGGTCCAGCTACCTTGTCCCACATTCCCAAATTCTGAAAGGAACAGAGAGTCAGGCTGGCAACACAAACACACTCTTAATAGGCATGACTGGTTTCCACAACAGAATTTGGTTTTGTGGCTGGAGAATATAGTTCCTTCCCTACTAAATTCCAGACCCGTATGCTCACTCCACATAGCACCACAACAGATTATATAGAACCTACCAGTGCTTGTGTTTTTATGCTTACCACCCCTCATGAAAACAAAGGGACCAACCAGCCTTTGGCCACTTCACTCACCCCAATGACCCGCTTGGCACCAGCCTTGGCTGCAAACATGCAGAGGATTCCGGTCCCGCTGCCAACATCTAGGACCACTTTGTCTTTGAAGAGGTGCCGGTTGTGAAACATGGAATTTCTGTAGGTCAGCGTGCGCACCTCATCTTTCAGCATTTCCTGGGGGCAGGGAGAAAGGGCAGGAAGGCACATCAGTCAACTTTCACAAAATCCAGCTACACAAACGCACCCCTTGGACAGGAAAGAATGGGTCCCTGCGCCAAGGAGGTGCTTTGTAACCCATGCCCCAGCCAACTCTCTGTCACCTCGTGGATCCCGAAGTGGGCGTAAGAATCAAAATAGTAATCCTTGGAGGTCATCTCCTCTGCCGTTGGCTTGCCGCTGCTTTCTGGCTGGGTGCACGAGACCTGGTGAAAGACAAGAGGCAGTTAAGGCGAAACAGGCCCATGCAGGCAGGATTTCTCAATATAACAAGTCCCTGTCCCCCCACCCCAACCTCTTCATCAGAGTCACTCCCATCAGCTTTCATTCTTTTTGTCTTAAGATTCTTCAGCTGGCAGCAGGGTTGCAATGTTTATAGTTAATTAACAGGTTGGATAAATTCAAAACATTTTACAATAAAGGTGCCCCTGATTATTTTGGGCTGGGTTACAATGTTTATAGTTAATTAACTCACTGGATCAATTAACTGGTTGGATAATTTCAAAACATTTTACTGTAAAGATGACCCCGACAGTATTGGACAGTTTTTTCTTTAAAAAGTCAGTACAACTACTTATAAAAATTCAGACTGGCAAGTGCTGTCTTAACAGGCATTACAGTCTATATGTAGGAGGAGGAATGCAGCCAGCATCATCTCACAAGAGGCAACAAACATGCATGAATGAGCTGAAAAGAAATATGCCTTTTTTTCTTTGAGACTATTCCTTTAATTCATTTGCACACGTATGCCAATTTAACCAATCGCACAATTAAAATTTCTTCAGTTGGGTGACTGCCTTTGGTAGCAGTATTGATAAACCAACTGCTTTATAGTGTCAATTGTTTCTGATCATCACATCTGCAAAAGTAATCCCGTTTTTGAAGGATGAATACATTGGGGGTTTTTTCCCCCAAGGGACCAACAGAGCCTTTTGGAAATATCTGCGACTGGTTTTCCTCTCTTCCCCATAAGCTATATATTCCAATTATGCAACAGTTTCTTTATTCTAAGAGCCAGGTGATATAGTCTTCAGAAGTAATCTCTCACTCCAAACCCATGAGTACCACCAGCCCACATGTGCTAATCATTTGTATATTAAAAAGCAAGGGGGGGGGAGAGAGAGAAACTAGCACTTAACAACTTACTTGCAGACACACTTACTATAACTGATTTTTATAAGCCTGAATTTGCAATCTGTAGGGTCAGCAACTGGTAACCCCAGCACCAATCTGACCCTGCCAAGAAGGCTATTGGGGACACTGTAGTTGAAACCGCCTAGCTGGAGGTTAGCAGCAGCAGGGAATTGATCTCTTTATTCAATTGTTGAATTAGGGTGCATATCCTATGCTACGCCAACGACGGGGAGTCAACTTCGTATCCGTGCAGGGTCTAAATCCTGATACAGTATTTTACTGAAACGAACCACAAATACCCAACAAATATATAAGACAGGGCTCTAATGTAGAGGACAGCAGCTCCTTAGGCAGTCTCATGCCCATCCACCAACCACCAGAAATTCTGACACAATTCAGAGACTAAACCTCAAACCTAACCTTTTGCTCTTCTGTTACCACCCCAATTACTAGGATGTAGATAAGCTCCTTCAGGAAGGGATCAAGGGTGTTTTAGGTATCTCGGTTTTGCTTAGGAAAATATGGAAAACCTATTGTGTACATTGATGGCACTGCAATACTCCTATTGGGATAGTAGCCCCATGTAAAACTAAATGCTAATAGCGGCTCTCAAAGTGAAGTTCTGACTTACAACCCGTCATTCTGCCTGCAATGGAAATTACATGGCTCTCCTTTCCAGCTCCACCTCAACATTAAGTCATTAGGGTAATGAAAGCTTAATTATCTTATTTCCATATGTAGCACACCCTCACACTTCCATGTGTCTTGGGTTCTCAGTGTTGCTGACAGGCTTTAGAATGGGGCCAAATATCAACCCTAAAGCATACCAGAATTATTTGCATTTGGGGGCTGATTTACAAAACTACTTCCCGGCCCGTATCAAGATCACATAGGTCTATTTTGCGTGTGTGCTTGCAGTGGATTAGCCCTGTCTTGAGAGATTACCAAAGCCTATTCTTGGATAAAGAGCTCATTTAGCTCAGATTATGCTGGGACTGGTTAACTTTGATTGCATTCATATTTTTAAAAAAAAGATGCACTGATGCACTTTCTGTGGTTTTGGCTTTTAATTGACAACCTCTGAGGAAAAACTTAAAATATTTCATGATCCTTTTAAGTAGACTGCTTCATTTAAAAACAGAATCCATTATAAGCTATTATTAGGACAAAGGGATGTTTATGTTCCCGCTGCGTCAATTAGAATTCTAGCTTTTTTAAAAACCACATTTGCATCCCCTGCCCCCATTAGGCATCGTGAGGTGAGAAAGCAGGGGACCACTTTTGCACCGCTGCTACAACCACCAGATTTCAAGGTTCCAGTCCTAACTTTCACTTCTCTAGGCTCCATATGATTGAGGTCTCCTGCTCAAAACTGGGGGCAGGAGAAGATCGGAACATAGGACTGCACGAGGTGTGGCCTCAAATCATTCACAAGTTGCATTTCCAAGCATGTCACTCAGCAGGGGGTGGGGGTGTTTGAACCTGCTCCAAAACAGTCTGCGGAAGTAAATGCTGGAATCCCCCATCGGATTTATTCCTCCAAAGTCCCATAGCTAGACTGCTGTGACATGCTAGGAAGTTTCCCCCATGGAGCAAAGAACAGAGGCTTGGTTGCGGGGCGGGTGGAGAACATAGGAAGCTGCCTTCTACAGTCAGGCCATTGGTCCATCTTTCCCAATATCATCTGCAGTGACTGCCAACAGCTCTCCAAGGTTTCAAACAAGAAGTCTCTCCCAGTTCTGCCTGCAGATGCTGTGGACCGGTGTTTGAAATTCCCCAGACAATCTGTTGCAAGCCACCTTGAGGATTACTGGGATTGAAAGGTGGGATATAAACCTCCTGAACAGATAAAATATAGGGCAGGTGGAAGTTTCTCTCATTCCTGCCTGAATGAGGACAAGCTGCAGTTCCGTGGTCCAGCACATGCTTTACACAAAAAAGGTTCAATCCCCAGCATCTCTAGGTTGGGCTGGGGTGGAAAAAAGACCTCGCTGCGAAATCCTGGAGAGTCGTCATTTGTTAGCTTTGAGAGTTCCTAGCTAGAAGGATTAATGGCCTGATTTGGAATAAGGAAGCTTCCTCTTGCAAATCTGCCCCCATGGCCTCTTCTATACCTGGCTCACTCTTTCTCCTTGACTCCCAACCCCCAATATTCCTTTAAAAATTAAGTCAAAATAAAATTGGTGTAAGCCACCTTAAATTTAGCAACTCACTTGCAGCTCCCATTCCATCTGCTAAAACACGGGTGGGAAAACTCTGGCCCTTTGGATGAATGCGGACTCCCAGCTCTCAACCACTGGCCCTATGGGGTAGAGCTGATGGGAGACCAACCATATCCAGAGGGCAGCAAATGTTATTGTGGCACGCAATCCTGTGGACTAGAGGCCATGTCAAGTGCACCAAAAGTGGGCGGCAGTTCACAAAAGCTTCTGCCTGCAATACACCTGTTTTTGTTTTATGGTGCCCCAATATCCTGTTGTTTGGATTTTTAGGAGTTAGCTCTGTGCAGGGATGGAAAGCACTTAAGTGTCAGGTTTGTGTGTGTCTCAGTGACAAACCATTGGGTTCTCCCCCCTTTGGGTCAACCACAGCACACCAATTCCACTTTTGTGACTGGAAAAAGTCTGGGAGAAATCCAGCAAGACTCTCTACTTCAGTCTTCTTAGCTCCACAATACCTATGGACCCAGATTCCACCCCCCCCTTCCACTCTAGGGCCAATATTTTCACCCCAACCCAGGGGAAGGGTGGCAGGCTGCCCCAGTGTAGGCCTACCTCCTGAGCTGCTCTACCCCCCACCTGCCCCCAGGAGTGAGGAGCTGCAACAAAAGTTAAGGAAACAGTGAGTCAAGACTCCCAAATGCAACCAGCTCCTTCACCCATAACCCAGAGCCACATGGGTCCATATGCAGCCCTGCCCCACCTATCTCCATGCTCAACATACATTGCATGCCTGTTGGAAATGAACCAGCCTCCTTACAGTTTGGATTTTAAAAAAAGGAAAAAGAAAGAATGGAGGGTGGGTGGGGAATTTGTAGTATGAACTCCTTCCCATCCTCCACCCCCAGTGCCAACCCAAAAATAATCTGCAGAATTTATTTGACCTGATTTTGGGATGGCATTGTATTAGAATTGGGAAAGTGTGTATCGGGAAGAAAGGCTCGGAAAACACTAGAGGGACAATGGGTGTTTAGCGCATTGGAAGAAGGAGCCACAGGCAAAGACAAGCAGCCAGGCTGAGCACAGCTGTTCCATCTCTCTGGCCAGCAATGAAATCCTCTTTTTTCTCACTCCCCCTCCCCACAAAGAGGTTCCTGAACCTTCAACCTGAACGCCCCCTCACAATCTCCATTTTTGTTTTCTCTCTGAAAAGCAGAAACCCGGGTTTTTGTATACCAAACTACCCATTTTCTTTCATTTGCAGCCATATATAAAATAAAATGGGTTTTTGTATACCAAACTACCCGTTTTCTTTCATTTGCAGCCATATATAAAATATTTGGATGAAAAGTAGAGCAGGCTCCAGACTACGCGAGATCGCATTATCAGCAGATTTAACCGTCTGAAATAGAACAACTGTGACCTGGCTCCATAGCCTCAGTGTGGATTAGTAACATCCATACCACAAAACATGTATGGTCAAGGGCCCCCACTCTTTTCTCTCCTGTGCCACTTAGCTTTCTGGACTGAGTGGGTACCGTAAAACAAGTCAAAATCACCAGCAAATATTAATGATGTGGTCCAAATGATGTACACAAGCAAGCCAGAATGGTAGGGATTAAAAACCAATTCTGCAGAAAGGGGGGGGTGGCAAGTGGGCAGGAGAGAGGGGGGGAGGCAGAATGTGGCTACATCTACAACTCATGGGAAATGAGATGGGTTATTCCTAGCAGCTCTGAAGAAGGGCAATACTTCTACGCCTCTTAAAAGCATGGGAGCAACTACAGAGGCATTTTTTTTAGCAGAGGACAAGTGCAAGGTAGAGAAGGGGGTGACTGGGTGATGCACCGCCAAGCTGGCGACATAGCAAGGAAAATAGATTTTCTTTTGCCAGGGCTAGCGTGCCTCACCCACACCCAGGGCTGGGCACTAGTCTAGCCCTCGTGAACTCAAAGGATATTTACATCTTCTAGCGGTGTCTGCAGGCTCATCCCATTAGCCAGCGTGGTTACAAAATTCTAGGAGAGAGAGAGTAACAAGGGAAATAAGGTCAATTCAAAGCTCAACGGGAACTGAGCCGGAGACTGGGTCTAATTGACGATGGGGGTGGGGAGGGGGGGTCAGAAGAGGTGGCAAAAAGGTGGTTGAGGACACAAAAACCAGACTGTGAGGGTGGCAGGGGTGTGTGTCAAAGGAATCTCCTGCTAAGTTTGCCACAGGTGGCTAATAAGACTGGGTCTCCTTCCGGAGCCAGGTACTGGTCTCAAGATCGCCATGGCAACAGAGGCAGACAGATGCAAGGAAGGGGAAGGTTGTCCTCAGTAGGGGTTCTCTTATGGTGTGAAGAATGACAGGCACCCCACCTTCCAAATAATGCATGCACTCTATTATCAGCCACTATGATAACCGCAGCACATGGAACAAGGTCGCTACTGGTCCAAAAAAGCCCTCTTACAGGATTACCACAATCTCATGCCGTAAATAGAAAACAAAACCCATCTGAAATACCAATGAGGTTGCTATGCCAAGCTATTAAGGGCCCTGCCAAGCTGCTCTGTTAACACACCCGTCCCAGAAAATTCAACAATAGCTCCGCCTCTGCCTCCTACTCTCCCTGCTCCGCTCCCCTTGATGAAGGGCCAGGTATGAGATCCAGATGTTTTTGGACAACATCTCCACAAGGGACTAATAGGCAAAGATGCATAGACATGGCTAGAAATGGCCATGTATGGAGATGAAAAAGGAATGGCATACTGTTTGCATGGGCTCTTTTAAGATGTTGGGGTGGGGGGAATATCCATGACCGCCACTTGTCATTCAGCACTCCTGTTCAGGACCATTCCGCTTAACACCCCCGCCATTCGGTTTCACTACTCTCAATAGTCATTGCAGATATGTCCATTATTTTCAAAGCCCACAAATGCATAGGATCTACACTGCAAGCTGCCAACCCAACCCAAGAGAATCATTTGCAGGAGCTTCTGCTCTAGTCTGGTGCTAGTTGCCCTGTGCCAGACTATATTGCTTCTCACTGGCTCAGAAGCACAGGCACCAGTGGAAAGGGCTGTAGCTCACTGAGAGCATCTGCCTCGTATGCAGAACACCCAAGGTTCAATCCCCAGCATCTCCAAGGACTGGGAAAGAGTCCCAGCCTGAAACCCTGAAGAACTGCTGCCAGCCAGTGTAGACAATACTGACCTAGACGGACTGGTGGTCTGACTCAGGAAGCTTTGTTATGTTCAGCGAAAAACTTTGAATGAATGTGGCAACTGTTTTGGGATGTGATTGAGGGGCCGCTTTTAAGGGCACCCGACCTATGCAAATCGAAAGGCAAACTGCCTCCTTGTCTCTTAGTGAGGGCAGTGGGCTCTCCTTCCTTATCCAAACTACGTAAGGCCTTGATCCCTTTTTAATAAGGACACATGGCAGGGAGTTGTGTGGGGAGTTCTCCACTGTCCCAACACTGGGTGCTCCTTTGTTCAAAGGATCACCGCATGGTGAAATAGGCGGGAGACACACTAATTTCCTGTCTGAGGAAACCCCTCTCTGCTAAGGCAGGCACATATTCTCCCCCACTTCCAGTCACATACAGCTTCCTCTTCCAACACTGTACAACCCCCTTTCACTTCCAATCTGACTTTCATTCTTTCCCTCACCACAGCACCATCCTTCCAAGCTTAACCCCATCCTCTCAAGCCTATGGGTTGTTGTCCAAACTTCCCCTATTATTTTCCTCCCCAATGAAGCTCCACATGCAAGGCCCCCGGGCTCACCATAGCCCTATCTAAGTTCCAAGAGCTTTCCCTGACCACCTTTTCAACCCATAAGAAGCCCCCCAACCCACCCCTGGATTTCCCAGTATTACCAAACTCCCTCCAACTCCTCCTCTTTTATTGGCACCTCCTTGAACAAAGCAAAGCACAATAAGCGCTCTCTTCCTAAAATCAAATTTCACTGAAGATGCTTGCAGCGTCACAGACCCACACGTAACCCATATATGACAGGGGTGTCCTCCCAGGACACAGACAAACCCTCCATCAACAACAGCCCCCTTAATTGTCAGGGAACAAGCCACTTGGGAGTTTGGATCCAGTGCTTAAGTGAAAACTAGGAAAGATTGGGGGCGGGGGAATCAGGAAGCAACAGACAGGCTGAGCATGCCGCTACCCCAGATAGGTTGGAGACTGGGGGTAGTGCTTGGGACTAGGTTTGGGAAGGAAGACCGTTTAGCAAATTTCTTCGGGTGTTTTTTTTTGGGGGGGAGGGTGCTTTTTCCTTCTGGAATAACTGGATTTGATTAAGCAGCAGTGGCCTGCTCAGTTAGGAAAAGGGGACCATTGTTAGATGAGAGTCAATGTGGGGGTTCTTTTTTGGTCCACGGTGGGGTTTAACACGAGCTCGCAGACCCCAGCGGTCCACGATGCGGGAATATTGCATTACAAGAGCAAGTCAATCGCCTGCGGGGCTAAGAAGAATCCCAAGGGGGCTGGAAGTTTAATGGGCCGGATTCTCCTTGGACAAAGAGCTCAGTTACAGCAACGAATGGCCGGAGAGCGGGGCGGAGAGAGAAGTGTTACGGGGGGGGGGAGTGCGGTGGTCGGGGAGGTGGGAAAAACTGGGAAGAGCGACCCAAGGGGGCCAAGGAGCATCTGGGAGGGAGGCAGCCCGCCGGCGGGACCGACCAAAACAATGGGTTTTTTTTTATTGGCGGTGCCGGGGGGTGTTGCAAAGAGGACTTTCCAAGGGACGAGGCTTCTTCTACATACATCGCGGGAGGCTGGCGGGGGGCGGAGCTCCACGGGCCTCCCCCCCCCCCGGCCAAAGGAGGCGGGGTCCTATGGGGCAAGGCGTGCCATGCGGCTACCATGAGGAGCGCAGGCATGTTCAACGGGGAGGGAAGCGTGGGGGGGGGGGAACCCATAACTTTATGGTGTGGAAAGTGGGATGGAAGAAGACGGATGCAGAGCGAAAAGGAAGGGAAAACCAAACGGGAGATATTGTTCAATATTATTCATATTTCAGGGGGGGGGGGGCGCACAACTGAATCTTCATTTCCACCCCACCTTCAGACTGATACTCACTAACGCGGGTGTGAGTGGTGAATAAAACCATGGGGAGAGCCCCCCCCAAATGAGCACAGGAGGAGGAAAGGGGGGCGATGGGCTTCTTCTCTAGGGCACCAAAAGGCTCCCAGAGGTGAGGAAGGGCAGAATTCCACGAGCAGAGGCGGAAGGGAAGGGGGAGATGTGGGGCTGAGGCGCTTGGGGGGCCGGGTCAGCGAGGCACCGCGGGGCCTTTCAAGAGAGTGGGGGGGCTCAATGGCAGGGGGCTGAAAGGGGTCTCAGGTGAGCAACTCCACCCGCCCCCAGGGAGCAAGTGGGTATGGGGTACTAGAGGGGGGCTGGGGCTGCCACTAGGTCTTTCCCCCCCGCCGCCGCCTTTCTTTCTCCCCTCCACCCGCCCTCCCTCACTCCCCTCACCTCCATGATGCAGTTTGCAGCCTCCGCCATCTTGTGAATGAGACACAGAAAGAGAGAAGCACTGGCTCAGCTCCCCCAGCTTTGCTGAGCGGAGGGGAGGGGACTGGGAAGCCCATTGGGCGGAACCTTTGTCATTCAAGGCGCATGGGCGGGAAAGGAAGTAAAGCCCGCCTCTGGATTTTCATAGGCTGACCGGGTCTCTGGCAGCAGAAGGAGGAATAGCTGTCTATCAACCAATGCTCAATCCCCATTGGACCAACTCGGAGAGGCAGAGCGGCTTCTTGGTCGGTCGTTTGCGCGCGCGCGCTCTGAGCGCTCCCAGAGGCTAAAGATCCAAAGGAGCGGGAGGGGAAGTTGTCCGTCAGCGCTGGGGGCGTTGCTTCCACTCCATGAGCTTTAAATGCCATTAGATGAGGTGGGGAAATGGCCGTCAATCGTAGCAGGGAGGCGGTTTTCACCAGCGATAGACGAATAGCTATCGGTGTACCTAAGCGTCATTCAAAGATAAAGGCCTCCATCTTCTCAATAGCTATTGGTTTTTCTCTTCGTCCCACCTTCTCAAACGTGGAAGCTATTGGTTCATTTAAGTGGCAATCAATTAAGAGCGTTCGCGTTCAAATTCAGTCGCTTCAGATAATTTGACACGCGGGAAACATGACAAAGGAAGAGCGGGATGCCGAAAAGGAATCCACATTCTGAATGAGAAACTCCAGCAGCACAGAGTGAAAGCCGGATGGCTTAAGGAATTAGGAGACAGCCGTCCTGAAAAACCGAATATTGGATCGATTGGCTGAGATGAGGGAGAGACCGCCTATAAAGTGACTCTCTAATGGCCATTGGCCGCCTTGGTAGTCACTCACACATTTAAATCCCCACATAGCGCCCTTCATTCACTTACTGGCGGATCTCTATGACAATTATTGGCTGGAACGATTATAAAACGATTTAAAAGTTGTAATGCTTCATGGCCAAGGTCAAATTCTATTTGAGAAGGGCAAGATATCACTTGGGGATTAGCAACAGCCCTTTCTCTTCAACAGAAGCGCTTATTGGGCGAGTTCGTTGTCAATTTAACAGCTATCATGTTTGATTGGGTACTTTTGTTATCGTTCATAAAGCGCGAACTATCTGTATCCAACAAATACAGGCCTCCTTGATTAGTGTCAGGCCTATATGGGCCGCGCCATTACCAGCCTGGGAATTCTTTCGTGAAAGCTCATTGGTCGAAGCCCTAATGAGATCCTATTGGTCAAGAAGGGTGCCATTGACAATGTGAGGTTATGCACGTGTCCCTGTAGCTCCGTCCGTCCCTTTTTCTACGTATCGCAGTGAGGAATAATTCAGCACGTTACATGGTAACAGTAAATTGTTCAAATCTGACAAGCTCTCACCAAACCGGAATCTGAACGATGAATTTAGAGAACACATAACAGATACTAACGAATCTGACCCCAAGAGGCTCAGGCCAATTCAGAGGGAAATGTTTTGTGTGTGTTTTTGAGTTTAACAGTGGTTGAACCTCCAACACTTTCCTCCTGTGTCTTTCTCTCTTTTTAATCACAAGTCACTGAACTTTTTCTAGGCAGACATCAGGCAGTCACTATCCCTTATCCTAATCTACCTCACAAGGTTGTTGTGTTCATAAAATGGGACGGGTAAGCACCCATGAGCTCCTTAATGGAAGGAAAGGAAAGATAATACTGTAAAAAAATTAATATCCTATCTACATTGTAAATCCTGCTGAGCTTAATGAGGCTTACTCCGAAAAACAATGTTGCTACCTTAAGGGTCCCTTGAATTGAGCCAGATTGCCAACAAAACTGTTTTGGGTGCCTCTCTTCATCCAAAATCCCCTGTTCACAGAGTCCTGCCAACACCCAAGATCGAGCAACTTCCGAAGTGTTGCAAGACCCATCTGTCTCACTTTGGGTGGTTAAACTAGCACATGGGTTAAGATATTTCAAGAAAATGATGCAATCTATTTTTATCCATTTGTAATATTTCGTTTTATGCCTTTTAGTTGCTTCCCACTGATAACCTGTTTTTGCAATCTCAGGCAGGCAGCAAAGTTTACTGTACCTCAGTAGGCTGTCATACACAGCTGGTAAACAGGATTCAGCCTAGTTGATCAAAAGTTGTGCAGCCCTAATTACTTTTCCCCCTCTCACTTCAGGCTCTCTGAGCTCCTTACAAAGATCAGTAATAAGATGCATGATACAAAAGGAATTGGGAGGAAGAAGGAAGATGTTAATTAGTCCATAATCTCCTTTCACCCTGATTATCCATCATTATTCCAACATCTATTCCATAATCTCCTTTTACCTGATTCTGTCATTAGCCCCATATTTTACACCACAATCTCACTTTAACCCTCAAACCACCCCACTCTGCTTTTACTCAAATTCTCCATTGTTATATCCCACAATCTCCTTCTCTATCATTACCCCACACTCACCTTCAACCAGACTTTCTCCTTTTGCCCCACAGTGTGTCCTTAAACTCTCTTTTTCTCTATAATTATTCTGCATAACTGCCTCCTATATTTTTCCTGGAACCCCCTTTCGCCCCTGATTCTCCCTGTACCCATATTATATGCACACACACCCCACCTTTCCCATTCGGTTTTTTCCTTCCATCGCCAATGCAACCCCTCCTCCCTTTCACTGCCGACACTTCCCCTTTAAGACCTTGCAACAACCTCTCTTCCTTTCCGACGCGTTCGAGACGCTGCCGAGCCTGCTGGGAGGCTTCCCCCTCAACCAATCAAGAAAGCCGGAGAGGCAAAGGAACGTGGGTCAGGGTGGGCAGAAGCAGGAAAAGAAACCCCGGAGGCATGAGAAAGCTGCCCCTGTCGAGGGGGGCGAGTCCGGCTTGGGCCGTGGCCCCGCCCACTGAGGGGTGTGGCCTCTGAGCAGGAGGGTCTGGAGGGGAGGGGGAAGAGGTGCGGGGGAGCGAGCAAGTAGTTTGTCCTCAGCTGCAGAAAGGTAAGCACAGCCGGATTCCCCCGGGCGCTCCCGAAGATCCCCCTTTCCTTTAATCGCCAGGGACCCAGCTTTATACATAACTATACCTAGGACTCTTTTCATTTCATGCTGTATCTAGCTCTTCTTGCTCCCCTCGATTCCCAATGGGAACCGGACTACCTGCTTTACACACACACACACACACACACACACACACACACACACACACACACACACACACACATTCCTGCGACAGTTACTTCTTCCTTCCTTCTCTTTCGCCCTCCCTATCCTTGCACAGCCCTCGCCCAATACCTCTGAGGAACAAATCTTGTACCTCTGCTCCCACAGGCCTGCGATCCCAAATCTAATAGGCTCTCCTTTCCCCCACCCTGTTCTTAGCAAGATTCTTAAAGGATCGCTACGTTCCTTCTTATATTCTAGTCTTTTCCGCGCTTCCCGGAAGGATCCCAAGCCTGCTGTCCAGAGTCTCTTGCAGAGTAAGCGAGGCCTGCACTCCGCCTTCTCTTCGCCTAGGTTCCCTCTCGCTATTGCTAAGGGAAAAAAATCGGGACCCCTGTTCCTTCCTACTTAGATACAGAAGATTTCTATGCAGTCTTCCTTTCAAGCTTCTCTAAAATGCACCCATCCGCCCTGCCACCTCTTAAATGTTGCAGTCGGAAAGCTCCCGGCAGACCTCCCATCTTACCCTTTCCCCTCCTTCAGCTGTTGCTGTTACTCAAGACTAAATGCAAGCCTTCGAAAAGATCAAGGGGTGGTGGTGGTGGAGAGGAGGCAGAAACTTGGACTCCTGGGTTCCTTAGAAGCAAAACGGGGGTGGGTTGGGGGGGCAAACACAGAGACAAAAACTTGGTTTATAATGGTTTAGAGAAGGTGGGCTGGGAGCCAGGACTCCCAAGTAGTCTGAGGTGGAAAAAAGGAGGGTTGAAAAGGATTCCTGCATTTAAGGGGCTTGGACTAGATTGCCCCAACTCTACAATTCTAGGATCTGAGGAGGAAGGGGTTTTATTTAAGTACATTGAGAGAACTGGATGCTTAGAATTCTCACCAGTTACGGAGACCCTTCCAGGCATGATAGAATAGTAGAACAATAGATACAATAATAGATAATAGAACATGACCTTCTTTTTCTGATTCCTCCAGGCTAGACCTAGACCTCCCCCGAAACCCCTTGTCCTCACTTTCAACCCCTGGGGCATCATGCCACTCGCCCGCAGCCTCTCAGTGACCTCCCTGACAGGATTGGAGGACTGGGATGATGAACTCGACCTAGAAAATGCCATCCTTTTTGAGGTGGCCTGGGAAGTGGCCAATAAAGGTAAGATGTAATGTCTTTTCAGGCTTCTTCTTTTTTTAAGGAAAATGGTGGTGTTTGATGGGCTCGAGCAGGTTGGCAAGTGGAAACCGGAATGCCTGAGGTTCTTTTCTTTGGTGGGGGTGTTGCAGAATTGGGACCAGTGGGTGAGCATAAGGGGGGACTGGGAACACGCCTTGCTGAGATATTTGTAAGCAAAGTAATGTTGAGTCCTGAAAGCCAATAGCCTCCACCAGTTGGACTACAACTCTCATCACCCCTAGCCAGCAGGACCAGTGGTCAGGGATTATGGGAACTGTAGTCCAAAAACAGCTGGAGACCCAAGTTTGGGGAACCCTGGCCTAGACGTTAAAGCAGGAGTGGAAGGCTTGCAGTCCTCTAGATGTTGTTGGACTACATTTCCCACCATCCCTGGCAATTAGCCACGCTGGCCAGGGATGATGGGAGTTGCAGTCCAGGAATATCATTCTAGAGGGCCATTGGTTCCCCATCCCTGCTGGAAAGGGTAAAGGTATCCTTCCCACAGCCTGATGTCCTCTAGATGTTGTCGGACCTGAGCTCCCATCACCCCTGACCATTTACTTTGTTGATGGGAGCTGGTGTCCAAAACATCTGGAGGGCACTTGTTTGGGGAACAGTGGTGTCGGAGGAAAGGAAGCTGAAAGTCAGGGATCCTCTTTTCTCTGGGGTTCCCCTTCCTCCTATAATGGACCTCTGTGTTTCTTCCTTGCAATCAACAGGTCTGGGAAGTAGCTTAGGCCTTATTCCTCCTATGACTGTGCATGGCTCCTCCTAGCTATAAAGCCTCCCCTTTTATGTTAATGCAATATGGGTTGATGGGCGGCTGTAGTGCCCCGTTATTCTGAGTGCTCCCAGTGCAGTCAGCTGTCAGAATGTAGAATGATCACCCAGTGTGCCCTCTGGTTGAATCAGTTGCCATGTGTCTTGCTTCAGAAGTCCTGGTGCTCTTTTGGCAGGCTATAAAGTGATTAACATGGGGTGCAATGATGTTGAAGGGATGCAGCTGTGGTGCTGCTTGGACAAGGGGCAGTGGGCTTCGATGGCGACTCCTTTCGATCCTGGACACTTGCCAGCGCTGTCACTATCCCGGAGGACCTGTTCCCATGTGCGCTGTTAAGGACACGACCCTTTGGGAGGTTAAAGTTCTCCTGGCTTCTTCCCCAGAGTTTGAGCACGTGCCTTGCATGCCCCAGCTATATTACCAACACAGAAAGGTTACACTCAACCTCCCCATGTTCATGCACGCACGCACACACACAGGTTACACTCAACATACACACACACACAACCCCACACACCGTTCTGTTGCATAAGGAACCTCTTGAAATGTCACATAGTCCTTGAAGTTGCTGCGTCCTTGTATAAATAGGCAACTGTTTAGAAGCAGGAGGGTGGCTGCTTCTGAATGTCAGGTCAGAACCTTCCCTATCCAGTGTCATGATTCAGCCACCTCACCTGGAATCATGCTGCCTAGGAACAAAAACCTGACTTCGGTTTTGAAGCAAAATCAAGCTACTAGTCCTCACGGGATTATAAACATGTAAAGCAACATCTGCTCAAAGCATGGTAACTATTAAGAGCCTGTTGCAACTTCTGTTTGTTGGGGAATTGAACTTCTGCATCATGTACTTCCTTTCTCCGCCTGCCCCAGTCACATTAACCTAGTCTATTCTCTCTTTCCTGTGTGCCTTTGGTTTTAATGGTTACATATCAGGAAACGGCAGTAATGTTTCTTTAATATGTGAGTTGCTACTGAAGGTACACTATTCGTTTCTTCCCTTTTGTAGTCCAAGTTCCTTTCCCATTTTAAAAAAAACCTCAGCATCCCAGGTCTTGTATCTGAAGATGGTATATTCAAGAAGGGGCTGTTTTAGATGACTTTCTGGGAAACTTCCATTGGATATAGAATTTGGAGGCCTATCTTCTGATGGTGGGTGGGTTGCCAAGAAAATGTTACAGTTGTGCTCTAGCATCAGTCCCGGCTCCACATTGTCTTTTGGACACCATTCAAGATGCTAGTTTTAACTTGCAAAGCTTGCTGTTTTTCTTAGGACATTCAATGGAAGATGGTCTCCATTGTGACTATTAGATCAAGCACGAGCCATGTCACCAATGCAGCAGAGCCAGACGACAAAGGCACGTGGTAGCTAATGATGGATCCTGAGCAATTCTGGAATTTGTTTAGGACAGGCTTTTGACACACTGGGCTAAGCAGGCTGAAGCAGTTTTAATGGCTTTTTATCTACCGTTTTACATAACTGCATTTTGCCTTAACTGTTTTGTTGGTGTGTTGTTGTTTTTTAAACAGTTGCTTCCACCAAGATCCTTGGGGATCTGAGAGGAGGCAGGTCTTAGAAACTGAAATCTGCCAAAGACTGCAGTCCTATGCATGTGTAACCTGAGCATAAGTGGGACTTGCTTTCAGGCGTAGTGTTGCACTGTGATTTTGTAAAACATAGTTGGAATTTGTATCTGAATGTATCCTATGAAATTCTTTGTGTGCATGTGTCTCTTCCTATATGCATAAAATGGTAATGCTGTTGTCATGTAGGCAGCCTTGACAACTCCTATCTGGTGAATAGCAGGCAGCCAAGCAAGCAAGTGTGGGGGTGATAGGTGGATGGGGTGGGGGGAGGGGAGGGGAGGCACCATCAGAGGCACAATGAAATTTGCTAAATCTCTGTGTGAAGGACCTCCCCCTCCCCATTAAGCACACCTTCACATAGCGGTTTAGCAAGCTGCTCTATGGGGTGGGGTAGGAGGGGAGGGGGAAGCTGAGGGGCAGGATAAGTGAGGGACTGGGGTGAGATATAAAGGGAGGGGGTTGTTGTTCTGGGTGTAGGGGAATGGTATTTGGCCAAAGGGATTGGGAAGTGGAATGAGCAGGGGTGGCAGACCCTAGTTAATATATACATATTTATGTCCTAGTACACTCTGAAATACAGCAATTGTACCGTATAAGATCGCAGCTTGGAGTTACTAGGAAGCATGTGCCAGAAGAATATTGGAGCAAATCAGCTCCTGAAAGTCTGGAAGGTGTATCAATATTAAGTACTTCTTCCATTATCTCAAAGTAGGGCTTGCATATATTTGTGGAGTGATGAATACAGAACACAGTGCCTTGGCGTCATGGTCATGGGGATGAATGAAACTGGGGTTGTTCAAGGCACATAAGCATCAGAGCTATCAATGTCTAGTAGCTGGGATGGAGGCAATGCTCTTTCTCTTCTAAATACCAGTTTCTGGAACCCACAAGAGGGGAGATTGTTTTTGTGATCAGGCTCTGCTTGCAAGATTCCCACAACCAACTGGTTGAGCCACTGAACAGAATGCAGGACTCTTCTTATGTTTAGGGCACCTCGGTTGTCCAGGTAGTGTACAGGATGAAATTGGTCAGCATTGTCCTTCAGGGCCCTCAGTTTGCAGCCATCCAGCTGAGGTCTTGCCTGAGGCCAAATTGAGCAGCAGTGCACCCATAAATTCCATGTGAGATGCCTGCATTTATCCAGCCCCAAAATGGCACCTGCTCCTTATAGAAGTGATGCCCCAGGCCCTTGTATCCTGCAGTGCTGATTTTCTGGCCAAGCCTTTTCACCTACATTATTCATGTAGGTGGTTTTCCTCCCTTCTTTTCGATTTACTAGCTTGGAAAGGGATGCAGCGAGCCAAGATGAGATGCACATTTGACAGAGGCAGCCAGGACCATAGGTAGGCGAAGTGGCTTGCAAGTGATGCCAGAGTTCGTGCTCTTTCCAGGAAGAGAACTGGCGCCTAACTGGTTATAAGAGAACAATTAGTGCCAGGAATCTTGGAGCAAGTGTATGGCCTCCTTAATTTTCTCGGATCTGCAGAGTCAGAGTGAAGTACTTTGGGGCAACTCCAAACTGAAAGACCTAAAGGTTTGATCTGCGCATCTCCTAGGCTGCTGGGGTGGAGCTTGCATCATTCCAGTTTTCCTTGGCAAATCCCAGAACCCCAAAAGCCTTGGTGAGCAGACGCAAGGGTATCTCAAAGCTTCCTTTTTGTATGTGTTCTTCAGTTATAATGTTGAAATGGGAACCCATTCAGAAGAGGTGTGCATCGTGTAGCTGCTTGTTCACCACCCCTGAATGAATTCTGCCTCAGACATTGCTATGGAAGTGTAGCACTACCCTACTGCAGGAATGGGGAACCTGTGCCCTTGAGATGCTGTTGGACTCCTGTTCCCATCAGCCCCAGCCAGCACGGCCACAGATTGGGGATTATGGAAGATGTAGTCCAGCAACATCTGAATAGCCATAGGATTCCCATCCCTACCCTAATATCTGTACCTAAACCTAAGTAGATGTAACTGAAACAGTTGTGTAGTCCTAACCTACTTACTTCTGCTTATGGCACTGTTTAAGTAAGTGCATCTCTATGGCATCCACGAATTCATGTTCCTCACCATGATTTATCCTTTCTCAATGATGACTTGGAGCCAAACGTGAGCTGCCCCTACTGAGAACCATTCTGCTCGACCTGCAGTTCACATGTGGAAATTGTTGTGCTGTGCCACAGACATCCATTGGGAGCATGCATGAGCCAACCTCCCCTTAATGTTTCTGACTTAATGTTGGAATGCTTCCATTTCTGATTAAGGATCTAGCGAAAGTAGGCTGTTGCATTGCACAAGGGCTTTTCCTATCGAAGGGAAATAGTGTTAGTAGGTTACTGTAAAGCACTGAAATAGGTTCACTGAGGAACATCCAAGCAGTACAACCACAGGAGTACAGGAAGAATTCTGCTGGATCAGATCTAAAGACCTGCCTGGTCCAGCATCCTAGTTCCTGCAGTAGCCAGGCAGGTGTTTCTGGGAATCCTACGCAAGAGCCTGAAAAAATGCCCCTCCCTTCTTGTTGTCCTCCATTGTGGAATGAATGTTCAAACTGGATATACCCATTGTGACTAATTGCCACGAATAGACCTATCCTCCATGAACTGCTTAGCCTGATTAAGAAGCGATACGATAGCCATTTTCAAATATTTGAAGTGCTGTTACATAGATGATAGAGCAAATCTGTTGCTTGGGTGGGTGCAACCGAAAATCTAACATTCGAATTACAAGAAAGGGGATTTCAAATAAAAGCTGCTTCTGGAGAACTCTCCTTCACTAGGAGTTTTTAAAGCAGAGGTTGAAGCTAAGGAGGGATGCTGAAGCAGTGGATTTTCTGCATTGGCAGGGGGTTAAACTAGGTGACCTTTGAGATCCTACTCAACTCTGAATCTATGAACTTCTCTATCCATGTTTGAAAGCCACCAGCCATCCCTATATCATGTCTTAGCGAATCCCGTAACTTTACATCGTGTGAAGAAGTGCTTCCTTTCAGCCTCTCGTCAATCTACCACTGATAACTTTCACATTCAGCATCCTATGGTCACAAGCCAACCCAATGCCAAGACCCCTGAAAGTGGACGAAACTCCCTCTTTGTGCTTGACCGCATTGATGTCTGGGAGCAGGTGGGTACCAGCCTATAGGGGGTCAACTAATGCCACATCTTCTCTCCCTTCAGTTGGTGGGATCTACACGGTTATCCAGACCAAAGCCAAGATTACACTGGATGAGTGGGGAGAGAATTACTTCCTGATTGGGCCTTACTTGGAGCTGAATGTCCGCACACAGGTAGAGCTCATAGAGCCGCCCAACCCTGCCATCCGCCGCACCATTGACTCCATGAACGCAAAAGGATGCAAGGTAAGAAACGGGGGGGGGGCCAAATTGGGCTCCACAGAGGCCAAATTCTTGCAGCAGCACCTCACCTTCCTTTGAGGCAGAGACTGCAGCTCGGTGGTAGAGCACATGCTGTGCATGCAGATGGTGCCAGGTTAATCTCTAATTAAAAGAATCAGGCAGCAGGTGTCAGGACAGACGTCTTCCTGAGGCCCTGAAGAGCTGGTCAGAGTAGCACATATTGGGCTAGATGAACAAGAGGTTTGACCTGATATAAAGCATCTTCCTTTCTTCCTAACAGAGGGAGTGTCATGTGACTGTGACTGTCATGTGACTTTCAGTACTGTGCCTTTTCAGACCACAGATGGGAGCCGACAAGACAGAATTGCTCCCCCACGGAAAAAAATAACATTCCTACATATAGGAAGCTGGCATGCCTAGGATACATCCAATTTAATTTTGCAGGACTTAAAAAAAATAATAATCCGATGAAGCACTTGTGAAGTTCTTGTGAGCCCCTTTCTGCAGTCTGAAGTGGCACAGTCTAGAACCTGCTTTGCCACCATTGTTTGTGGTTAACGTCTCTCTACATGAGGTTCCCTGGTCTAAAATAAGGGCCTTTTCATTTCCTCTAATCGCATCCTTATTCCTCTTTTTCTTTATTTGGAGTGTATTGCTTGTCGCACACACACCCCATTCCAGTGGCAGAGTGGGCCATTTCACACCCCTAAGTGCAAGACACTTATTTTAAAATACAGTGATACCTATAGTTGCGGACTTAATCCATTTCGGGGTGCTGTTTGCACCCCGAAGAGTCCACAACTAGAGCACCTCTTCCGCACATGTGTGCAGCACGATCAAGCACTTCTGCACATGCGCATGTGGCTGAAAGTTCGTAACAAGAGTGGAACTCAACTAGAGGTACCACTGTAAATAAAAGCAGAACCCATCAGGATGCTGAATTTTGCACCCAGTACTAAGCTCTTTATTTTATCTACACTTGGGCAGAATTGTGGAATCCAAGCAGTCCAAATAGCTATCAGTTGGGGTCTCGTTTGCCTCTCTGGGTCGTGCCTGAATCTAACATTATAATGCAGAAATCTCTAGCACAAATTTTAAGTGATTTTATCCTTAAAATTACAGGTACAGTTTTTATTGCACCAGGGGTCAACAGCTGGGGCATAACACAGAGAAAGATACTCTTTGTGTTCATCCCCCAAACATTGTGGAGCTGCTCTGCGCTTTCATTGCACATTCCTTGTGGCAGCTGCTGCTGGCATTGACGGCTGTCCACAAAACTGGGAGGACCCCCATAGTAAGCAGTGCAATTTATAGGGGATTCAGGACAGACAAAAGAGAAGTCCTCCTTCAATTAGCACGCGATTAACCAGTGGAATTATCTGCTGCAAGATGCGATGGAATATCCTGGCTTGGATAGTTTTAGGTAAATCTAAGGAGGAGGAGAGACCACTAAGCCACAACAACTAAATGAGACCTATCTTTTTAGAGACCCAGATCTTACAGGGCAGAAAGGTCTGTTGCCGCCTTGCATGTGAGCTTACTTGAAGCATCTGAATGGTCACTCGCTGCTGATAACGGGATGCCTTGGTCTGATCTGTTTACATTACAACTCTTAGCTTTGGAGGTGCTGTCACATAGACACCATTCTTGGCAACTTCCATACGGTGGATGTAACATGCCTGCTTCTGGGGAGGGCACTGCAGGTATTTAAAATGTTTTGTTAAGCCAAAGTCCAGAAGTGAAAGAGAAATAATTAAGCTGCTTTCATCAAGGTTTGTGGGTTTCTTTTAGCCCACAGCTGGCAGTCCTGTTCACTACTGCCCACTCTTACCTAAGCTCCCACTTAAGAAGTGCCCAGCCTTTGCCTGCAGGAGTTGTCTACTAGCTGGGCAACTCCCTCTCCTTCTCCCCCTCTCCCCCTTGCCTGCTTTGAACTGTTTTGGTGGCATGCAGGGCCCTTCCTCACTCTCTGGCGACTCTGATCTTGGATGCTGTCTCTCAGTCTACAGGAGACAGGCACAAGTCACTTTTCACATCTTGAGGGTCCTTTAAGCATACTGTGTCCATAGGATTTCTAATTCTTGTAGCCTTGGGGCCGGGGCAGAAAGTGGCCTCCAGGCCGCCTCTTCATTCGCACACCTTATGAGCTTCGCACCCTCCTGGAATGCATCTCTGAGCTCTGATAATGCATCTTGCTTCCCTGGATGGAGGAGAGAGAGGGGTTTCTGAGTGTGTGTGGAAACTAGCCTAGTGTACAAAGCTGAAACTTGATTGCTCCTCTCACTTTTGCTTCAGGCCCAGCCCACTGCTGGCATGTGCCCGTCCCCCCTGAAGGAAATGTGGCCCTTGGGCTGACCAAGATTCTCTACCCCGTCATAGGACTTGATTTCTAGGCCTGTCCTTCTCCCCATAGTTATGCTACTTTAAAAAAAATCTGGTAGGATAGGAGCTTGATCCTCAAACTGTCTACCTGACTGGTGACATCACCACCCTCTTTTAGGTATTTGTGATTAACTGGAAAATTGGAATTCTAAAGCCGTCTCATTTTTTTAAAAAGCAGGAACACTAAACTGTAGTCATGGTGGCTGGGGATGCTCTGAACTGTGGTTTGGCCAGACCTGGAATGAAGTTTGTATTTATATATATGACGCCTGTTTGACTGGCTTGCCCCAGCCATTCTGGGCAGCTCCCAACAAAATATTAAAAGCACAATACAACATCAACCATTAAAAACTGTCCTGAACAAGACTGCCTTCAGATGTCTTCTAAAAGTCTAAAAGTATAGTGGTACCTCGGTTTACAAACTTAATCTGTTCCGGAAGTTGGTTCTTAAACCAAATCCATTTTTAAACCGAGGCCAGCTTTCCCTAATGAGGCCTCCTGCCACTGGTATCCTTATGTTCAGTTTCCATTTGTAGATCGAGGTAAAGTTTGCAAATGCTACTTCCGATTTTGCGGAGTTCATAAACCGAATCATTTGTAAACAGGACTGTTCTTAAACCGATGTACCACTGTAGTTGTTTATTTCCTTGACATCTGATGGAAGGGCGTTCCACCAGGTGGGTGCCAGTACCGAAAAGGCCCTCTGCTGGTTCCCTGTGCTTCATGTCTTGCAGTGAGGGAACTGCCAGAAGGCCCTCAGAGCTGGATCTCAATGTCCAGGCTGGACGATGGGAGTGGAGATACTCCTTCAGGTATACTGGGCTGAGACTGTTTAGGGCTTTAAAGGTCAGCACCAACACTTTGAATTGTGCTCAGAAACTTACTGGGCCAAGAGAGAGTAAAGATGTGGTCAGGGCAGAGTGTGTGGCAAAATGAGGAGAGAAGTGAGTTGAGTTCTGGCTCTTTCAGGACTTTCAAGTTTCTAAGCTCCTATCTGCTGAAAACCTTGCTGTGACAGAACAATCAGTTTGATCAGAACAATCAGTGTTTAATTCTTCCCCATAAGATCCTGTTCAGCACCATCTGCTTTTCTCCCAACACAGCTGGGTTCATGCAAATGGTTTCAAAAAGTATAAGAAAGCAACTAATAGAAGTAATTATTATTCTTTGTTGCTAACCACCCCATCCCTGACCACGAAGGCAGCTGGGCATTTCTGTCCAGGCAGTTATTTTGGGCAACTCTGAGAAGAACAACACCAGGCAGGCGAGACCTTTCACAAAATGGAGGTGGGGGGGCGTAATATGAACCGCAGGCTAAAATTAGACATGCACATACACAACACACTCTGCCTCGTGAAGCCGGTTGAGAGCGACAAATGACACTGAGGCCCACTGAGTTCAAGAAGAGGGAAGATGCCGGGATGGAGGGACAGAGGGAAGGGACTGGTGGGAAGAGCAATCTGGGTTAAAAATGGAAGCCTGAGCTCCTTGGCTTCTTCCACAAAGGAAGGCAAGAGCTTGGAGGCTGCTCACCAGAGTTGAGAGGCTGTAAGGCCTGTGTTGCAAAGCGGCTTGGCAGAACAGACAGGAGGTGTATAAGTTCTTTCAATAGATATATAGTTTGGCCATAGAAGATGATGGTTACTCATGTGCAGAGGGCTGATGGGAGTTGTAGTCCAAGACTGCCTCTTGTGCAATTCTGTGAAGAATTTGATGGCCTATGTCAGGGAACTGCCATCGGAGCTAGAGGCGGAGGGAAGGCTCCAGAGGGATGCTGGAGAGGGTCCCAGTAGGGAGAGAGGCAGCCCGTCCACTGGGGAAGGAAATCAGCGTAACACCAGTAAAGAAGGGGGGCAGATGGGGGAATCGGAGAGGAGGCTCCAAGACTCCTCGCCGAAGACCAGCGGAGAGAGTACGGGTCCTCCGCTGCCCACACCCTCCCTGCGCAGAAGGCTTCCGCGCAGAGAGTCTAGGCGGAGACTAGGCGTCAAAGAACTTTTGTGCTGGAAGAAGTTTAAGAAACACCCACTGACGGATTCTGCCAGTGACTGAGACAGTCACGATGCTAGAGGCTGTTCAGTCAGAAAGGGTTTAACCAGGTAACCTAGCCAGGAGTGGCGGCAACTTACGCACGAGCAACACCTAAATCCATTACAGCCTAGTATAGAGTTTGGGCCTCCAAGCATTTTAACTTCCTCATAAAAATCTGAAGCAAGTTCCTAGGCCTCTTGACAAGGAAAGGAAAGGTTTTAACATGTTACAGGCATCATCTGCTGAAGCTCAGAGATATAAGGTGGAGTTTTGAGTGCGATCTGCCTGCCCAGTGCAAATCATTTTCTTTCTGCGTAATTCTAATTCCCTGCCCACTTCTCTCTTTCCTTCTCTCCTCAGCCCTTTTAAAATAGGTTGTTCCATCCCAAAATCTGCGTGCACGCACAAATATTCAGGATTTTGCTCCAAACAATACTATGCTTAGGCTCTAAAAATCTATTCATTAGCCTGAAGCCCAGCGTTTTGAATTGGAGCTTTTGAACTGGGAACAAAGCTGAAATATTTCAAGTTTGCATGTTGAAATTCAAAACCCATGCTGCAATGGTTGCATGTTACTGAGGGGAACTTGACTAGATAATGGGGAGGAGTCGCATTTTACTGTGTGCAAGTCCGCACCTACCTGCAATCGGCTAACCTGCTGCACATATAACACCTATCCAGGTTTATTTTGGCCGCTGGCTGATTGAGGGAGGTCCGTATGTTATCCTCATTGATATCGGGGCAACTGCCTGGAGCTTGGACCGTTGGAAGACAGAGCTCTGGGAAAGCTGCTCCATCGGGATTCCCTGGTACGACCGAGAGGCCAACGACGCCGTGCTCTTTGGCTTCCTCACAGCCTGGTTTATGGGGGAGGTAAGAAAATGCGCTTCTTCCACATCATATCGGCTCCCTCCCTTTCCCTTCTCCTCTTTTCTCTGGAGATGGAGGACTTACTGCCCTGCCAGATGTTGTTGGACTCCAACTCCCATTAGCTGCAGCTCACACGGCCAGTGGCCAGGGATGACGGGGAGATATGGTCCCAACAACATCCTCAGTGCACACACAGGCCTTACTCTCTGTCCGTGCCTTTTTCTACAGTTTGCTGCACAATGTGAGGAGAAGCCTTTCATCATCGGCCATTTCCACGAATGGTTGTCTGGAGTCGGTCTCTTCCTCTGCCGAATCCGGAAGCTTCCGGTGGCTACCATCTTCACCACGCACGCCACCTTGCTTGGCCGATACCTGTGTGCGGGCAGCGTGGACTTCTACAACAACCTGCAGAAAGTGAGTCTTGTGGAGGCCAGGAGGGAAAGGCGATTGAGGCAGGGAGCTGTGGGGTTCGGAGGGGGCGATGCTGAAACCTCTGGTTTTCTTCTTCTGCAAACCCCAGGCTGTCATCGTAAGGCTCCTGGTCTGCTCTTAAATAGCCCAGGATTCAAGAATCTTCCCCCTTGAACCCCTACTAGGTTCCTGGTTTGCCCCAGAAATTCCCTGGTTCTCCGCTTCCTTACTCAAAAGTCACACAATCCAGCTCTCATAATCTCACTCTCTTCTCAGAGGTCCATCATCCCCAAGGCCTTTTCAGTGAGTGTCCTAGTCAGAAAAAAAATGTGCAGTCATCGCACAAAATCCAGACACTGTTCCTCAAGGCAGGGTCTGAGGAGATCACATTTTCTCCACCATTCAAAACAGCGATGTTTTCACTGCCAGGAAAACATGATTCTGCACCGCAGCCTGCGAATACTTCTCTTATTGTGGGTGCTGCGTGGAATTTGTTTTGCTTGAGTACTTTCTGCCCTCTTCCGTTCCTAAGGCGTCGCAATGCCAGGTCCCGTGGTTTTGGTTCAGTTTTGCTATATCACCTTCCTCTTTAGTTTAATGTGGACAAGGAGGCTGGGGACCGGCAGATCTACCACCGATACTGCATGGAGAGGGCTGCTGTCCACTGCACCCACGTCTTCACCACCGTCTCCCAGATCACAGCCGTGGAAGCTGAACACCTGTTAAAGCGGAAGCCTGGTGAGTGGCATTAGGCAGGGGTCCTCAGTCTTCAGAACTTATTATTATATCGCCCTTCATCCAAAGATCTCAGGGCAGTTTACACAATAAAAATACAGGATATAATTAAATAGTTAAAACAAAGCAGGTGACATGCAACCAATAGGGCAACCCCTCAACCTTTTTTTTAAAGCTCAGTTAAAAATTGAGAGGGGTTGGGGGTTTTTTGGCAGGCACTGGTGTGTGTGTGTGTGTGTGTGTGTGTGTGTGTGTGTGTGTGTGTGTCTGAGTCTGAGGATGCCATAGTAACCAAAGGGGGTTGTGTCAGCACTGATTGGCTGCACCCTCTTCCTTTTCCAGAGCTGTAAATCACCTTTTCAGAAAGTGCAGATTTAAAAATAAAAATAAACAGCATGGAACAAACCTGAAACATTGTCTTGTTGCTGTGACTCTTGTTTTTTTGGTACATTTGTGGGTAGCTTTCGAGTGTTTGTCAGGTTACTGATGATCTTTAGAGAAAAAAAATAAAATTCTGCTTCTACCTTTTCTCTGCTTTGCTCTGTTCTTCACCCCCAACATATCCAGATATCGTGACTCCCAACGGACTGAATGTCAAGAAATTCTCTGCCATGCATGAATTCCAGAACCTCCATGCCCAGAGCAAAGCTCGTATCCAGGAGTTTGTCCGAGGACACTTCTATGGGTGAGTCTTTGTGGGCCCACTGCAAGGCCTGGCTTGGCTTTGCTTTGCCTTCTCAGTGCCTTGTCAGTCAGTTCAGTTGCCCCAGGAAGGTGAGTTTCTCTGGATAGGAAAAGGAAGGAGGTAGTGGCGATCAATCTAGGGAGAATGCAGTTGGGTTGAAATCATAGCTGTCAATGTTTCCCTTTTTTTAAGGGAAATTCCCTTATTCCGAATAGGATTCCTTGCAAGAAAAGGGAAAAGTTGACAGCTATGGTTGAAATATCAAAGTTTTTATGGGGGGGGGGAGCGGAGCCGGAAACTACCCTTTGCCTCATTTATCCTCATACGGTCTTAATCCTTGTTATACAGTAGTTCACATTCAGAGAGGCAGGAAGTGGAATTAGAGGGCTCTTCCTTTTTAAAAAAAGGGGGGCAAGTGCTCTCTCAGAAGTTTCATTGGTGGCCTAAAAATATACATTTTTTTTAAGTATACCCCGCATTTCACCATGTGTCTCTAAATGGCATACAAAAAAAAAAAAGAGTACAGTATGCAAAATTTTAAACATAGATGAAAACTTCAGAGAGCAGAACAACATCCATGGTGCAAAGGCTTCCTGGAATAAGACAGTTTTAACCTGGTGCCTGAAACATAGCAGAGGCAGTGCCTGCCTGATTCCTAATGGGGAGGAAATTCCACAGAGCTGGGCCTGCTACATTGAGAGAAACCTCCATTGGTCCCGTCCCCCCCAATCTTGCTTTGTTCTTACCTGCCTTCTCAGTTATTACATCCTTGGGCACTTTCGTCTTCTTCCTTCCTTGCTTTTCTCCTTCACCTCCTCCTCCCTTTTTTCTTTCTTCCTTTTCTAAATTACGTTGTAAGCCTGAAGGTAGAGCTTCCATTGATAGTTTTGTGATTTTGATCATTTGAATGGTGTCTAGTTTCCTAAAATAGTAGTGGTAGTAGTAGTAATAATAATAATAAATAAAGGCAATTTAATGAATAATACACCTTGGCTGAGTTCCAAAGAGCTACTAAGGCTCATGTAAAGGTCTTCTACTAGTTTTGTGTTTGCGTATGTGTGTGTACTTTTCTCCCTTTCAGCAGCTGACCTGTGCCCCCAAACACACATACACTTGGAAGTTTCTCTCATTTTAAAAGCACTTCCCCCTGCTGGAGGGTGAGGAGTGGCTGTTGTTTACAGGATGCAGGTACTAAGAAGGAAGTCCTATTGAACCTACTGGGGCTTGCCTTTGTGTAAACCTGCCTAGGTTTTTCTCCCTCTCTTAAAATGCCCAGGGCCATCCAGTGAAACTGATGAGTGGTGGACAATAACAGAAAGCATTTTTTCACGAAGTGCCTTCTTATTCTCTAGGCACCTGGACTTCAACCTCGACAAGACCATTTTCTTCTTCATTGCCGGGCGCTATGAATATTCCAACAAAGGGGCTGATATTTTCTTGGAAGCTTTGGCCCGACTCAACTACCTGCTGAGGGTAAGCAGAAAAACAGGGGCTGAGGTGGGCAATCCAGTAGGACGAGGTGGAGGGGGAGGGATGTGGCTTGTAGGATTTGGGCCTAGCTATTACATTAGTAACTGCTAGCCTTCAGCATCATTGACAGCAAATACAAACCATTGTTTTGTTTCTAAATTTCTACCCCACCCTTCATTGCAAAGGACAGCAAACATCGAAAAGTGAAAACGATACAATTTAAAACAAAATAAATACTTAAAGCATATAAAAACTACCAAAAACATGAAAAACAATAACATGCCCTTACAGTTGCTAATTTCCCAGTTGCCAGGAACAGTATCTCTCAGCCTGTTTTTTTCAGTTTCTCCTGAATGTTTTTGAATTTCTCCTGAAAACCAGTAATGATCAAGACAGATGCACCACACTAGAGAGAGCATTCCATAAGCAGGGAACCTCCACCTCTTAGAAGACCCAGTCACGGGTCAACGTTAACCAGGCATCAGTCAGAGGCAGCATTTCCACAAGTTATGACCTCTGACAGGCCTGCCTTGAATGGAACCATGCACTTTGAGGGGAAACTATGATCCCAGAATGGCGTGGGGTGTGTGTACAAACAGGGGGAACAAAAGAGGAGTGTGCACTTCTGTTGGTGTGCCTGCTTTTGAGAATTCTGGGAAGAAAAGTCAACCTTCTGGAATTCCTTTCCATATTCACAATTGTTGTGGAGATGGGAGGCAGGGCTTTTCCCCCAGCCGGATCTTTATGGAACTCTGTTCCAGCACCTCTCAGGGGGGCGCCATTGCCATTAATAAGAGAACAAGAGAGGCGTTTGTGGTGAGTTCCAGCACCTCTTTTTCTAGGACAGGGGTCTGCAACCTTTAAGACAAAAAGAGCCACTTGGACCGAAGAAAAAAAACCTGGGAGCCGCAAAACCATTGTGACATTTAAAACAGTGGGGAGTGTCGGGGCACACAATGCGCCTCCTCCCCTCGCTAGTATCCGCCCCGGAGCCGCGGCAAAGGTGTAAAAGAGCCACATGCGGCTCCGGAGCCGCGGGTTGCTGACCCCTGTTCTAGGAAAATAGCACTGATGGGAGGTAATGACATATGTGAGAGAAGCAGGTGATACAGCTTGCCCCCCGTGTGGAGAAAGCAGGAAGCTCAAGCCATGGGTGACCTACCCTATTCGCCTTCTCTCCTCACAGGTCAACGGCAGCCAGACCACAGTGGTGGCCTTCTTCATCATGCCAGCCCGGACCAACAACTTCAACGTTGAGACTCTCAAAGGCCAGGCGGTCCGCAAGCAGCTGTGGTGAGTTCCCTTCGCACAGGACACCCAGAGGCTCCCTGAGGGGATCAAGAGCCACAGTACACGTAACATCCCCTGCTTCAGAAGCCGCTAGGCCTCTCTCTCCCTTTCCAAGAGGCAGAAGAGCCAGTGTGGCGTAGTGGTTAGTGCTGGCCTAGGACTGGAGGGACCCAGGTTCAAATCTCCACACAGTCATGAAACTCACTGGCTGGTCTTGGGCCAGTCTCAGGAGGGCTGCCACGTTTGAGGGGGCTGTGGGCAAAATGTCTTCTGGGCCTCCACCACCACATGCACGCCATGCTGCTTCAGCCTGATGCCTCCTCCATTGCTGTGCTCCACTTTGTTCCCTCAGCTTACCAGGTGACATCAGGAAGATGTCTTCCTCCATCTAAATATTCACTGCAGAGATTTAGTGCTCACAAGCTCTGCTGTAAATGATAAAAATTGTGGCGGCAAAAAAGGGCATTGCTGTGATGGATGTGTGTCCTCGTATGCTCCTTCTGAGTGCCTGACACCAGGCCTGCTTACTGCTGGGCCCCAGTTATGTTCCCCAGTCCCGTCTTAATGGTGCTGATGATCACTGTTTCTCTCAGTCTAACCTGCCGCACAGGGTTGTTGTAAGTATGAATGGGGGAGAATCATGGAGGCTGCATGGAGCGCCTCAGGGGGAAGGCAGAATTATCAAATACTAGAATAAATAAAAATATTGAAATCCACCTTTGTTTTCCAGTCTGCTAGCCTTCACTGACAAAGTCTCACTCGAGGGGGATCCCATAGCCCCAGTGCTCTCCCTGTGTTTACCTCGTGGTCCTGATTTCTGATTCAGAAGCCTTCAGGAATCCTGCCCTAAGTTCATTATTTTTCTCACTCTCTCCCTTTTGTTTTAAATCTAGGGACACAGCCAATGCGGTTAAGGAGAAATTTGGCAAGAAGCTTTACGAATCGCTGCTTGTGTAAGTGGGTCTCCTGTGAGAAGGCAAGAGGGAGGTGGGGAAGGGGCTCAACCCCCGAGAATGGGCTGGGTTGCCATGGCTGCAGAGGATGAGGACTCGGGGTCTCCTCCCCACACTGTTCTTTGCCTTCTGCATTTGAGAAACCTTGATTCTGATATAGACAAATAATATGGGGAGGTGAAGTTCCTCTCTTCTTTATCCATTCCCATTAAGGTCTTCCTTACCTGTTCTTCTGCCTCAGGGGGAATCTTCCTGACATGAACAAAATGCTGGACAAAGAAGATTTCACTATGATGAAGAGAGCCATCTTTGCTACCCAGGTAATAGGGAATTTTCAGAAAAGAATAAGAAATAAGGCCATCATGTGCGGAGGGGAGAGGAGAAGGAGCCAGAGGAGTTAGAGCAGAGGATTCTAGGAAACCTGGCTCTTTAGTTATTTGAGTTAAAATGTTAGCTGAGCAGGATGGTGGTGATTGGATCAGCATTCCTGAATTCACTGAGAGAATTCAGCTGTAGCCCAAAACTTTAAGAGGACACCAGGCTGGAAAAGTCATGAGGAATATCTTAGCCAAGCTATATCTTTTTTTGCTGTTGTTGTTAAGGTTTTTATGGTTTTGAATGACATCTATTAATGCGTCTGGGCTTTTTCCCCCCGCTCCCCAACCAGCGCCATTCTTTCCCCCCAGTCTGCACCCACAACATGCTGGATGATTCCACCGACCCCATCCTCAACACCATCCGACGCATTGGCCTCTTCAACAGCAGCGCTGACCGTGTCAAAGTAAGTGGCAGGAGGCTGGATTACCTGCGATAGTTTGCCAGGCTTGGGCCTTAAGGAGTTGCCAAGAGTTGAGGCGCTTGGCTGCCTTACAGGAAGGAATAAACCTGGTTTCACCACAGTGAGGGTTATCAGAAGCTTCAGTCTATAAAGTCTGTGAAGTTGGGAAGATGAAGAAAATTCTTCCGCCACCTGCCAAGTGTCAGATTTTCCCAAATCAAACACGAATACTTTTTTGTGTTGATGGTGGGGATTATTTTATTCTGCTGTGGCTTTCCTCTGAGCCTGACTGCTTAATGGTGGTCCCTGAGGAGCTGACCTCACATCCCTGTAAGGGCCCGGCCTTGTTTGTGAGTTAATAATAATAATAATAATAATAATTTTTTATTTATACCCCGCCCTCCCCAACCAAGGCTGGGCTCAGAGCGGCTTACAAGCAATAATAAAAACAAGTTGAATGATTACAACTTAAAAACAAAATTAAAATACAACATTAAAATATTACAACATTAAAATAAAATGTAGCCTCAACGCAGGAGGAGAAGGAAAGAAAAAAAGAAAGAGAGGGAGGGAATCAAATTGGCTCCAAGCCAAAGGCCAGGCGGAACAACTCTGTCTTACAGGCCCTGCGGAAAGAAATCAGATCCTGCAGGGCCCTGGTCTCATGAGGCAGAGCGTTCCACCAGGCCGGAGCCAGAGTTGAAAAGGCCCTGGCTCTGGTTGAAGCCAATCTAACTTCCTTAGGGCCCGGGACCACTAGGGTGTTGCTATTTATGGACCTTGAGGCTCTCCGTGGGGCATACCGGGAGAAGCGGTCTCGTAGGTACGAGGGTCCTAGGCCATGAAGGGCTTTAAAGGTCAAAAGCAGCACCTTAAATCTGACCCTGTACTCTACCGGGAGCCAGTGCAGTTTGAAAAGCACTGGGTGAACATGCTCCCATGGCAGAGACCCCGTGAGGAGCCTCGCTGCTGCATTCTGCACCCGCTGGAGTTTCTGGGACAGCTTCAAGGGCAGTCCCGCGTAGAGCGAATTACAGTAGTCAAGCCTGGAGATGACCATCGCATGGATCACTGTGGCCAGGTCGGGAATAGTTAGAATTAATTAGAATTCCATCCCTGGAATATATATGAACAGTTTTGTCTGCAGGGACAGGATGTTGCGCAACTGAACTGCCAGCCACTGTGTCTTATCTCTTCCTAGGTCATCTTCCATCCCGAATTCCTGTCTTCCACTAGTCCTCTCCTTCCTGTCGATTATGAGGAGTTTGTTAGAGGCTGCCATTTGGGGGTCTTCCCTTCGTACTATGAGCCGTGGGGCTACACGCCAGGTAGGCTTCTTTGGGAGGGGGGCAATCGGGAGAGTGAAGAAACCCTAATGGTGCAAGGATGGAACTCAAGTTCTGTGGTCAAAACCTGATACTGCAAATATGGATTACCTTTGAGGGGGGGGCTCTGCACGGTTACAAACAGCTTGTCCTCATTGCTCTGAAGTGCTTAATCTTGGCACTTATCTTTTTTTATTGCAACGAACAGTTTCACAACCAGGAAGATAGATAATCAAAGGGCAGGGGGAGCAGCAAGCATGCCAAGGAACAGGTTTGTGTATAACTTGCCGTTCTTCCATGGTGAAACTCAAGGCCACGTCTATGAGGTTACCAGGCAGCCTCCTGTCCACGTGTTGACTGCAGCCAGACCTCCATGGAGTTAAACAAATGTGTTTGTTTTGCTGAACTTATTCTGCTTCTGCTTGTCCTGAAGAGACGCAGAGCACCATGCCGGGCAGTGAAACCTCAGTCCTTCTGAAATAATGCCAGTCATTTCCTTAAAAAAACAGGAAAAAGCAAAGCGGAGGTTCTCTTTATTCTGAATTCTGCACCTTAAGACCCATTTCTGCATGTGTTCCCTTTGCCGTTCCTGGCTATTGTAGGTTACAGTCTCCACCCAACAAACCACAGAGCCTTTCTCAATCTTTTGTTTTTTTTCTTTCCACCCCCCCCCCAAAAAAACCCCCTCAATTTTCTTTTTTTACTTCTGCAAAACTTGGGATTCCCCAAGCATGTTAATATCTCTCTCTTATGTGTGGGTGGTGCTGTTTGGGCTACATAAGGATCAGCACTTCTTCCTCCCCACCAAAAAAACCCAGCAGTAGATGGATGTGGCAAACCAGAAATTTTGTTTCTATCATGTCCTGAGCCTAAAAGGTAGAACCATTAGAAGATGCATTACAATGAATTAGACTAGTGGCCCATCTGACCCAGTTTACCCAACACTGACTGACAGCAGCTTTCCATTGTGGCCCTTTGTGGAGATCCCGGAGTCTGAAGCTTGGGCCTTTTTTGCATTCATAGTAGATGCACTACCACTGAGCTACGACCTTTCCCCCAACATGAAAATTTACGAAGACTATAACTGTTTTAAGTGTTTGGTTTATTGTATTTGCAGTGCCTGATGTTTTTATTGCTTTTCTTTTTGTTCCCTTTGTGAATGATGCCATGGCCTTTGGCTAGTGCAATAAAGTTTATGATGATGATGATGTTTTAAGTGAGAGACGTGCAGCTTTTTCTGCAAGTCTGAAACCAGATCTTGTGGACAATTCTGAAGAGAAACCCCTTCAGGCTCGCTGCTACCATCTCCAGCTTGTTAATGTTACCATAGGAAAAAGCGCATTGGAGTTTTGCTGGTTCGGTTGGCTGACCACTTTCTGGAGCAGGTCCCAAAGACTTTTAAACTCCGAAATCTTCTCTCTCTCTCTCTCTCTCTCTCTCTCTCTTCCCAGCTGAATGCACTGTCATGGGCATCCCCAGCATCTCCACCAACCTCTCTGGCTTTGGCTGCTTCATGGAGGAACATATAGCGGATCCATCTGCCTACGGTTGGTGTTATGAGCTGTGAACCAGCACATTTGGGTGTGCTTAAACAGACAGGGTAGTACGGTAGCCCTATGGGCCAAACCTCACCTAGATACAAACACCAGAAAGCCTCACTGACTTATCTGGGAATGTGATTTTAATGTTTCATAGATAGATAGATAGATAGATAGATAGATAGATAGATAGATTTTGTGTGTGTATTACAAGGAGGTCAGGGCAGCATGCAAGGTTCCCCATGCACAAACTTAGACCTTATCATTGCAACAACCCTGTGAGGCAGGCTAAGCTGAGAAAGAACAAATAGCCCACTTCACAGCTAATTGTGGATTTGAACGTGGGTCTCCCAGTCCCAACCACTAGCTCTACCCAATACTACACCGAACTGGTTGTCCCTGTCTGACACTCAGATTTTACCTGAAATGGTATTCAGGCATTTCCTGAAAAGGAAGGAAAAAGTAACTACTGAGTTGTGGCGAAAGACTTTTGACTCAGGATTCTGAAAACATCTTTTAAGAAAAAAAGAGGATTCAGCCAGACTGAGCGAAGGGTTGAGGGAACTGAGAGTTCTTTGGCCTTGAGAAAGGAAATTCATTGGGACCAGACGCATTAGAGCAAAGGATGCTGGGAGCCCATGACCCGTGGCGTCTCAGGCTGAGGGACAGTAGGCCGAGGCTTCACACATCAGTTGAGCTCCAGCAATATAGACTGATCACAAATTGCCAGTTCCGGGCAAATAGGGCAGAGTACCACAGAGACGGCCGTGGGGTGGGAACGAGCAGATTTGTATTGTGTTTGTGTGCTTCAAATGATGACCATTCATTTGGGAACAGGAAGTTCAGGCCTGTGCTTCAGTTTGATCCATTCTTAGCTCTTCATATTGGATTAGAGTGACGTGTGTCCTTTAACACTTTCTGAATCTACCAGGGATCTACATCCTGGACCGACGTTTCCGGGCCTTGGACGAGTCGTGCACGCAGTTGACCTCTTTCCTCTACAGCTTCTGTCAGCAGACGCGGCGGCAACGCATCATCCAGCGAAACCGCACAGAGCGGCTCTCTGACCTCTTAGACTGGAAATACCTGGGCAGGGTGAGCTTCCCCTGCAGCAGCGGGAGGGTGGACATATCGGGAATGTTGGGAGAGCCAGGGCAGATAAAGGAAAAAGCACTTCTTCGTGCAGCATATTGTTAAACTTTGGAACTCCCTCCTACAGGAGGCAGTGATGGCTTTGAAAGAGGATTGGACAGATTCAGGAAGGACAAGCCTACTAACCACAATGGCTTTGTTCTGCCTCAATGGTCAGAGACATTATACCTCTGAATACTGGGAATCGCAGGTGGGCAGAGGGCTGCTGTGCCCAAGCCTCACCTTGCAGGCTTTCCACAGGCATCTGGTTGGCCACAGTGAGAACAGGATGCTGGACAAGATGGCCATTGGCCCAATTTTGCAGACTCTTCTTCATGTGTTGTTGTATCTTACCCCACTGTGGCGATCTCTCTTTCCTGCTCTTCCCTGGCATTTCAGCAGCCTCCTTCGGTTCTCCACATGCTGCAGCTCACCTCTTTGCCACCAGAGGGTGCTCATTCCAAAGGTCAACTCTGGCCATGTTTCCCAAATGCCTCTCTTGAAACTTAACCCAGCCATCATTATCGTGTTTTTTAACTTGCCTTCTGTGGCGCTTGCTGGAAGGGGAGACAAAAGCGAGGAAGGGTCAGGAGTATTAACTTCTGCTGAGAACCAGACGTGGAACAGCCAAGGGCTGTGTGGCACAAGGGCCTTAGACTGCCTCTGTGAATCTGCAGAGTGTCTTTCTCTTGCCACTGAGTCCCAACAACTGTGTCCTGGACATCTGGAGATAGGATGAAGAATGCCTGAGCCTCCAAACCTGTTACTTTATAAATGGCTTCCAGATGAGTGTTTCTGAGGCCTAGTTCTCATAGAGGTGGTTAAGCCCTGTGCCTGGTATTTTGATCTGGCGGTGGGGGGCTCTTGCACTCCTCCTTACAAAAACATCTCCGCATACAGAAAATGAGTACAGGCGACTCTCAACTTAACGCAAGGGTTACCTTCCAGGAATCACGTGTAATGCCAAAGCGGCGCATATTATGTGTGCAGTGGCAGGTGGGATTGCCAAAATCGTTTTCCCTGGAACCCCTCTTCCTTTCCCCTTTTTAAAAAAAATTGTTTGCCACGTGCGTAGAGCTGAACACATACACATTAAATGTTTGTACGTTTCAAGTTTCCTACATATGATTTCAGCTTGGGTGTCAGTGGAAGAAAGTAAGTTGCAAGGGAGTATAATAAGGGAGCCTCTCTAATGTCCCTTTTCCCCCTGTCTCCTTCCTCCCTTTGCAGTACTACATGTATGCCCGCCACATGGCACTAGCAAAGGCATTCCCTGACAACTTCACCTACGAGCCGCATGAACCAACAGCGGTAAGGCACCACGTGGCCAAGGAGAGGGGTGGGGGAACATAAGTCTGATTTATTTGGGGCTCTTTACCCCAGGAGGGGCAGGTACCACTTCCCTAGTGCACAAGGCCATACTTCAGCGGTAGGCTTGGATGCAGGGCTTTTCCCCCAGCCAGAATTAAGTTCTAGCACCTCTCAGGTGAGCACCATTGCCATTATAAGAGAACAAGGGAGGCGTTCAAGGCGAGTTCTGGCACTTCTTTTTCTGGAAAAATAGCCCTGCTTTGTATGTTTGTACAAGGTCTGGAAACCACAGGAGGGGAGTGCATGTTTCCGACCACAATTCAAAGTGTTGGTGCTGACCTTTAAAGCCCTAAATGGCCTCAGTCCAGTATACCTGAAGGAGCATCTCCACCCACATCTTTCAGCCCGGACACTGAGATCCAGTGCCAAGGGCCTTCTGGTGGTTCCCTCGCTGTGAGAAGCCAAGTTACAGGGAACCAGACAGAGGGCCTTCTCAGTGGTGGCGCCCACCCTGTGGAACGCCCTCCCTTCAGATGAGAAGGAAATAAGCAGCTATCTTATCTTTAAAAGACATCTGAAGGCAGCCCTGTTTAGGGAAGTTTTTAATATTTAATGCTGTATTGTTTTAACACTCGACTGGGAGCTGCCCAGAGTGGCTGCGGAAACTCAGCCAGATGGGCAGGGTATAAATAATAACTTATTATTGTATAAGCTTGAATCCTGTTTGCGGGTTTCCTCACAAGCATTTGGTTGGCCCCTCTGAGAACAGGATGCTGGCTTATTTTAATAATGATAATATGGATGTCATCTGTGTGCACAGCACTTGAGGGCAGGCTCCTGCAAAGAGCAGGCCGCCTAATATTTCTCAGGGGGAAGAAATATTCATTCAGGTTACTTAGGCAGACCTGTGACAGGGCAGACTTCCCCACACTGGTCCCCTCCTGGTGGTTTGGACAAGACGCCCCAGGCAGTGGAGCCAATGGTGAGGGGAGTTGTGGCCCAGCGACCCCAGAAGGCACCAGGCTGAGGAAGTCTGAGGCAGGGCAAATTAACTAGAAAATTGTGCGAAAAGCTTCATGGAAAACGTGGGTATTGAGGCAGGGTTCAAGGGATTGCAGTCTGTGAGGGAGCTGGGGTGGAGTCACGTGATTCCTTCTCTCTTGTGCCCTTTCTCATGCCTCGTTTCTGTTTTGTTTCCCCGCCCCCCGCAGGCTGAGGGCTTCCGCTACCCCCGCCCGGCCTCGGTGCCGCCATCCCCCTCCGTCTCCCGCCACTCCAGCCCCCACCACAGCGAGACAGAAGAGGACGACGAGCGCTACGACGAGGACGAAGAGGCGGAGAAGGACCGGCAGAACATCAAGTCCCAGGCGCTGATGGGCACCGTCCCCGAGTGGCGCAAGCGCTCCAAGAAGGGCTCCAGCGAAGCGAGCGTCTCCTCCACCGCCAGCACCCCAACCCCCAGCAGCCCCAGCGACCTCAGCAGCCCCACCAACTCCCTGAGCGAGGAGAGGAATTAGCCGTGGGGGGGAGAGAGAGGGCCGGTTGCGCCCCGGCTCGCCCTCCCGCTCCTTTCCACACCTTGCCCCCCACCCCCATAGGTCAGCTGTTCTCTGGTGCTGGATTCTGAAACCGTCCTGGAGTGCAGTAGGGTTCTAGCATGTTCCGGAACTGAGGAGGGTCTCGGGGCTGGCGCGTTTCTAACGCCAATCTGTGTAAGGCTGTCTGCTCTGGATTGGGTCGTTGTGGAAGTTGCCGGGAGGCGGTGGCGCCCGTGCTGTGGAACGGGCAAGGAAATGGCTGCTCTAGACCACCAGGTGCATCGTTCCTGTGTTCAGCTTGACCTAGAATGTGAGGCGGCATGTTCCCCCACCCCACAAGCGTGCCGCCAACTTTTTGGAAGGAGCTGTCATGTTCGTGAGGGTCCTTCTCTGCTCAGGGGAGAGCTGCCCCTGGGACACAGGAGGGGTCGTCGTGGTTTTTGGTGCCCATGGCTAAACCGGTGACTAGATAGGTGCGGGGTCTAGAGATGTAGCAACGTTGCCCCCAGATGTGCCACTGACTCGGAAGAACTGCAGCCTTTTTTAAAAAAACGAATGTTCGAGGACATAGTCTTGTAAGTTCCTGATCCTTTTTATAATAGTTGGTTGGGTGCGGTGTGTGTGTGTGACTTAGCAAAGTTCTGGAACTTTAACTTGAGGAGGCCAGAAGTATTTTTAAAAGCCATTGGCCCTCTCTGCTCAAGAGTGCTGTTTATCAGGAGAGAGGCGGGCTTTCCCACTACAATGCATTTTGAATAAATTGGGTGTGTATCTTATCTGCTTTCTGGTTTTGTTTTTCCCAAGGAATTTGTGAAGCCCTTCAAAAGGAAGGCCCTAGTATATGAGAGGCAGGAATTCTGGACCTTTTGGGAAACGAAGCTGTCGGGAGAGATCCTAAAGGGTGGTGTAGTCCACATGTTGCAGGATGTGTCTGGCTCCGGGGGTATTATTGCCTTCGTTTCTAAAGCGATCAAGGGAGAGGAGTAGGTGCGCAGCATTCTAGGGTGGAAGAAATCTAGAACTCATTTTGTGGTATAAAACACTCTTAAGTGGCTGTGCTCTGGAGTGGAATAGGAGAACTGACCAGAGGTTTCTTCCTAGGGTGGCTGAAAGGGATGTTTTCTTTCTGAAGCCATATTCATAGCCCAGGAACTGTTTCTCCTAGTGGACACTCAACATTCTGGGACAATTATAAGTGCAATATTATTCATTCTGTGTGATTTTTTTTAAAAGTACCATGTTGACCTTAGTGAGGGGGAAGGGCACAGCGGGTGAGCCAACTGCCTGCTTACAAAGGACGGTGGAATGAGAGTAGTCTTACATTTCTCTTGCTTCAGGAATGCAGTCTTAAAGCCATCGCCCCTTCTGTAGAGGATGCCTGGCATACACCCTTGTAGAAGGGCAAGCAGTTCTGAGTGGCGATTGTTTCTAGGGGAAGGTTTAGAAGGTTGCGCACTTTGAAACACGCATGTTCTTTAATGGCCCTAAGAGCCCCAGCGTGAGAGGCTCTGAGAAGATAGGCAAGCTGCTGGCATTGTAGGGTGCGCTTTGGTTGTAGCCCCCAGCTGCTCTTCATAGGGTGACCCTGCTGTCTATAATATGTGGAGAGAAGTCCTGCCCCCCCCATGGCTGTCATATTGGGGGTCTTGAAGACAGGACGTAGCCGTTGAGATCAGAGCATGCTATGACATTCTGGGCCGCTGTGTTGCAAACTCTGAGCCTGGGGTGGCAGTGATGATGCAGGAGGGCTGCATGTCCAAAGCAGGTTCCCGATTTGTTCAGAGCAGCAGAGGGAATGCTTCTGAAAGGCTGTAAGACATTTAACTGTAGTTGGCACGGGGATATTCTGTCCAGCACAAGAGAGACTACCTCGTGGGTACAGCAAAATGCCAACACACACAAGAGTCACTTCAGTTCTGCATCTGCTGCCAACTTTGGCAACAAGGAAGGAAAATCACTTTTTACAAAACCTCTTTCCCTGTGGCCTAGGTAATTTATACCCCCCCCCGATTGTGCCCCCTGTTCCTATGGACTGCCTGACCTCCTATGCTTGGATCATGAGCCAGTTCTCCCCTTCTCACCAACTCTACTTACTGAGAAGGGACTCCCTTTGGTTGAAGGTCCCTCATGAGCCAACACCCTTTTATCCAGTCTCTTCCACCCCCCGAAGAAAACCCTAGAGATTTTATTTATGGTTGTTGAAATATGCTTGAGGTTTTTGTTTTTGGTCTCTTGTCTCTCCCCCTCCCACTCCCCCTGGTGTGGAGAATCAATTCTAAAGAACAAAAGCTGCTTGCGAGACACAACTCAAATATTTAAAGAATAAATTTTGCTTTGAAAAAGTGTGTTCCAGCACAGTGGCTATGAAAGTGAAATGGGAAAGGGGGTCTTTTCTTCAGAAGGAAAAGCACCTTTTGGAGGTGGATGGTGCTTTAGTGCAAAATGATGCAGGACACAAAAGTTCAGCGTTCAGTGGGAAGAGGAAGAACACGTGGTTTGCTGGCAGTGGGGCCCAAGGCCTGCTCATGCTAATCTCTGCTTCAGATTATCTTGGCTAGCAAATACTGGTTAAACATACACTGCAGTACTGCACACAGTTGGCAAAGCTGCGACAGTACAAGACTAGACTGAATGGTCTGTCTTCGGAGAAGGCAGCTCTCAACCCTGATTTTTAATTTAGAGCCTTGCCTGAAAAAGTAGGACCTCAACCCGAGATGCACAACACCCAGCCCCACAGTTGCAAAACAATCAATTGAAAAGTACCAAGTTGAGCCACCCACATCCTACTTGAGGGGGTAGGTAGAAGGTAGAGTAGAGTAAGGGGTCCCTTGTAGGTCTCATCTTCATAGAATTTTTCCCTTCTCCAATGCAGTCAGAATGTGAGTTGCAATGGAATTCAGGACAGATGGAAGTAATTCATTCCCCCTGCAGTGTGTACTAGGGTGGGGTTTCAGCTCCACATCTATCACTGCCAGTACCTACACTGGTGGGAGATGCAATAGTCCCCAACAAATCCAGAGAGCACCAGGTTGGGGGAGGCTGAGGCAGGGCCACCCAGTGACTTTCCACCCCCTACTTAAGTCTACATCATAGGGTTGTGGCAAAGATGACATGGGAAAGGGGAGTGAAAGGGAAAGAACTATGCATGCCACTTTAAGCATGAATGATGAGGTAGATTTGGCTGTCCAAACTAAACTCTTACCTACCAACATGGTAGACTACTAGACCAGTGAATAGTATCTGCCAGCAACATAGCAGGAGATTCATGTCTTAACTGGTTGCACAATGCTGTATGGGACAACTTTTGCTCTAATCTGAAAAGGTAACTTTCCTTTTGCATCTGAAGTCAGATACATTCCAGTATTAAATGACTCTTCTGACTGCCCAAGCATCATGCCCTCATACCCCAGTAGTTATACATACAAGCCATGCAAAGTAGTAGTGCTTAATGCCAAGTTTATTTAATGCCAGTTAGACTTTTCCCTCCCTGTAGATGGACAGGGTTACAGAGGCCTCACTGACTAAGCAGCCAGCTTTCGAGAGGACAGGGTAGCACACACTTCTGGCGGACGAGGCTGCAGGTGTCGGGAGGGAACCAGCACCTCTGGATTCAGTCACTGGACTCTCCCAGGGTGAGACGGTCAAAGAGGTATTCACCAAGGCCCTCGTCTTTGGCACGCACACGCTTGAGGTTGGTCACGTGGTCCCCAAGCTTCTTGATCAGTTTCACCTCCTCATCCAGGAAATGGGTCTCCAGGAAGTCACACAGCTTGGGAGGAGAGAGGAACAGAAGGTTGGCCATAGAAACCTGGAGCTCACAATTCAATGGGAAATCAGCCTCTGGGGGCTCAACTCAGACTAGTAGTGCTGTCTTTTTAAGGTACCACAAGAACTTGTTTTTGCTGCAACAAACACACCCTTCTGGAAATTAATGTAGGTAAGACATCTCATTATGCTTGCATATATCCCATGGCACTGGGCACAAAGAATTCAGCAGTCAAGCCATCTTTATTCTTACAAAGTTGTCTAGTCCTTAAATAAACCTGTACACAAATCTGGGAAGACTTTAGATGTTTAGTAGACCTGTTCAATTGACTGGTGTGGGGTAAGTACTTTGGCTCTCACCATTCACCAGAATTAAGCTAGTCTGCATAGTCAGTGGTCCCCAAGCTTGTAACACACACAACAGTATACCCATTTTGAGGCACTTCCCGTTTTATGAAGTTGATTAGTGGGCACTGATAGGAAAGGCGACATGACCCCCAACCCAACCACGTTAGCTTCTTCCAGCAAGACTTACATGGGGATCTGTGTGACTGGTAGCAACCTGGTGCAAGTCCAGCAGAGCCTTGTTCAAATTCTTCTCCAGCTGAAGGGCCGCATCCATGGCAGCAGCTCCGTTGGTCCACTCATCACGTTCTGGTTTCTGAAGTTAACGGCAGAGAACACTCATGAGAGAGCCTGCCAATTGCAGCACCTTCATAGCCAGCAGCCCTTACATCCCGTTCTGCAATGTTCTACACCTTCAGCATCAACAACCCACTAGTGCCAACAGAAATGGAACTAAATTGGGAGCAGGGAGGACAGCATGGGAGAAGCCCAATGTTAGCAGAAGTACTTTTCCCCTATAAGAATAAAGCCTAAAGCAGCCAAAATGCAACCCAATGAGAACTGGGCATGCTCGTTAGCAACATAATGTTTTAGTGGGGAAAAAGGACGTGAAGGAATGCCCTCGAGTTTCTTTTAAGATCTTGGATATGGGCATGGTACCCTGAACAGGAGCAATCCTACTATGAAGATAAGTAAAGGTAAAGGGACCCCTGACCATTAGGTCCAGTCGTGGCTGACTCGGGGGTTGCGGCACTCATCTCGCTTTATTGGCCGAGGGAGCCAGCGTACAGCTTCCGGGTCATGTGGCCAGCATGACTAAGCCACTTCTGGCAAACCAGAGCAGCACACGGAAACGCCGTTTACCTTCCCGCCGGAGCAGTACCTATTTATCTACTTGCACTTTGACGTGCTTTCGAACTGCTAGGTTGGCAGGAGCAGGGACCGAGCAACGGGAGCTCACTCCGTCGCAGGGATTCGAACCGCCGACCTTCTGATCGACAAGTCCTAGGCTCTGTGGTTTAACCCACAGTGCCACCCCCGTCCCTGTGCATTGTATCTATGAAGATACAATGCAACATTTAGTTGCACTTGTTCTTTCCATGCACAGCTGCTAACATTCTCCAGTCAGACTTGCAGAACAAAGCAGCTGCTTGCATTTCATACCACTAATCCACCCCCAATTCATCAGATGGGAACAGATGAAGCTACAGTATTGATGAAGCAATAAACAGGTGTACCTTGGAGAGCTTACTGGGAGTGCCAAGTTTGCCAGGGGGCGAGCATACAACGCACACTTTAAAATGCAAGTCAGAGTACAAAAGCATGCCATAAACATAACAGTGTGCTATGAAAAAGCTGTTACAACACACCCAGCAAGTCAAGAGGAAGCCCAAGCTTTGAAGGGGGAAAGCGGACATTATTTCTGCTACTCCCATTCCTCATGTCCATGCCTGAGGCCTTGATCCACCACCACAACACCCCTCCTGTCCAAGCCATCCGCATTCTCACTTTGACATCCTGCAGGACAACTCGGCCTCCACGGCGGTTTTGGAAGGTCAGGAGCTTCTCCGCTTGTTCGTGTTTCTCCTCAGAGAGGTGCCGGAAGAAGGATGAGAACTTGGATAAGGCCACATCATCCCGGGTGAAGTAAAAACCCTGAAAGGGAGAAAAAAAAGGCAAGGGCTCAGACTCAAGATTTACTCAAAGAGGAACTAGAAATGAACACAAAATGTTCCCAGTTCCAATCCAATAAATATTTACTGTTTGTAGCCATAGGCCATTGAAAATACAGTAAAATGCTTATTGGCCCAGACATAAAAATGTGGGGAAATGTACACTCAAGTTTAAAAATGCAACCAGCTTTTATTTATTACTACATTATTACATTTACATCACACCCTTCCTCCGAGAACTCAAGGTGGTCTCCCCATACCCGTTCTATTCTCAAAACAATCCGGTTACCCAGTGAGCTTCGTGGCCTAGGGATCTGAACCCTGGTCTCCCAGCTCCTAGTCCAACGCCAACCACTATACAGTGGTACCTCTGGTTAAGAACTTAATTCGTTCTTGAGATCCGTTCTTAACCTGAAACTGTTCTTAACCTGAGGTACCACTTTAGCTAATGGGGCCTCCCGCTGCCGCCACACAATTTCTGTTCTCATCCTGAAGCAAAGTTCTTAACCCGAGGTACTATTTCTGGGTTAGTGGAGTCTGTAACCTGAAGCATCTGTAACCCGAGGTACCACTGTACCAAACAAACTGGTGTCGTAATGGGAGGAGAAAATCTCCTTAGCCACTTTCTGAACAACATTAATAACTTTACACACCTCTGCCCTGTTCCTTCCCATTAATTGCCTTTTCTCCAAACTAAAAAACTCCAAATGTTGCAATGGTTCCTCACAAAGGAACTGTTAAGATTTATGTAGTGTATAGAGACCCCCTCAGAGGCAGCAACCTTCCTTGGCTGGAAAACAGGGCTAGTTAACTTACCTAACAAACACAATGGCAATCTTTTAGGTTTTATCCAAATCTAGCTATAATTCCCCCAGCCCAATTTAACCCACACAAAGCGGAGTTCAAGAGACAGACTGGATGGCGCCTCCATTTCAGGGCTTTTAGGCAGCCAGGTGGGGAGGTTAGGGTTGTTGTTTTTAAATCATTAACGCTATATCTTCACAACATTGTTTGTTCAGACCACACAACTCAAGGGAACTCAGCACTGGATAAACAAGAGGGCAGCAGACTTTGCCACAGCCCACAATGGAGGGAAGGGAGGAAGAAAGAAGCAGGCAGCAGACCCAATGGGGAGGGAACGAAATGGAGACAGAAGCTGTACACACGCTAGTCTCCTTTCTTAAAAAAAGCACATTCTTCCCCTCAAATAGTTTTTTGGCCTCTGCTTCCCTCCTACAAACATTACTGGCATGCGGCCCCTGAAATATTGCTCTGGGGAGCAGTGTGGCCCTCAGTCAGAAGATTCCCCACCCCCAATCTCGAGGACAGCGGAGGGAGCTCTCTAAGATGTTGACATGAAAAAATATGTCCCACGCAATCATGGCTGCCAGGTCCACTCTACTCCTATTTTGCAAGACGCAACAGCTAGACCGGGAGACTTAGGAACAAGGAGAGCCAGGCGTCTGCCTGCTCCATCTCTTTCGAGGGCAGGCAAGATACAGACGTAGCCAATGAGAACCCAAAAAGCCACTGCCAGCCATCAGACAAAGGCAGCTTTCTGCACTGAGGTGAAGTAGCAACACTGGGAAGGAAGCAACACGGGGGGAGATTTTTTTGAAAAATGCCCTTTTCTATAACCCCAAAAAATGATGCACTATTTAGAAAAGACTGTGCTGTTGGAAGGCAAACGCCCATTGATCAGTCAATAGCTGGAAAGATTAAGCCATCAGATTTCCCTGACTGGAAAGGTAATTCACCTGAAACCCCTAAGTGCTGAACTCCCCTAAAGAGGGACCCTTTTATTGTTTAGAATTTTTGAGAGAAAAGCCACCCTCAGTAGGTTTAGAGCTTAAAAAAACAAGCCCCTGTACTACCCATTGTCATCCTTGCACCCTGTAAGATGCTTTGGGGCTACAATTCCCTTTTACAACTGTGCTCGCTGGGGCTGATGGGAGTTGTAGTCCAAATCTCCCGGAGGGCACTTGGCTGGCATCCAGCAGACTAAAAGATGCTGCGAGAAAGCAACACACCCTTACCAGAAAGGAAAACCTCACCTGCTGGATTTCTACCTGCCACGTAGCCGTGGAAAAGCAAAACGGAGCAACAATCGCATACCCAATGCAAAGAGAGACCAAAAAGATTAGCAACAGATTATTAAAAGCCGCGGCTTCGCCTCCTCCCCTCCCCTCTGGACGCTCACCAGGGACAGGTAGTTGTAGCTGGCATGGAGAAACTGGTTGACCAAGCGATTCACTCCGGCTTCGCTCTGGGCGTCGTAGTTCTGGCGGACCTGGGAGCTCATGGTGCAAATCGGCGACTGGACTGGCTGGCTTAAGGATGAAGATGATGGGGCGGCGGCCGCGATCCTGCTCCGTTCAAGCACTGTTGAAGCAAGAGCGAAGAACGAAGGCCAGGAAAAGGAGCGATCTGAGCTGGGTGCGCCCGGACAGGGGCTTTTATAGGCAGCCCGGGAGGCTCTTCCAGGGACCTCCCTCCGCGAGGAGCGCAAAGGCTCCACCCCGTTTGCTCGCTGGTAGGGAAGCAGCTGAGGCTTTCTGGCTTCAGCAAGGGGATTGAAAGAAGTCCGATTTTTAAAGGGGAGGGGGGAAAGTTCCACGGGTTCTCAACGATCTGCAGCCCTGTAAGGTGTTACCAAGGGACAAGGTGCCTTTGCGTTGCAATAAAATCTTTACATGCAAAAAAGAAAATGTAATGCCCAGAGATACGGCTATAAATGCAGTGCTTTTTTTCTTGAAACATGTTTAGGGTACTCTCATTTTGACTCAGGAAAATCACCATTTTATAGTTCAAATCAGGGGAAATAAATACAGTAAATGGACAAAAGTATAAAGATTCACAAAATGTTTAGGGGTATGCATACACTTGCGTCCCCCCAGGAAAAAAAGCACTGTATGTTAAATATGTGTGTGAAATATGTGTGTTAAAAAATCCTTTGTGGTTTGCTGGCTCGGAAAGCAAATGCTACTGAATTTCTCGAGGTGGGGTTTTCTCCCATCTACGGCATTAACCCTATGCATGTCTACCCAGATGTAAAGTTCAGTGGGGTTTGCTCCTAGGTAAGTGTGTAGATAAAGTTTGCTACCTTAAGGAGTTTGCAGCTTTAAATTCCTTGTCTGCATTTTTACACCTGTTGTGGCCAAAATGGGATGACACAATAGGTGACCAGACTCCGCCTCAAGAAGCCCAGAGGAAGGCGAGTGTTCTCAACTGCTGCAGGATCAGGCCCATGGCTTTAGGGTGATCTCTGATCCTGTATTTGTGCTGGATGCACAAGTTGTCATGAGAGGCTTCAGCTGGTACCACTAGCCAAGACTGCCTCCTGATAAAATCAGATCTTGCCACAGTTATTTGTGCCACAGGGAGCTCCAAATTAGACTGCTGTAAGTTGCTCTATACGGGGCTGCCTTGAAAAGCATTCAGAAACTTACAACTTGTGTGAAATGTCGCTTCCATTTTGTTGACAAGGGGCTAGATGTTTTTGTTGGAATAGAAATGGTTGCCAATCTGTGTCAAGGCTCAGTTAAAAGGGCTGGTTTTAGCTTTTAAAGCGCTAAACAAGCCTTGACATTTTGCCTTCTTCCATATATTCCTGTGCTTGACATCTGGAATCTTGCTCCAGATCCCTCAATTATATGAGGTATTGATGGGCGAGTCCTTTTCTGCAGTGGCCCCTCACCTTGAGAGAACAGTCAGGCCCTACAGCGATGGCTTTTTTAAGGCATTTGGTCAAAGCATGGCTGTTCAATAATGTGTTTGGATGAATGTCTCCTGCCTTTTAAAAAAGGGGGGAGGGTTGTTTAATAATGTGATTTCTGTAATTTGATTAAGTTTAAAGTCAATGCTGCTTTGTAAGCTGCCTTGAGTTCCCCTGGTGAAAAAAGCAGGCATCTATAGTTTGAATAAATTAATAAATAAGATGACTGGGCCACAAGCATTTCAATGAACCAAATCATTTCAATGATTTTTTTCTCATCCTAATGCAGTACTCTCTCCCCATTACACCAGATAGGAGATGGTGATAGGTTGAAACACCCCTCTTAATGGAAGAAAGTGGAGATGGGTCTCTTTTACAGTGAAGTCCTTTGCCCACATACTTGGGAGTAAGTCCAATTTAACTAAGTGGGACTGACTGCTGAGTAGATAGGATTGTGTTGTTGTTTTTTTTAAAACAGACAATTCCTAACTGTTTTCCCTCCAGGCAGATACACTGAGCCTTTGGGCAGAAGCACATTTCAACAGACACAGCTTTCCCCTTCCTAGAGTCCCACAGTGGGGGGGGGGGAGGGGGGCAAGAGAAGCTGTACCTGTTGAATATCTGCTCTCTTTTTAAGGTACAAAGACAGGGAAGTGGGGGACAACAACCCTAGTTTAGAACATGACCTGCAGGGAAAGAAAAGTTTAAAAAGTAATGGGACTAGCAAGCATGTTTGGGGATGAAGAAGGTGGCCAGGATCAGACCTCTTGGGTTCTGTAAAAGAGGCCCATCAACCTATGGATTAGAGAGAAGCTAGGACGCGGGTGGCGCTGTGGTCTAAACCACAGAGCCTAGGGCTTGCCGATCAGAAGGTCGGCGGTTCGAATCCCCGTGATGGGGTGAGCTCCCGTTGCTCAGTCCCAGCTCCTGCCCACCTAGCAGTTCAAAAGCACGTCAAGTGCAAGTAGATAAATAGGTACCGCTCCGGCGGGAAGGTAAACGGCATTTCCATGCACTGCTCTGGTTCGCCAGAAGCAGCTTAGTCATGTTGTCCATATGACCCGGAAGCTGTCTGCGGACATTCGTGGGCTCCCTCGGCCTATAGAGTGAGATGAGCACGCAACCCCAGAGTCGTCCGCGACTGGACCTAATGGTCAGGGGTACCTTTAAGTTTACCTAGGACTGTAAACACACCAGAAATTTAAAGTACATTTCCCCCCCCCCACGAAGAATCCTGGGAACTGTAGTTTGCTGAGAGTGCTGGGAATTGGAGCTCTGTGAGGGGTAAGCTACAGTTCCCAGGGTTCTTTGGGGGAGGCCAGGTGGATGTGGCTTATGACAGCCAAGGTCTCTAGAGCTGGGGTAGGGAACCTTTGGTCCTCCAGATGTTGCAGAACTTTGTGTAGTTCAACAACATCTGGAGGGCCAACTGTTCCCTGCACCTTCTCTAGAGGGATAAATTCATGGAGGTTTTTAAAAAAGAAGAAAACATTTTCCTATCCCCTCTTCTTCCCTCATGAACATGACTCAGCAAAAACACTTCCTTCAGAACACTGACACAAGTGGGGGGAGAAAACTCAGGATGATTCAGCAAAAAAAGTGTCTTTCGCTTCCCTTTCCTCCCCCCCTCCCCTTTGTTATTGTTCTCAAGCTGGAGGCCTTGAGGCTGTTCTGTCTATCCACCGCTGCCCCCTGAAAATAACTAGCTAGCAATGTGTGGGATGCAGCAGCCAGGAGACAGAGATCTTGAATTTCCAGCAAAATGAGAATCCTCTTTCTCAGGCCCATTTTCCATGGAAGCTTCATGCTGTTGTTCATGTTTTCAAAATATAAATTATACGGGGTAGTTTTGAGTCAGTCAGGCACGCGAGGCCCACACCATTTGTAGCAAAAGTTTAGGAAATTATCCCAAGCATTCCTGCTGAGATGACATGACTGATAATTAGCTATCCACACATGCCTTGAAAACAACCCACCCTAAGCACAGATACAGAGATACTCCTTCAATTTCACACTGCTTCCGGTTTTGGACATCGTGATCAAAACTGGTGGGCTGTATTCATTGTTCTACCCTAGTAGACCCATTGTAACGAATAAACCTAAGTTAGTTATCTTAATGAACTTCAGTGAGTCTACTCTGGGTAGGAGTAGCACTGCCTGCAACGCTTGGCACACCCTTGTGTTCAGCTGTTTGCAATATTTATCACAGGTGTTTTTGAAGAATTCAGAATACAACACTTGCTGAGGGCATACATTTTCTTGGATAGTTCTCTTTACAGCTTCTGTCAAACAAGGCTTTTCTGTCCATTCGAACCTGGTTCTCTCTGCATCCCCATGAGGTGTCATCTTGGGTTCAGCTTCGTCATCGTCATGAAAACAAGTTGGAAGGGGAGTCGGAAGTGGGGGGGGGGCGTGAGGAGCTCAGCAGTGGAGTGCGGATCTTGCTGTCGGCCATGACCCCATGACATGTTTAACTGCATGATGCTGGGAAATAGGGACCGAAACTGTATGAGGAAGCTGGGCATATGATGAGATGGGTCTTAAACTGGCCTGAATTGAGGTAGTAAGGGCGAAGGCGAGGGAGGATCTCATCTCTCTGTCTTGCTTCTCTATCTGCCTGTCATAAGGAGTGCAGGATATGCAGAATTTCTGCAAAGGTCAGCTGGGGGGGTGGGCGGCACGTGATAGCAGAATGTGTTGTGATGACAAATAGCGAAAGAGGAAGCTTAGAAGCCAAAAGATCTCCTGTGAGACAATTGTTATTAGCATTATTCTATCTAGATTTTGCTTCAAACTGCTAAAGGTGGTCTCCCCGTTCCCAAAAGTATCGCTACAGATCTGGGGTAGCAGAGTTTGCGGGTGCAAAGGCACCCATAACTACTAGAGTTAGTGACTGTTAGAAACCAATAAAGGGGTAGAATTTAGCTGATTTGGGAAGCATTGAATGGAAGTTTCCAGGCCAGTGGAAAAATACAGGATATGCTCCCTTTCCAGACCTGGGATAAAAGTCACTAAGAATGACAAAAAGTGCTTGAAGCAAGTCAATCACACATCAACAAAAAGGTGATGTCAAACAGGAAAAATGTGTCCTTTTTAAAAGCAGAGATCTGGAGGTGCGGGGGGTGAGTGGGCAGGCAGAATGGGAGGTGTGTTTTGGGCAAGGTGTTCTGCGAACAAGAAGGAAGAAGTGGGGAGAAGTCTGTGGGGGGCAGATGCCATGAGGGCTGGCTGGAGACAGGATGGGGCAGAGGCACAGAGATGGTGCTTAGAAAGCCTCTGAGTGCCATGCTCTTTCTGCTGTGAAGGTCAGTCCCTTTTTGAGACGCAAGTGCCCTAAACTCTGCATTCCCTCCTTCTGCACCCAGGTTGTAAATATGTGTCAATAAACCATTTTTCTTAAGGACACGACAGTCTCTGCCATGTATTGTTTCCCAATGGAAACATGAACCCTGGGTGAGCGCCTGGGACTCCCTGGGATTTTGCTCCCGCTTGGCAGAGATTTGGGGAGGATCGCAACCTTTGTAACATTATGGTTTGCTAGATTCAGGTTGCTCTGACGCAGTCAAAATAGTAACAAAAAAATAGTCCAGTAGCACCTCAGGGACCAACTAAGTTTGTTCTAGGTATAAGCTTTCAGAAAGCTTATACCTAAAACAAACGTAGTTGGTCTCTAAGGTGCTACTATGGGACGCGGGTGGCGCTGTGGGTTAAACCACAGAGCCTAGGGCTTGCCGCTGAAGGTCGGTGATTCAAATCCCCGCGGTGGAGTGAGCTACTGCTGCTCGGTCCCTGCTCTTGCCCACCTAGCAGTTCAAAAGCACGTCAAAGTGCAAGTAGATAAATAGGTACCGCTCCGGCAGGAAGGTAAATGGCGTTTCCGTGTGCAGCTCTGGTTCGCCAGAAGTGGCTTAGTCATGCTGGCCACATGACCTGGAAGCTGTACGCTGGCTCCCTCGGCCAATAAAGCGAGATGAGCGCCGCAACTCCAGAGTCAGCCACGACTGGACCTAATGGCCAGGGGTCCCTTTACCTTTACCTTTAAGGTGCTACTGGACTATTTTTTTATTTTTTATTATGGTTTGTTGTTCATCTCCCTCTCTCTGTAGTTCCTGACAAAATACACCAAGACAGAAAGTGCAGCAAAACAATCCAAATAAGCAACCATTTGTTATGTTATAATACAACACCGTTTGTATTTTATACATAAGAACACATTCCTGAATGCTGTCTGTCCCCGTCCCCACCAACGTGGACAGTGTGAAGCTTGCTAAAGCAGGCAAAGAACAGGGGAAGTCTCACACACTTGCCTTATTTTCAGACTTTGGCGGAAATTCCCCAACAACCCTACCTGTGGTTATTTTGAGACTCCACCAGCATGATATTTGTCTCATCTGCACTCAGCTTGGCTTCCTCTGTGCTGGAAACCAACAAAATAAAATACTCTGTTTAAAAAGTGTATGCTGAACTATACCTGGGATCCTCTTCACCAGTCCCTTCACCGATTGGCCCTCCAGCAAAACCAGCCTCAAACCTAAAGGCTGTGTATGCATTATCTCTCTGAAGCACATTCAAAGCACATTCTTCCCCTCAAAGAATTCTGGACACTGTAGTTTACCCCTCAGAGATTTATAATTTCCAGCAACCCTGAACAAACTATGGTGCTAAATAGTTCTGTTTTTACAAGCCTTGTTCTCAAGGTAAGACCACAGCTCACTGGGTCTCCCAAATTGCTTCTTTTTTTAAGTGACAGTAGCTTACATGTGCATGTGTTTAACGTGCATCGTTTCCCCCATCAAAATCACTCCCCCCCCCAACTGCAAATTAGAATTTTGATTATTCCACTTATTGAAAAAAGGGAAGCAGCATTTTCAGGCATTGAATTCAATGGCAACTATGCTTCATGGCACTTACTTCCCCTATGATCTCCCCCAGCACCATATTTTAGATTGTAAGCCCCTTGGGCCAGAGACCTGCTCTCTTGTACACAGCAAAGCTCCATGTGTATTGACAATGCTATTCAACAATCAATAAGAGTGATAAGATCTTGCCATTAGGCAAGGTCTCCTTCCACCTGCCTTGCCCCACCCTCCGGCCCTAGGAGTCCTCATAAGGGAGCTGGTCCTGGAGGAAGAACTGTGAGGGGAGAGACTCCATCAGGCAAGGCCTCCTTCCACCTGCCTTGCTCCACCCTCTGCTTCTCAAAGTGTATTGTATTGTTTTATGTACTGTGGCTTGCTGTTGTTTTACGGATTATAGTTTAGATATTATTGTAACTGTTAAGTGGATTTCTGTTTAACTTTTGTATGTTGATATTATTATTTTATACTATTCTAATTGTTGAATGTTACTTTTTTAAAGTTACATTTTATTATCACATTTTTGTATTGCATTAGATTGTTATAAGATGTACATTTTTTGTTTCTTCAGCTTGTAAACCGCCTTGAGTATTGTAAGATAGAAAGGCAGTATACAAATTAAAAATGATGATGGTATCATTTGTACCCCACCCATCTGAATGGGTTGCCTCAGCCACTCTGGGCAGCTTCCAGCAAATATAAAAGCATAACAAAACATCAAACATAAAAAACTTCCCTATACAGGGCTGTCGTCAGATGTCTTCTAAAAGCCGTATACAGTGATACCTCGGGTTAAGAACTTAATTCGTTCCGGAGGTTTGTTCTTAACCTGAAACTGTTCTTAACCTGAGGTACCACTTTAGCTAATGGGGCCTCCCGCTGCTACCGCACAATTTCTGTTCTCATCCTGAAGCAAAGTTCTTAACCCGATGTACTATTTCTGGGTTAGTGGAGTCTGTAACCTGAAGCGTCTGTAACCCGAGGTACCACTGTAGTTGTTTATCTGTTTGACATCTGACAGGAGGACGTTTCACAGGGTAGGTGCCACTACCAAGAAGGCCCTATGCCTTGTTCCCTGTAATTTCATGTCTCGCAGTGAGGGAACCTCCAGAAGGCGCTTGGAGCTAGATAACATGGCAGGCATCTCCCAAGCACAGCACCTCTCCAGGCCTATATTTGGTCACCTGTCCTTGAATCCAGCTCTGGCAGGTGTATATTTAATGGGCCCTGGAAGGGTGCCCTTGTCATGAATTTTGCATATTAACTGACTGTTGATAAGGGCAGCTGGTTTGCAGTGTTATGGGTTTGTGAGTGCCAGACCTCTATAATCCTAGAAAGTGTTTTAAAATACAAATCAGGTTAGCTTCCTTCTGAGGCGATTGCCTGGGTGAAGGGCCATTAAGAAAACTACGTAAAGGTGATGGGCCTTTAAGAGAGCAAAAGAGAGTGGGCTCTTTGCCAAATGGCAGGTGGGTCCCTCCTCCATCTCACAAACAGGGAGAAGGATAAAAGCTAGTTGAGATTTTGCTGTCATGTGAAAGAAGAAACAGGAAAAAAGCAGAAAGCAAAGGGTCAGAGAGCAATGCTTGATTTCTGCTGGAATATCGTCTTAGGCTCAGGTTGTATATATGTGTAAATAAACCCAATATCATAAAGACATCACAGGCTCTGTTGTATTTCATTGTCCAAAAGCAAACACAAACCCTGGGTGAGAGCTTGGAACCCTGGGATGTCGCAGCACTCAAGCATTTACTTTGCGTTTGTTCATGGAGTTCAGCGAGTCTGCATATCGATAACAGGAAGGAAAGTTCAGGGGAAACTGGCCAAGCTCTCCTTCTTTTATTGATCAAAGTTCTTTGAGAAAATAAAATAAAAAGGGAGACTTTAGATTCACACGCACTTTTACAGGCTGCGATGGAAGGATAACAAAGGGAGGAGGTGGGGAGACTGGCAGTTGTCCAAAGTGACAATAGAACGTTGTTCCTGAGCTGAAGGAGGCCACGAATACAATGCACACTGCTCAAGGACTAATTCTAGGGACTATCTATATTGGTAGAAGCCCTGCTTTTTCTCACACTTGAGTTCTGTCTTGTGGTCGCAGGACTAAAGGCAAGGCCAAGTACAGTGGTACCTCGGGTTAAGTATTTAATTCGTTCTGGAGGTCCGTACTTAACCTGAAACTGTTCTTAACCTGAAGCACCACTTTAGCCAATGGGGCCTCCTGCTGCTGCCGTGGCACCAGAGCACAATTTCTGTTCTCATCCTGAAGCAAAGTTCTTAACCTGAAGCACTATTTCTGGGTTAGTAGTCTGTAACCTGAAGCGTATGTAACCTGAGGTACCACTGTAGATAGGAGCAGGTCTGGTTCTTGCCCCATGCAGCATTATCTTCCCCAGTAGGAGTGAATGGCAGCAATTAATTTATAAGGGAGTCTTTTTGGAACGGGCACAGTTCCCTGTATCAGATCAGCCACCCATTACTCCTGCAGGAACTTGACAAGTTTGTCTTCCCTAGCAGCCACCCAGGGTCTCCTGGAGAGAGGCCTCTCACATCACTGGCTACCTGATCCTGGAGATGCCAGGGACAGTACTGGGGACCTTCTGCACTCAAAGCACATGCTCTGCCACTAAGCCATGGCCCTCTCCCAAGCACTGCTTTTTAAGGAGGCAGCAGCAGTAGCGGTGAAGACAAAACCTTCCCTAGGCCCCTTACAATGGCTGGTCTGATGGGGACTGTTGTCCCATAAACTTTTTTTCTAGCTGGGCTCCCTCCCGTTATTTGAGTCACTGAGGGTGGGAGAGAAAGAGGATGATTTAGGCAGTGGACTCCAGGAAGAAGACGTTAGCATCCCACAGCCTCCCTTTTTGCTATTTAATTGAGATTCCACATATTCTGCTGAGTGTTGGCAAATCCCGTTTTAAAACACATGCTTGATGCCCCTACATACAAGTTTGCCCCTTACATCTGTGTCAGTGTGTGGAGGAATCAGTGTGTCAGTGGTATTTTGATTCTGATGGAAACCAGTTATTTAAAACACACGGGAGGGGGGAACTTTCAATTTACGCAACTGTCCAAGGAAAGCCAACGTTGCTTTCAAGTTATGAGCTGCAGAAGGCTCTTAGCAATAGGCTCTGGCCCTTATCTCTCAAGCACAGCTGTGGGTGGAGTGATTTGGGTATCTTGTTTTTTTGGGTTTTTTTAAGAACAGCATAGTTTGCCTCTGTTCCTCCATACAAGCAAGAAAGCCTAGCTCCACTTCAAAGGTATTTGCAGTTGCTTAAATTTGCAGTCTTGGGCAATAATGAGGATGTAAGATAAGTGTAGTTTGCCCCTTTGTAAACAAAACATAAGTACAGGCTGTTCTGCTTGCAATATCCCAGAAAGGCACTTGAAGAAACTCAGAAATAAGATCCTGCACAGGTAAAGTTGATGCCTAACCAATTAGTTCAGCAGTATAACATGTTTATAAATGACTTCACTGATTCGTGTGCTTGGCCTATGGTCCTTTTATTATTATGTTATTAATTATTTGAATCCTCTTTAAACTTATTTGGGAGTCGCTTCTCAGGCTTTCTTCTGAGGAGACCTACACACCATGGGGATGGGGGAACCTGTAGCCCTGCACATGTTGCTGGACTACAACTCCCATTGCCCTTGACCATTTGCCCCCGTGGCTGGGGATGACATGGGAGATGGGAGATTTGGAAGGCAGCAGTTTTTGCCACCATTGCTGGTACAAGATTGAAGTGCCCTGCTGTGGAAGGGGAGAGGAGCTTCCCCTCCCATTTCAGAGCAACGTGGAATTTAATCTAAGGTAGCCAAGGTGCAAATGGAAACAGGGCAGGTTTTAAATCTAAGTAAATTAATTAGGAACAAAAGTTTCCTGCATTTCAGGGCTTCCAAACTTGGGTCTCCAGCTGTTTTTGGACTACAGTTCCCATCATCCCTGACCACTGGGTCCTGCTAGCTAGGAACAATGGGAGTTGTAGTCCAAAAACAGCTGGAGACCCAAGTTTGGGAGATCCTGAACGAGACGGCTCTCATGGTTCCTTCCAACTCTACAATTTTATGAGTTTTGGCCCTGGCTCCATCCGCCATCAGCATGTGGCCCCGGACAAATTATGCCCAAGGGAAAACGGCCCTTGAAAGGGGGGAAACAAGTTGATTGCCTAAGACAAGAGTGTTTGCCTTTCAGCAGTGACGATACCCCTTGTTTGGACATCGCAAACCTCCCCCCTTAAAACCCCAGAAAAACCACAGGCGAGTTTAAACGGGTGAACCCTTGTTTATTGGAAGCATGCCAACTGAGTTGTGGCAGGTACAGCCCCCCTTGAGTGGGGCCTGGCCAGAGTGACGGAGGTGGGTCTTGCTTCTGTGGGTTCATGGAAGGGGTATTGCGCTCTTGGGGACGAGGGAGGGAGAGGGAATCAGCTGCTGCTCTCTCCCAGAGTGTGCTTGTCAAAGAGGTATTCGCCAAGACCTCCCTGGGATGCCCCCAGCCGCCGGAGGTTGGTGACGTGGTCGCCCAGGACTTTGATAGCTTTCACTTGCTCGTCAAGGTAGTGAGTTTCCAGGAAGTCACAGAACTGTGGAGATAGAGGGAGAAGAAGACAGGGTGAAATGCTTGGGTTAGGCAGACACAACACCCAGAGCACTTCCAATGAGCTCTCCCCTCAACTGTTTACTTCTGAAGTTGTCTCTTCTACTGTAGGGTTCACCTTGGATAAGTGGCAATCTGACGTTCAAGTTCTGCTATTTTTTTTTTTTTAAAGGTATGGCAGTTTTATTTCAGGACTACACTTAATAATAGGGAAGGGGGCCCGTAGTCCTCTGGGCATTGCAGGACTCCCACCCTTCCTGATCGTTGGGCCCATGCTGACTGGGATTTACGGGGCTTGGGAATCAAATGACTTTTGGAGAGCCGTCCTTGCTTAAACACATTGCAAAGGATTTTTTTCTCTCTTTCTCTGCATTCTGCCTCCTGCCCCACATGATGTGAATAGCATAGTAGATTTATGGGTGCTGCAGCTGCTACAACTATTTCTGCCCAGGAGGGTAGCAGGAAGACCTATTAGGATCTTGGCGTAACATCTCAGAGCTCACAGAATCAGAGGCAGGATGCAGAGATGGCTGGACCACTGATAAAACAGTGAAGCAACATTGTGCAAATCCAGAAACTTACCAGTACCTCTGAGGCAAAGTAGGTAAAAGGCGTATGTGCAAGGACAGTAACGGCTCAAGACAGGACTCCTAAGCCTATCAACACCCCATGGATACTCACATGTGGGTCTCCCTGGCTGCTTGCCAGTTGGTGCAGATCCAGGAGGGCTTTGTTCACGTTCTTCTCCAGCTGAAGGGCTGCCTCCATGGCATCAAGAGTTGTACCCCAAGCATCCTTTTCTGGCTTCTGTAGACACAGAAAACAAATATAAAATTATAGAGTTCTGTAACAAACCAGCTTTTGAAGACTGGTTGCTGCTACTTCTGGGACAGTGGCTTCCCCAGGGCCAGAGGCAGGATTCGAACCCAGGGTCAACATGCCATTTTTGCCCAGCTCACATAGAAGGGTTTGAGGTCCTAACAGGCAGAACCACCACCTGGGAAGTCCTGCAGTCGCTGCTCTTGGCATCTCTGGCTAGAAACAGGGCACCCCACCAGATTTGTACCTTGATGTCCTGCAGGAGGACCCGACCACCGCGCTGGCTCTGGAACTTCAGCAGCTTCTCAGCATGCTCCCGCTCCTCGTGGGACTGCGAGCGGAAAAAGGCAGCCACATGTCGCAGGGCAACGTCATCCCGGTCGAAATAGGAAGACTGGAGAAAGGGAACAGGAGGAGACGCTGGGTTACTTTGGGGAGATCCTAGCCAGACTGCGGACAAGTGAGCAGATGAAAAAGACCTTCAGATCTGGGGAAGTGTTGTGGGCAGGGAAGGAGGAGGCCTGATCTGTTAAAAGAACGAATTTTTCCCACAAGGCCTCAGAAGCTTGCAAGTTCTGTAAAAGAACAACCACCCTATGGGAAGCAGGGGGAAACTCTCAAGTTCTTCTGCATAAGTTGTCTTCTGTATACCCAAGCTGGCCTCAACCAGAAGTCGGGCATTTAGGGTTGATGGTTCCATGCTACATAACACTCTTCTAGCCGAGATTCAGCAAGCACCCTCACTTTTGACTTTCTTTCAGACTTCTTTATGCCAACATGTCTCTGCAGTTGTTTAAAATTTCCACGAGTAGCCAGTCTTTTATTAATGATTCTTTTGTACTGCTTTTAATTGTTATTTTACGTTTTTATATTGCTGTGCACCACCTTGAAGATTTACGAGAGGGCGGTATACAAATACTTTTACTTTGTAAAAAAACAAAACAAAACTCTTGAGTCAATGAAAGTCCACGCCACTACAAAATGTCTCCCATTTAGCCACGTGCCGAGACTACAGAGAAGACACTTGTCTGCAGTTTGCTACCAGGCACAAGCAGAGCAGGACAGGGGGCCCCTCCAGACATCCCTTTCCGTTGTGCCTTCATGATGATTTCACAGTTCTGCAGAAGGCGCCTCTGACACATGAGAAAACAGGAGGTGCTGTGCAAGTTTGTGTTTGTGTTGTTGTTTTTTAACCTCTCTCTCTCTCTCTCTCTCTCTCTCTCTCTCTCACACACACACACACACACACACACACAGTTTAATTGAATCAGCCCATAAATTTATTTGCAAAAAATGTTTTCTCCTGTTGCAGGAAGAGAGATGGGGATAACTGGTGAATGTCCTGAGGCTACAAAAAGAAAGAAAGGAGGGAAGGAAGGAAGGATATCGCCATCAAAGAGATGCTACATATGACAAACTTGAATTGGCAAAAAGGCTGTAAACAGTCACCAAAAAACACATGCCCCTACTAATATTTTTTTTTAAAAAAATATTAATGGGCAGGGATCCACAAATCCTGCATGCCTAGTATTGCAGAGAAATGGGTGAGTGTGGGAGACGGATATGGAAAAACGTGAACAAGAACACACAAGTTTTGAATGGAGAATCTGTACTTCTTCCAAGTTTGGAAGGTATCCAGGGGATAAACACTATTTTGAAGGGGGAGAAGGAGGAGGCGAGACTCACTGAATGGAGCCCATTGGTGTTAGGGGAGGAGAGGCAAGCCTCAAGTGTGAACTAACCTCAAACTGTATGCAGATTGTAAAGCAATTGAACTGACCAACTTTCAAAGCAACAGGACACAGTTAGGGAGAAAAAACCCAACCCACATATAATGGGGGAAGGAAATGTATGAAGAGCCATGGGGCAAGTAGGGGGACACTGAGCAGAGTGCCCTGGGGGCAAGAGGCTCCCCTCTTAAAAATAAAGTATATGGGGGATGGAGCCTGCAGAAGCCCGAGGGGGCAGAGTTCTGGTGAAAGTTAGGCAAGGCGCCCTTGAAAGACTGCTAGCATCACTCTCTCTCACACAGTCCATTTCCCAGAGAGACATCAAGGTGTGGGCATCAGAAGTTACAGAAAGAAACAGTTGTTAACAGAGGCCAAAGCAAAAGAAGAATAACAACACACACCCCTTTCCATCTTCCTATACTGGAAGTGGGTCAAGTAGAGATTATGGGTTGGGGGACAAGAAGACACTATTAGGTATGGGAAGAAGAGAGAATAACTGTCATGGGATGTTCTTTTTAATCACCCCACCCTAGAAGCTTATCTCTGCCTCCCACTTGTTGATCCACCCAAGACGGGGCTTGAACACACCATGGGCAACTGGAAGTGGGGGGGATGGAGAATGCAAGAATGGTGTTTTATGCCAAAGAGAGAGGCAAGGCTGTGCAGGCAGGCTGATCAGCAACTATGAGATGCCAAGCACCACCACCATGACCTCTAGGCCTAAGAGAGAGAGAGAGAGAGAGAGAGAGAGAGAGTGTATAAGTATTTTTGGAGAGTAGCAAGAGGACAATGACCAAGACTAGGGGAAGCACTAAAAAGGAAGTGAAAGAGTGTTCGTTTGAAAACAAAGGGAAGGAAGCAAGCAGAGGCAGCCAGAACTCTCAAGACAAAGTCCCTCTCGTTGTTCTTGCTGCTGCTTTTTCCCCTTGGAAACAAAAGTGATGAAAATGGAGGTTCCTAATAAGGGAGAAGAGAGCATGGTGTTGTTGGGCTCTTCTCCCACCCCGTTTAAACCTGCTACCTAGCCATGAAGCTTTCTGGGCGACTTCAGGCCCTGAGCCACCACTTCTTCGGGTTGTTGTGAGCTTCCAGCGGGAAAGTGGTTGGGTGGAAGACCATGCCTGCTGCTACCTTGAACTCTTTAGAACAAACGTGGGATTGAAAGAACGCAGGGCGAGTGGAATTGGTGTCCTGCGGGGTTCTCTAGCCACGCTCCCTTTTCCCCAGGGAACAGAGCCAACTGATCACAGAATTGTGGAGTTGGAAGGGGCACCCAGAGTCATCTAGTCCAACCCCCTGCAATGCAGTAACGAGCCTGTGACCCGGGGGCTCTGCACCCCAATATACCACCACCACGTCGCCAACACACCCTGACCCCTTGCTCACCATGGACAGATAGACGTAGCTGGCGTACAGCTCCATGTTGACCATGCGGTTGACGGCGGCTTCGCAGTCGCGGTGGTAGTTCTGGCGGACCTGGGACTCCATGGCGGCGGGGCGGCGGCGGGGATCTCGCTTCGCTGGCTGGGCAGCTGCTGGCGGGTCAACTCAAGCAAGGATAGCAGAAGAAGCAAAAGGGGCTCTCCTTTTTTTTTTGGCTGTTTTGTTTGCTGAAGAGGGAAAAGAGAGGGGAAAAAGAAAAGAGGCTGGTGGTGGAACCGGCTCCGTTCAAACACTGTTGAAGCAAGAACCGAGCTCTGCGGGGACAAAGGGATCGCGGGCGCTTTTATAAGGCCGCCGGGCAGCGAGAGGGACGTGCGCAGCCACCAATGACCGGCCCTTCAGCGCACGCCGAGGCCGAGTGTTTGCGAAAGGCGGAGTCTGGCCAAAGGGGAACCCAGGCGTCCGAGCGCGCGGCCCTCCCTCCCTCCCTCGCTGCCTGGCGCACGTGACGGGCTCGGCTTCTCCTCCGCCCCAGCCGAGAAGCGCGCGCTATCTTTGCGCACACCCCGCATGGAAAAAGACCGCGTCATATTGTAGTTGCTTTGCGCCCGCTACGAGCGGTATTCAGGATGGAAACAGAGAATTGAACCTGAAAAGCTTTTCCCAGCGGAGTAATGCACATTCTCCTCTAAAAGGGGGGTGGGGGGGAATACCATTGAGGGCAGAATTTAAAATTACCTATCCGAACGAACCATCGCCAAGGGAAATCCCCGTTTCCAACCCCCTTCTTGTCCCACCATGTAGCCCCGGAAGACCCAGCAGTCCTGGCTTTCACTGCTCATAATTTACGCATCTTTCCTGGAGAAGAAACAGGCTGCATACACACCATACACTGAAAGCACTTGGGATGTCCCACAGAATCCTGGTGATAAAAGAATTAGCGACCCAGGGTGTTTATTTTTTATTTTAATCATGTTTCAATGCTTCAATTTTAATTGCACTTAACATTCAGATAGAATGTTTTAGGCTTGGGTTTTGTGTGTTCTGTATTTGTGACAATGTCCCTCCTTACAGCTGTATTCCATCTCCTTATCCAACCCTAATGGTGGTACAAATGGCAGAATGTTTTGCTAAGTCTATGGTGAGTTAGCAACAATAGTGTTAATTAGCTATCCTTGAAGCTCTCTGAGATCCAGGAAGAGGAGTGGGTGAGGATTTTAATGGTGCTCTTCTCTCCGCATGGAAGGCTTGGCTACCAGGTACAAACGTGTGACATCCGAGACCTAGAATGGTCAAATGGCCTGGGCACATTGGGCTGCATTGTGGGTGACGATACCTGTATGGCTTAGCCATGCATGTTTTACTGCTCATGACCTGTAACCTTTCCTGATGTATGTTTAAGAATGTTTTATGACTCTTTTGTGTGCTGGGTTTGAACTACTATATAAACTTTTATTCTGATGTGTCTCGGGGCAGACTTTCTTAACTGGCACATTGAGCGAGCTCTGGCCTATTGCAATAGCTGCAATAAATGCTGGGTGCTGGACTCAAGAATTAGTTTCCTTGGTTCTGTGATTTATTCAAAAGGCGGTTGTTCCTCACCTGGGTAACAAACAAGGTGGTGTTACTACACTGGGAATTAGGTTGTTAAGGGTGCTGGGAATTGTAGCTCCGAGTGTACCACAGTTCCCATAATTACTGTGAGTATGCTTTGTATGTATGGTGTGCACACGTGATCTTTTCTTTCCCTGCCTTCCTTCTTTGGTAGATTCCCCACCCTTAACTTCTCTGCCTCCAAATTGTATAGCTTCAATTTGTAGCTTGCTGTTATTCGCTTCAGGGCCTGAGGAGGTTGCAAAGGAGGGAGAACTGGGCTGGATGTAACTTCTCCCTCACTCCATCCCTACAATGGGAAAAGCTCCCCTTGCTGAATTTCGCCCTTCATTGCAATTATTGGAAGGTACCAAGTGCCTGGCTGCACCCTGAGTTTGAGGGTAGGAAATCTAAATGCCCGACCTTAGTCTTAGGTGAAGAGGCTCAGATATGTCTATTAAACCCTTCTGTATAACTGCCTTGGGCAAGTATCTGTGCTATTACGACTTCTTTAAAGCCCATAATTTTTTTATTACTTCAGGGTGTATTCGTCAACCTTCTTGTTAATGGTTCGTAGTTTCATAACACTTGTGAGAGTTCGCACTTGGCAGGCTGCTAAATTTGTAAACAGTTGAGTGAAAAAGGCAACTGTTTAGGCTTGCACAGGATCACAGCTAACAGCATTAAAAGATATACAGTGGAACCTTGGTTCTCGAACTTAATCCATTCTGGGAGTCCTTTGGACTCCTGAAACCATTTGAAAACCAAGGTGCGGCTTCCAATTGGCTGCAGGAGCTTCCTGCACTCAAGTGGAAGTTGTGTCGGACGTTCAGCTTCCGAAAAATGTTTGCAAACCAGAACACTTACCGGTACTTCCGGGTTTGCAGTGTTCAGGAGCCGATTTGTTCGACAACTAAGCCGTTCGAGAACCAAGGTACCACTTTATAAACGATTCATGTGAATGAAATATGTTGTATCCCAGGATGTCTTGGGATCAGACACATAAAGGAGACTGCAGCTCAGTGGCAGAACACCTGCTTTGCTTGCAGAAAGTCCCAAGTTCAGTCCCCGGCTCTTCCAGGAGGGCTGGGAGATACTCTGACTTTGGTGTGACCTTGAGATCCCTTCCAACTCTACGGTGCCTACGACTCCCTGCCTGAAATCATGGAAATTCTCTGCCAGTCGGCGTAGGGCAATGCCGAGCTAGATGGACCAGTGTTCTGACTCTGCGTATAGCAGCCTCCTCCTATATGTTCAGTCCTGGTTGGCCCTGGTGAAGCCTAGAGTTTTAGGTTCAGATCGTCTCTCCTCCCACAGAACCCAGGAGTTCTGTCTTTTTAACTCTTGCCCTTGATTTCCACCCACAGAATTCAGAAGCCAGCATCCTAACCCTCTCAAACTCGGTAGAAAATAAGAAGCGTGTGGCTGGATCAGGCCAAAGGCCCATTTAGTCCAGCACCCCACAAGGGCCACCGACCCCATGTAGCGATTGCCTTTGCGCTGAATACCCCCCTCCCAGATATGAGGGAGTCAGGGGTGAGGATCGTGGCCACTACATATAATGGCTGGCTACTCAACCAAGGCAAAATGTACGAGTCCCTAGTGACCACCCTAATCACTCATGTGAGGAAACAAGTCACACTCGGCTCAGACGGACTTGCAATTAAGCATACTTCGGATGAGTCTGCAAATCTTGATGCATGATCCTCCGCCTTAACCGCCCCATGACATCTCTTTTCTCCCACACCACACTGGATTTCTCTGTCTTTTCAAAGATGCAGAGGATCCTCTTCTTCCCGCCACCCCCCTTTCAAATGAACTTTGTGTGTAGTGACAGTCACAAGGCTTGACTCTGCTCTTTCATCAGCACCATTGAGTCAGCAAAACCCAGGGTTGTAAAGTGTCAAGAAGGCTGGATAAATGGGGAAATTAACAAGGCCTACGTGAGGCACAGCCCTGACGGGATCATGTTTCCACTCAGCCGATAAAACTGGCTCAAACTGGATTAGCTGGCGTCAACATGCCCATGGCAAACCGCACTCTCCACCTCGATCTGTGCCCCTCATTACAAACTCAGGTATCAACCTGTTTCTCATCAGCAGACCAGCAGCCTAGTCTTTATTTTCAAATTCTAGGTTGCTGTGAGGAGACTGCAGAAGCAGAGGTCAAGGAATACCGGGGCCTTGTTTCTCTCTCTCTTTTTCTAATGCTTTTTCCAAACTGATAAGTCAGCAAAGCCTGTAACGGAGGCCCTGAGGCATGAAAGTTATTAATTGCTAATTAAAAGCCACTAACGGCACCCACGGCTTGCTGAGTTGGGCCTTTTCTGTCTTGTGGCCAGGACTATATCACCTTAATTGGACTCATTAACAGATGACATCTTTGGGGTTACAACCCGTAATCTCTCAGAATAAATGTTATTTTGCTGAGCATGGCAGGAAAAAAACCAACCCCAATGCTAGCTATAGTTCATATGGAGGAAGGTGCTTGGCATTTCAGGAGGCTGACGAAGGTGTTAATCTGTGCTCTGCAAGTGGATTTGCTGACAGGGCAATCTGTAGCTCGGAGAGTGTTGGACTACGACTTGGAGGGGACCAGGGTTCGAATCCCCACTCAGCCATGAAACTCACTGGATGAGCTTGGGCCCGTCACCATCTCTTAACCTAACTTACCCCTCATAGGGTCATTGTGAGGATGAAATGGGGAGGAGAAGAACCATGTTCACCACCTTGAGATCAGGGGAAGATAAAGTGGTACCTCGGGTTACAGACGTTTCAGGTTACACACTCCGCTAACCCAGAAATAGTACCTCAGGTTAAGAACTTTGCTTCAGGATGAGAACAGAAATTACATGCCGGCGGCGCAACAGCAGTGGGAGGCCCCATTAGCTAAAGTTGTACCTCAGGTTAAGAACAGTTTCAGTTTAGAACGGACCTCCAGAACGAATTAAGTTCTTAACCCAAGTTACCACTGTATAGAAATGTAATAAATGAATGAATGAAAATCCTTTCCTTCTGCAGGACACTTGAAACGTTCCCCTTAACACCTGTGTGCATGTGTGACAGATAGCTGTCAGCCCACTCATGACAGTATATATATAGAACCCCAGTCAAAAAGCCAGACCCCTTTTACCCAGCCTCCATGTACTGTCAGGAAGACCCCTTGCCACAAGCAACAACAGCCTCTTCCTCGCAGGTATCTCAACAAATTATCTTCGGAAATCCTGATCCGGAGCTTCTGTTTAATGTTCTGTCATGTTTAAATTACATTAATATATGTTAAGCTACCGATCACAGCCTGCCATCTGAGAACTTGTCAAGTTACAGTACTACAGTTAAGCAGGTTGAATTTGCCTACCGGGTTGAATTGCCCTGTAGTCACAACCAGCTACCTCAGATTCATGGGTTAGGAGAAAGAGCTCTATGGAGAGAGGATGCTTGATGTCCAGGCAGGACTGAGTCCTTAGTGCCTGAGCATTGCCAAAGGGCTCGTTGGCACACCTGAGTTTTCCAGCTTGAACCTTACAACTGCCCTGTGAGCTAGGCTAGGCTGAGGGACAACAAGGGACCCAGTATCCTCATGGCTGAATAGACATTTGAGGTTCTACTGCCACAATAAGAGTCCAGTACTCTAAACCAGGGATCAGCAAACTTTTTTAGCAGGGGGCCGGTCCACTGTCCCTCAGACCTTGTGGAGGGCCGGACTATATTTTGGAAAAAAATATGAACAAATTCCTATGCCCCAAAAATAACCCAGAGGTGTATTTTAAATAAAAGCACACATTCTACTCATGTAAAAACACGCTGATTCCTGGACCACCCGCGGGCCGGATTTAGAAGGTGATTGGGCTGGATCTGGCCCCCGGGCCTTAGTTTGCCTACCCATGCTCTAAACTGTACACTATATTGCAGAGAGAGAGAGAGAGAGAGAGAGAGAGAGAGAGAGAGAGAGAGAGAATAAAAGTTTCCTTTTTTTACTTTCTGATTATTTTGGTCAGGGAAAAACCCTCCCAAACAAATTAAATTCCTTCCCAAACCATAGGAGCCAAGCACAATTTATGATAGTAGCAATGGTGTTTCGCAGGCTCTTTTCTCACTTCTAGTTGAAACAGGTTCCAGTTTAGCATTGCGTTCTGCAAGAGAAGAGCAAGAACTGAGTCATTCTGGTGTCAGCTCACTCACAAAGATATTATATCAGCAGTAGTAGCCAAGTGTTCTCTAAATGTTATTTTGTAAACTTTGCAAACTGATGTTTAAAGTATCTCCCAAGCGACTGGGCGGAGGGGGGGGGGAGACTCGTCTCTTCCCATCGAAGAAGTACCCCCAATCTCAGGGTATTGTGACTATGTTGTCACTTTAACCTTGTTTATTTATATTTAATTTTATTTCATAAAATCTATATACCACTTGACTGTTTAAAACAACAACCACCTCAAAGAGACCTGCGGTTATAGGGCTGTATACAAATTTAAAATATATGTACAAATAAAAAAGACAATTGAAATATCCTTTAAAAAGTTAAAAGCAACTATTTAAAAGATTGATTAAATAATAATAATAATTATTGAAATCAACTATAAGCTAAAAACAGATTAAAACACTTGTCAATGATCTACCTATCCAAAGTGTGTTTACTGAATTCAGGCACCACACAGTATTGAACTGGTTTATCAAGTAAGGGTTTATACAACTTTCTGGCATGACTCTTAATGCAGGCCAGCAGCAGGGTCCACTCTTGTCCAATGCCAATTTGCCATTAATAGGCGGGCACACAGTTAATTCACATGAACATAATGCTGGCCATAAACCACAGTCACATTGGTTGCTCTGCCCACTTCGGCCTCTGACCCTGCCCGTCACTGGCAAGTGGCCCCCAGAAGCTTGCCCAGAAAGGAATGTGGCCCTTATGTCTCCCATCCTTGGTTTACACTGAACGTCCTGGTCTGGGCTGTTAGTCTCCCCACCACTTCTGCTGTGAGTTAACAAACCACAACCCCTGACTTCGCATTATGGCTGAATCAGGAACTGTGGCATTTCAAGCCTTAAAACAGCAACGACTCACACAGGGCTCTGTCCAATGCTAGTCAGATTCAGAGTAGGCCCATTGAAATTAATGGGCATGACTTATGGAGGCCTGTTAAGTTCAATGAGTTTATAGCTCACCCCAAAGTTTGTTCTTTGCTTATTGTTTGTGTTATGCTATGGCAAAATAAACCACAATCCCTACTTTGGACATAATGGTATGTCAGGGATCGTGGCTTAACTATGGTTTACTTAACAATGATTTAACCTGGTTTTCTGTGATGTGTGATGAAGCCCTCTGTTACTTGCATAATTTACTTTTTTGCTTCTAGGATCAAAGTATGTATGAAGACCTACAGACTAATCATGGAATAACTTATGTCGTGGTAGCCATTCAGCTTCTGATGTTTTCCTCAAGTACTTCTCTCATAGTCTTGTCAAACCTATACTGTATTCAGTCTTAAGAACTAAAAACTTGCCCTTTTGATGAATGAAATTGTCCAAGGTTCTGAACCTCGTGTTTGTGTGCTCAGTTTGCCTTCAGAGATGCAAACTGCCCATGGAACAATTTTGAAACAAGTAAACCTATTAGAAAAGATCTGAAGCATCTGAAAGGTAGGCTGGGATTGGCCTGGGTTTGACAACTGTGGCATGCCTACGCCCTGCTAAAACCTACAAGTAATAATGCTTTTTAAGTTAGCCCAAGAGGCACCACAGCAGCAATTCAACAGAACAAGTAAACCCCAAAGAGAAATGTGATTCAGAGCCAGCTTAAAAATAGCTTCACTTAATAGACATGAAGGACACTGTTTTCTTTTGTTCATATACAGTGGTACCTCGGGTTAAGAACTTAATTCATTCTGGAGGTCCGTTCTTAACCTGAAACTGTTCTTAACCTGAGGTACCACTTTAGCTAATGGGGCCTCCCGCTGCCGCCGTGCGATTTCTGTTCTCATCCTGAAGCAAAGTTCTTAACTCAAGGTACTACTTCAGGGTTTGTGGAGTCTGTAACCTGAAGCGTCTGTATCCTGAAGCACCTGTAATTCGAGGTACCACTGTACTTGTACCAAGTCACACCATTGGTGCATCTGGGCCGATATTGTCTACCATGGCTGGCAGCTCTCTAGCACTAGATGCTCCAGAATCTCAAGCAAGAACCTGTGGCCTCCAGGTGTTGTTCAACTACATCTCCCATCATCCCTGGCTGTTGGTCTTGCTGGCTGTGTCAGATGGGAGTTGCAGTCAAAAACATCCAATGGGCCAAAGGTTCCCTATCCCTGCCGTAATGTCTAACTGGAGACAGTGAGAATTTTGAACCTGGAATAATATACCATTGACTGCTATTGACTTCTGATGTCTTCTTCTGAGAACAGAAGAGTCCTTCCACTCCTTGACTATAACTCCAAATAATGCCCCCGCCCTATAGATTCCTGCCCATATATGTCACTTACCCAGCCTCCCAGCTGCTGGATCCAGGCAGCCAGTTGGTTCCTTAGGAAGGCCAATCCACCAGTGTGGCAAACCAACTGGAACTGGAATAGAGTTGAGGAAATAAAGAAATGCTGCCACTCATTCAGTAGAGAGAAGCCAGACTTAACAGTAGTATAATACCTTTTTTGTTGTTGGCATCTATCTGTCTCGAGAGACTATGGTGTGTGCCTCCAGGGGTGAAGTCAAATCTCTGCACTAGCAGCAGTGACCTCCCTGGGGCGCAAGCCTGGGTGGTATGTATGGAGGTCCAATGACAAGACCCCCCTCTTGGACTCGCTGATGTGGCCCCAAAGGAAAGCAGAGCAATATGTTTGGCACCAGCTTGGCCGCAGGAGTTGCCAGAAGGAGGCATACAAGGCACCATCTAACCATCTTAGGGACTCCACTCCAGATTTGTGTAGGGTTTACTCCTTAGCTTTTTCTTCTCCCAAAGATGTCCCACAAGGCAGCAGAAGTTTAGGACTGGAGTGTTCCTTCTTCTAGATGGGCTGCCTTCCCAGATCGACAAGCCCCATCTGCCCCTCACTTACCTTCACAGCACGGGCAGAAGCCATCTTCTTGACCATTGGAACTCACTATTGGTCTTGTCTGCTCAACCCGCTGAAGCCAGTCTTTTCATGAAGGGGAAGTCTCTAACTCACTGAGGGTTTGAAACCAATTGGCTACCCTCACCTCATTTAGCTGGTCAGCCAAAGCCGTTCCCAGGGTGTGGCCACTGACCCATGCTGACAGCTTCTAGGAGCCACAGGTGAGAGCTGAGTGCAGAGTGGGGACAAAAGGTGAACAAAGTACCCCAGAAGCAGCATGATATGTCCCTCACCAGAGGTACTATAACTCTCTTAACACTGCATACCTTTATGAGTAACAAAAAATGCAGAGTAATGAGTAACCTTTAGAGTTCACCAGAACTCTTCTTCAGGCAAGATCTTCATTCTTCCCGCCAAAAATGGGTAAGGGCGTGAAGGAAAGAGAGAATAGGAGAGAGAGAGAGAATAAAAGTTGGCAGCTTGTGACAGTCTTAAGGACATCACCCTAGATTCCCTCACTAGGGAGTAAGCGCCATTGAATTTAGTGGGACTTAATTCAGAGTAAGCATCATTAGGTGTGTGCTGGAGGAAGTGGTTTGCCAGCCTGAGTTCAGTGGGACTAACTCCAAAATGAATGAGAACAGGATTCCATATGGTATTTGGTAAATCCTAGTGTTCAATGGAGTTTACTCCCAGGTAAGTAAGCACAGGAGTGCAGTCTGTGTTTTCCTCACAACAACCCTGTGAGGTAGGCAAGACCGAAAGAGTGACTGTCCCAAGTTGCCCCCAAGGGACTATTATGGCTGACAGATAGGGATGCAGCTGTTGGCACGTTCCTTGGTCAAAATGGACCTAAAATGTGTCCTCCGCGTTGTTAATTTGCCTCTAGAAATTGTTAGGTTACTGGAATGAGAAGGCACAGCCGTGTTGCAAAAGCCACCTGATAATCCGGCCGACTTTTAAGCACCCACCCCCAGCCTCTTCAGGGATGGCACTGCAGAGACCCCTACTTTGAAGATCCTTCCTTTGCCTCCCTGGGCGATGACTCTGTACACAAAGTAGAAGACGACAACGATCCAGCCCCAGTTGATCCCCATAGCAAACAGGTGCTGATACACCTCAGCCAGGAGTTTCAGTGGGCTGTGACCTGCTACGCGGTCTGTCATGCTGAAAGGAGTGTGGAGTCAACAAGCTTAGTGAGGGGCCCAAGATTGAGGTGGGGGAAACCTCAGGCCCAGGGTCCAAATGTGGCCCTCCAGGACTTTCTGTCCGGCCCTAGGTACTCTCCCCAGGCCATGCCTGCTCCCCTTCGCATCCTACTTTACCTGGGTGGAAAGTGTCCTTGAACTGCAACCATGCCTCTTGCTTGCCTGAGTGGAAAGAGATGCATATAGAAGCCTCTGATTTTTGCATGCACTGGGCTGCTGCCTTCCTTAAAGCAGTAAGACTATCATCTGTTGCCCCACCCAGTACTGGCCCTCCACCCCAAGAAGGCTGTGCACAAGGAACTGAGGCTGTTGGGGTGAAAAGGTTTAGCAGAAACTGGTAGAGCTTAGGATTCGTGTGTGCATGTGTATCCCCCTGTCTGTCCCCTTTTGCCACTAATAGCCTCAATATTGGTTTAAAATCAAAACACAACCTCGAAACAAAGCAATACTGTAAAGGTAAATGCAGCAAAGTCAGTAGCTATATATATAAAGCCAATAAAATAAAAGGGCTCAACATATCCCTCAGAGCAGAAGAGAGTGTCCTTTCCCTAGCGGCCACCTGCTATGAGAGGGAAGGAAGGAGACCCCTGGTGGTCAGGCTGCAGTCTTGCATGGTCCATTTTTTAATACCATATTGGCTCGAATATAAGCCACACCCCCACACCCCCCATTCTGATTGTGAAAAGTTAAAAGTGCAGCTTATATTTGTGACCTTACAAAAATTGGCTTGGAGCGGGCTTATCCCCGGATGTTGCCTGGTTTCACCTGGGCTGGCTCCCAAGATGGTGGCACGGCGAAGGGGCCCCTGAGAGGGAGCCAGAAGGTGGCAAGGAAGGGAGGAGCGTGGGCAAGAGAGCAAGAAGGTATTCTAGGAGGAGGAGGAGATGCAGCCGGTGTGCTGGGACTAGCACTACCCCGAGGTGCTGCCTGGCTTTAGCCTGCCAAGGGGCGTGTGAGTCCCACCAGCCGCCGCCTCTTATCCCATTGGGGGGCCATGGTGGTGCTGACCCTCTGGAAGCACTGCTGCCAGAGTGAAGGCGCTGCCTCCTTGGCCCCCGCTCCTCCTCAGGTATTGTCTTTTTTTCTTTCCCCTTTAATTTTACAGGTATGGCTTATATTCAGGTGCGGCTTATATTTGGGCCAATACGGTAATATCTCTGTAGTCCTCAAACCAAACTTGGGTTTTCCATTTACCAAGCAAGCATGCACACTCATCATCTAACACAGATCAAGCATAACTAATCTGGGTTAAGTGAAACTGAGTACAGTGGTACCTCGGGTTACATATGCTTCAGGTTACAGACTCCGCTAACCCAGAAATATTACCTCAGGTTAAGAACTTTGCTTCAGGATGAGAACAGAAATCGTGCTCCGGCAGCGCAGAGGCCCCATTAGCTAAAGTGGTACCTCAGGTTAAGAACAGTTTCAGGTTAAGAACGGACCTCCGTAACGAATTAAGTACTTAACCCGAGGTACCACTGTATTATGTATTCTTTATGTAAGAACACATGCAAGGGTTTGCTACATCAGATCAAGGCCCAGCAGCCTTTGGAAATAATCCCAGAAATCAGCAGGGACCTTGGTGGTCCATCTTATATTAGTCAGTTGGCAGGTACTCATACAGTTTGCTTGTCATTTCTTCCCTAAGACCCTTCCCCCCCCTTTATGAATAACTCCCAAGACTTGCAATTTAATTTTAAAAAATCTTTTAATTCATTGCCACACACCAACAAAAAACTGTAACTTCACAGTTAACAGATCAGAAAAGATGTATCAAACTTTTTTTCCTTTAAAAAAAATATAAAATGGGTAATTTGATTTATTTTAAAAAAGTACAGAAACTATTGCGTTCGGTAAGGGGTCAATTGCATAGAAAGAGACATGTGAATCAACTTCAACTGTTAAGACAGCTGCCGCCACCCTTCAAGTTACAGTACAAGGCTGGCTTCATGGCAGCCAGATGAGATTGCTGTTGGCTGTACCCTCCATTGGGGCCTATTACCCTCTGCTATGCTCCAGGGCTGTGGATCTCTTGCAGTGTATGCCAAAACACAGAAATACGCACTGTTAAATGTTTATTTCCCAATGAAATAACACGGCACTCTGCAGAGACACAGAGGGGGCAAACCTGCTGACAAATTCTGAGGCCTCGCTAAGGGACTTGTGTCTCCCCTGTCTCAACGACATTATCACTTCACCCCCCTCACTCCCTCCTGAAACAAAAGCAGCCATTGCTGAAGGCCTCAGGTCAGCCTGAAGCAGATTTTGTGAGAGTAGGAGAAGGCTGACCCACTGCTGCTTGCTGGCTTTGATGCTTTAAGGAGGATGCTCAGCAGGAGAGATTGATTTATGCCACATTTGCAACATACATTTAAAGCAAAGCTATGCCACTTTTAACACACATGGCTTTCCCTAAAGAATCCTAGGAACTGTAGGTAGTTAAAAGCACCGAGAGATGTTTGGAGATGTGTTTTCCCCCCCACAGAGCTGCAATTCCCAGAGTTCCCTGGGATAGATTGTTAAACCACTCTGAGAGGGGAATAGGTTTCCTAGCAACTCTTTAACTCTCAGCACTCTTAACAAACTACAGCTCCCAGGATTCTCTGGAGGAAGCCATGGCTGTTCTAACATGATTTAAGAGAGCTTGAAATGCATAGTGTGGGCCTGGTCCCTTGGCGCGAGTGCATGCCTCCATATTGGAGACAGCCAGTCCAGCAGGACCATTTGTGTGTTCAGCTCCACCACCACCATGAGATTAGCTGGCAAATGTGGACACCCAGAGCACCTCTCAGCAGTTGTTTGCCACAGCCCCTTTGGCACTTGCCCAAACAGATGAGCAGCAAGTCCACTGGGCATCAAGAGAACAGCTGAAGATGCTGGTAGAAAAAGAGATTAGTCACAAAAAGAAGAAGAAAATAAAGAATGATGCTGGGTGGGGCTTCGGGAACAGAAATACAGGGCAAGACACATACCCAAGAAGGGGGCAAACCCAGGGTCACACACATATACAGGTCTTGGCATATTTGTAATGCAACCCACAATTAACAATCAAGGCTGCAGAGTAGCTGACACAAAACCCATCCAGACATGAACTGCCCCTCAGGTGGTGATGTTTAAACCCAGGAGTTAAACCCTCCAACGTTTTCTTGCACCACTAACCACGCTTCCTTAATACCCCAGAAGCCCTTAGAAGAGAAACAGAGAAAAAACACACCCCACATATTGAGATTATCAAAGCACTGAAAACCCATTATTTCAGAATCCTCCCCTCCCCAACCTCCCAGTTCAATTCATTTCCACTTCCAGACTCTACAACCCCCATCAAAGTCATGACATCAAAGACTCCAAATATAAGACTTCAGATGCCCATCATCCCAATCCCAACAGCAATATGCATTTTCCTATTTGTCCCCCCACCCCACCCCAATGGGGAAAAACTCAAGCCCCTCCCTTAATGACGTTACACTCCCGCAAACCCAACCCCTGAGGTAACAAAATCCCCCCTCCCAATATAATTATTCAAGTACATTTGGTTCTCCCTGACCCACCTCTCCCACACCACTATGGGATATTTCATGCTCCAAATCTTAAACTTCCCCCTCCTCGTTTCCCCACCAGCTTCACGATGCAACATAGGGCTGAACCGATTTGCCCAACGGCTGTAAAGGAAGATTATTGGGGGCTTCTAGGTGTCATATCCTGCCCCGATTGTATGTGCTGTCAGATATGTGTACAGCTGGGGGTGGGGGAAGGGGTGTATTGGCTGCACCATCACTTTCTGCAGGAGGCACTGCGCGAGTTGCGGGGAACGAGTGACCTTGCAGATGTTGTTGCCTTCCTGTCATCAGCCCCAGCCAGTCTTGGCCAATGGCGGACGATGATGGGAACTGCAGCCAACAACACCTGGAGGGTTACAGGCTTGCCACCGACACGGCACAGGCCTTGGCAACCACATGAGCCTTTTGCCTCTGCTTATGGAATCACCCAGCCTTCCCTTGTGCCTCACCAGCACACCCTGTTGGCTGAGCGGGATGGGAGCGGTAGCTCAGAACATCTGGAAGGCAGCAATTCAGATACCCAAATGCCGTTCTCTGTTGGACCCTTCTTTGCTGTATGCCATCACCCTCCTCTTCCCAAGATGGCCTCTGAGAAGCATCTGCTGCTGGAATCGGGGACAGAAGCTTCTTTGCCAGATTTGACAGTCTCAAGCGGTATTATCCAGTCCCTCAGCAAAGTTTAACAGTTGAGAAGGCCAAACTGCTCCAGCCACTTACTTGTGCTTTAATTTGAGCCCCTGTGCTTCCTTGAAGCGGGCACATGCACCCAGCTCTCTCCTGGCATCCACGCAGCAGGAGAGATGGCTTGGTGACTGAAAGGTTGCCTAACTCAGAAGAGGACTACAGGAAGTGGATTTTGCCGGTTACGGAGCAAAGCAGGCCCCCAAACCACCCAATATATACCTCAACAGTTCCAGCAGCACAGCTCTCTGCCACCCTTCACCCCCTTGTGCCAGACAGCCCTGCACCTGTCTCCATCTGCCATGAACAACTTTCTCCGAAACATCAGGGAAGATGCTGACTGGTAATAAGTATTTTTGAGAACCCATTACAATGAGCAACTGATGAACTGGAGGAAAGGGGAACAAAGAGGCAGACAGCACCCAAGACTGCTAGGCAAAGACAAAAGCTCTGCCCCCTTACAGTAAGTAGTTAAGTTTCCAAGCACCTGTTGGCAAGAAAGTAAACGCCACGTGTTTCAAGGTGCGCTGCAAGAACGGTAGCACAAGTTTCGGGGTGTTATGTGCTCATCTGTTGATATGCAGTCACAATACCTTATCATTGTGCATGTGGGGGAAAGGAGAGAAGGAAGAGAAGCCACACTGAGCCAAATGCCCCCATCACAGGTAGGATTAAGATATTCCACACTGGCACATGGAGTAGGAAGATTTGCCAGAACAGTTTGGTGCTTTTCTTTTTCTTTTCTTTTTGCCTAATAAACCCCTGGAGGACAATTAATCCATTAAAATACAGAACGGAGAAGAGATGAGCAGCGAGATGAGAAAACTCTGTGAGATAGACAGAAACCCAACCTGCAAACCCTCCTCACTTCTTCTGCTTTCTAAGCCACCAAGGCTCTCGCCAGCCTCTGAAAGCTTTTTCCGTGGGACAGAACAAAGCAGGTGAATTTCCTTCTTGCAATGTCTTCTGTTCCACTTGGAGAGCAATTGCTTTCTAAAAGCACTTCTCTTGCTTTCTTGACTTGGGGCATATTATGCATGAGTGCCTCTCTTTAGCACCACCTAGAGTTTTTCTCTAGAAAAACAGATGATCTGGTAGAAAGAAACAAGGCTCTGGAATTCCTACTGTTTTAACAGGTATGGAAGTTTCCTCAAAACAAGGACAGGCAAACAGAAAAACGAAGACCCAACACACAAATCGGTTGCTGCAGAGTCTCTGCCTAAATTCACTTCCTCGGCAGTGCTGATTCTTAGCCGGGTCAGGAAGTTGCCTTGAAATCCTGAAATCCAAACCACTATCATCTGCTCAGACAATTTCTCAAGTTCTGTAGGGAAAGAATTCACTTCTCTCCTCTTGAGGATTTCTCAATCTGCATTTCTAGAGAGTGGTCTCACTTCAGTTTGAGAGATGCCACCTGAGAGAGTCATCCTCTTCTTCGAAAACTGAACAGGAATTCAGCAGCGTCGACAGACCCTCCAGCAAACAAGAATAGCCACTCAAATCCTTCATTTCATAGTCCAGACACACTCCATGTCCTCTGACCCTAAGAGGCACAGATAGGCAAGAAGCAAAGCCAAATAGTACACATTCCTTGGGTGAAAAAAGGGTGTGCACTTAAAAAAAGAAAAAAAGGCACCAAGATAATGACAGCATTTGTTTTAAAAGCTCCCCTGCCCATAACAGGAGGGGGAAAATCCTAGCCAATTTTCATTCTTTGATTAGAAAAAAAGAGGGGAAAGTGACTCCCCTGCTTTGTCATCACAATGAAAAGGCCCCCCTTTGGTGGGGGGGCTGAGGATTAAGACATTTTCCAGAAGGTCAGCGAGGCAGTCAAGACACCTGCGGCAAATACAGCGATGGTCTGCCAAGTGGGGGTGCCAAAGTAGGACAGGAGGCCTTCCTAGAAGGGAAAGAAAAAAGGATGGCAGTAGTGAGAAAACACATGCAGAGACATGGCACAGTCAGAGGCAGTAAAGTCCCACTAATGGCAACTGCACCACTGACTGGTCCAGCAGGACACTCTTAACAAGTTCTTAAACTGTAATGCTCTGTGTTGGGAGAAAAGCCCTGTGTTGGTATTTGGATCTGCTCCAATCACATGCAGAAAGGGGCAGAAGAGGGGTACAGTTTTAAACAGCAAAGGGGGGGGGGTGCCAGCAGACTGTGTTAAACCTTCTCTCCACTCACAAGTTACTGCCCTGCAGCCTCTGCTCCTTCAACACCACCCCCACTGGCCCAACCAGGTACTCTTCTCTCCAGCTAACCTGGAGGAACAGAGATCAGTCAAAAGGGGAAAAAAGTATTGACTGGGGTGGGGGGAAGGGCTGCAGAAGGTAAAATCTAGGAGCAAGAATTGCTTGGTTCCTATCACTAAAAAGACATCAACAAAAGACAACATATATTCAGATTTCCATAATATGTAAGCTTTTTAAGGTATGATAAACTAATCAGCGAGAAAGGCAGCTGAAGTTGTTACTTGATACCCATACTCACTAAACGGGCTACTCAAATCATGCTGACTACCCAACAGCCTTGCAAGGCTTCCCTCACTGTTCACTTTTAAGATGTAATAATAATAATAAGAAACAGCAGCAGCAGCAGCAGCAGCACCCTACAAAATTAGGCTGCTGTAAATGAGGAAGCACTGTGGAAAACCAGGAGTGGATTTACTTGTTAAAGGATCTGTGTGTTCACTTTTGGTACTGAAAACACAATTCCTGTGCTGAGCTTCATGTACACAGAGACACACTGTTCCTTCATTCCAAGTGTTTTCCACCTGACTGGTATGGTTCTCGTGGAAAAAAAACACCAAAACCCAAGCAGATTCTATCAGCCTGAAGTCTGCCCACTCCTAGCCTAAGACTTTCTATGCCCAAAAGCATCACTGTATACTCACCCATCCTCCCTGGGCTTGAATCCAGGACAGGACATGATTCTGGATATATTCCATGGTCCAGCTGATGATCGTCCTTATGAGCTCTGGTAATTTAGTGCAAATTGCCTGCCCAAGGGTGAGGAAAGGGGAAAAGAGGGAAGAGCAGCCTGTTATTAGATGCAGTGAAGGAGTGGCCAGACCAGCCAGGGTGGGGCTGGGAACATGACACACCCACCTTGAGGACCAGCTTGCAAGCGAAGTAAAAAAGAGCCACCACACGGCCCCAGTTGAAGGTTCCGTCCGAGAACATCTCTGCAGCCACTCGGAAAAAAACTTCCTTGGGAGGATACATCTGAACTTGCTCTATCATTCTGCAGGGGACACAGGAAAAGGAGTAGCTCAGGTTAGGCATGCTTCCAGCTGCAGAGAAGATGCTGGCAACACTGAGGTTTCCTCCCACACAAACCACAAAGAGCTTGGGCTCAGTGCAGACTCGGAAAAAGAGACATCTAGCACTGAGCTGAGGTTTCTGTAAAAAGCTAATGCCATTTAATAAGTTCGGCACACATGCATCTGACAAGGCAGAGAGTCAACCACAGAGAAGAGATCAGAAAGTCGCCCAGCCAAATTTTGCCCTCTAGACTCCAACCCCATCCGGATCAGCAGCAGTCGAGGAGTTGTAAGTTCAGCGACATCAGAAAGACAACCAGTTTCCCCATCCCTACTCCAAAGCAAGATGGCCCACAGTGGGCACCAGGCTTCCTTTGCATGAAATCCCAATGAGAGCATCTTAGAACCCGGGTGTAAATGTGCACTCCGAAAAGGGCACCGGCAAAATTTGAGGATGCCAGAAAAGAAATGCAACCATACCCAGATGCCTAGCCTATGTTATGGGAAGCAAGGGAGCAAAAAAACAAAAACAAAACCCCAACACATTTATTTACAGGTGGAATATGAAACAAAAGCCACCCACAAAGTTCCCCAAAGGGGCAGAAGCACATTCTAATCAGCATCCTGTCTGAGTGTTTGATGTCCATGAAAAAGGAGTGGAAACACTTCTATTTTACTTGGTCTTGTCTGTCCTCGGAAGCCCCATGCAGTGATGCAGTAAGTTCTCTCTCTAGGCCAGCCTCAAACATTTCATCACACACTAGGGCCACAGAGAAGCAGAAGCCAGGAATGGGTGATGCAGAAGGACAGGGGAAGAGGGAGGAGGTGTCAAAGATGAAAAACAAGCTAGTGTCTCAATAACCACTTGGTGAGGAGGAGAATTAGCCTAGCCTAGCTGGAATCACAGCAAAACCTGCCTTCTACCCCACTTTTGACACTGCGTCACCTGGAGAGGATCTTGCAGGTGTGCTCTCTCTCTGTGCTCAAAGCATGCGAACATACACAGCAAGAGGTTCTTGGAATAGAACCGCATTTCATCTATGCGTATTGAGCAGGGGAATCACTTCCAGCTGGCAAGCCAGAGTCCTTGTGGCCTCTGTGGGTTACATTGGACAGGTGGGTGGGGCCATCTAACCTGTCTAGCACCAGATCTCATATAACATTAGGTGGCTTTGACTCTTGGCTGAAGCAGCACAGCTTGCACTCAGCATCAGATTTAAACGCGGCCAAGTACAAGTCGTGCTGGAAGAGGAAATGGGGAACCTTCGCTGAATAAAAAGGAGTGGTATTTTGGGCAGATGTCCAAATTCATTTAGAATCCCCAGAGTGAACCAAACCCCGGTGGCGAGGTTTGCATTGGGTGCAAAACCTAAACAGCATCCCCACAGAGAGCTACAACTTCCCGAAGGTTTAGCAATCAATCCCTCTTACCAGAGAAATACAGTGATACCTCGGGTTACAAACATCTCGGGTTACAAACACTTCAGGTTACAGATTCCGCTAACCCGGAAGTAGTACCTCGGGTTAAGAACTTTGCCCCAGGATGAGAACAGAAATTGTGCGCTGGCATCACGGCAGCAGTGGGAGGCCCCATTAGCTAAAGTGGTTAAGAATGATTTCAGGTTAAGAACGGACCTCCTGAATGAATTTAGTTCATAACCAGAGGTACCACTGTATGGGGATTTTAGGTCTTTCAGGGGAACGAGGTCTCCTAATAACTCTCAGCTCCCTTAACAAACTATACTTCCTAGGGCCCTTTGGGGGAAGCCATGCTTGGTTAAAGTGGTATAATAATAACTGTACACTGCAGAAGTGGACAAGGTGGCTGCAGCAGGTAGCTTTTTTTTTTGTCGTCACGACACCTTGTATGAGGTATGTCCTCTCCAGAGATGCTCACTGAGTGCATGCTTTAATCTCTTTGCTGTCCCAGGCAAATGTTTATTTTTTGTGATTCAAGTAACTTTTTACAGATGATGTTGTTTTAGTGCTCTTGTTGCTTTGTGTTGTTTTTTTAATCCTACCTGCGCTGTTTTAATCCTGCATCTTTCCAGGAGCTTATGGTGAAGGATAGTTAACAAGTTAAACTAAGAAAAAGCAAGTTCCTCTTCCGCATACACAGCACAGGGACGGGCATTTCCCCTTGCTATCAATAAAGAGGCACAGAATTGGTAGAGGACAGAAAGGCAATTGTGCTTCCGCTGGTTCTACTCCCATTTGCCAATAAACAATACCAGGAAGAAGGGCCTATTACCCTGGTTTCTCGCCCCCACGTGATAGTAAAACGCACCTCTGCAGCTCCATGTTCCCGTCCAGCTCGTCTCCAATTCGGCGCAGGCAATCGCTCAGCTGCTTGGTTTTCGGGTCACAAGCCTCAGACTCGGAGACCCCGAGCTCTGCCATTGTCGCATCAATACGTCCCGAGTCTCCACAGCACTGCACTCGGTCCCTGATAAAGCTGCCACAGGACGCAAGAGAGAGATCATAGGGAAGTCTTCAGCCAGAGAGAGCTAACCCCAATCCCACTGCTCACCAGAGGAAGCCCCAAGCACAAAAGTCAAGGCTTTATGTCCTCCTTCCCTAGAAAGCTCTGCTATAGTAAGGGAACCTGCGCCTCTTCAGATGTTGTTGAGATTATAACTTCCACAATCCCCAAACGTGCTACTGGGCTGATAAATGCTGGCAGTGTGAGAACACCGGGGTGGGGCACTGGTCCCCCACCACTGCAGTACATGTGAGCTTCCAGACATTTCCTGCAGATATGTTTCCGTTCTGAGCACTCACCCCTTGAGAAGAACAGTTCCCGTCTGAAGAATCTGATCTGATCTGGAGCCTGGAAGGAATAGAAGCATGATGTGAAAATAAGCAAGACAGCGGAGAGATGGTCCCTAGGTATAGAAGGGCAGCACCCTTGAACAACACCAATCTGAACCACATTTCCGCTTCCCACAGCAACCAATCAGATGCTCCCTCAAAGCCCACAAACAGGGCACAGGAGCAAGAGCCTTCCTTTATTATCCTTCTTTATTAAATCTGTACACCACCCTACATCTCAATTTCCCAGGGCAGTTCGCAACAGCAAAGTACAAAATACATAACAAAACAGAAACAAAGACAGAACAGTAACACCCCCTCCCACAAACACATTTTAAAAGCCATAGAATGTTAATCAGTCAAACTCCTGGTTGAAAAGTAACATTTTTGCCCGCTATCTAAAGATGTGTAATAGAGGTGCCAGGCAAGCCTCCCTGGGGAGAGCATTCCACCAATGGGGAGCCACCACAGAAAAGGCTACCTCTGGACCTCTCAGGAATCACATGAAGAAGGGCCTCAGAAGATTATCACATGGTCCGCTGGATGGGTTTATTCCTTGAGTGTAACGTCCCAGCAACTAGTACTCAGCAACATACTGCCTCTGGGCACATAGGTTCCATCATAATGAAAAGCTATGTATCCTCCATGTATTTGCTTTCTTGCGCTTTAAAGCCACAGCAGACATCATCACATCTTACGGCAGTGAAAGGTATAAGTTAATCATGCACTGTGTGAAGCTGTACTTTTTGTCTGAATGTTCTTTTTTCCAAAGCATTTTTTACTTTTCAGTTTAACGGGACAACTCCCTGGCCCCCTACTAGAGAAAACAAGAGCCCCAGATCCCACCTGTTCTCACACACTGGGACCACTCCCCACTTCTCCTGGAGATGGCAGCAGGAGACTCAGTGAAGCTCAGGAGAAGCTCACAAGACTTTCCTCTACTGCCCCAGGTAAACAAACCCATTTGCCTTTCGTTTCCCTGAGCAGACTCCCGTTTCTCATAAATGTGTTTTTTTATCGTTATGACTAATCATTTGCGTGACACTTCTTGTTTTTTACTGATCTGTCATTCATCTTTACAGTCGCTGACTCAGGTGACAGTTTTTGTTTCTCATTTAAAGCTTGAGACAAAAGCGTTGGGCCCAAGACTGAGAAGAGGTCTACATGTTACACCCATCACAAGAAGCTGGCTTGCAGCAACCTTCCAGAGTGATTTGGAAAAAGCACAGAGCAACTACAGGCTGATTTTTAAAATCTGGGTCCACATGGCAAGTATATTGTATAGACTGGCCTGTAGTCATTAGCTGAAATAGGATTTGAAGCCACCTCTTGAGCCACCACTTTATGTACAAGATTAGGATGCGGAAATCTGAGCTTCTCAGTCCCTTTCCTAAATGCGTTGTTTGTATTCTACAGCACATTTACACAGATAATCATTCCACGCTTCCTTCGCTATCCCACCACAGCTCCCCATAAGGCAGCCTAGGCAAACTCCCTGGGCTGAAACCAGACAATTTATCCACTCATCTGCCTGCAGAGAATCATAGAATTGTAGAGTTGGAAGGGACCCCAAGGATCATCTAGTCCAACCCCCTGCAATGCAGGAATTTGCAGCTGTCCCATAAGGGGATTGAACTGGCAACCTTGACATTATCAGCACCACGCTCTAACTAACCGAGCTCACACAGAGCAAAGAGTTGTTTGACTAAAATATAAGAAACCTCCTTTGCTACACTGAACAATTCCGCTACTCCTCCATAACGGTTAAGTCTGACACATTGTTCAATGTGCATCCCTGAACAAAACAAAGCCTGTTATATGCGAGAGCATTTTGCTCACATTCACTGCTTGCCTCAGCCACCCCCACATGGACCTAAATTTAGGCGGTAAAGTTCAAGGAGGCATCTACTTGCCTTTCATTATATAAATTTACACAGAAGCCCCATAATGCTAAGTTGTCCAGGCACCCCAGAAAACAAACAAAACGATTAAAAGGCAACACAAAACAATAAGAACATAGGTTTTAAAATCAAGAGGACCAGACACTAGCTGTTTGAAAGGCCTAGGTGAAAGGCAAAAAAGATGGTGGCAAATGCCGCACTTTGTTTGACCAGGGGCACTGGCTGGTGACAAGGACCACCAACTTGACATGCAGGGGCGTAGCGTGGGTTGTCAGCACCCGGGGCAAGGCAAGTAATTTGCGCCCCCTAACCCGTGGATTTGCGCCCCCTAACCCTAACCCCCAGATGTTGCGCCCGGCCCCCCCTGCACCCCCCACGCTACGCCACTGTTGACATGAATGACTCATTTATCAGGGATAACACAAGGAGTTAGATAAACTCTCACAGAGGACAGATCTGCCTACAACTGCGATAGCTAGGTGAAATACCAGCCGCAGGGGCGGGGGGTGGGTGGGAGACAATACAGAAGATCAGATCCCCTTGTCTTCAGACCCTAACTTTTGGGCTTCCCAGTAACAACCAGTTTGCCCACCGTTAGGCTGGAGCGCGGGGTGGGGGTAGGAAGAGAAACAGGTAAGCCTCCGCCACGTGCTTCTTGGCGAAAGGGCAGATTTAAAAAACAAAAACAAATCTGAAATAAAATCGCCCCCCCAAATAATTATATAAATAAATGGAGTACAGCTGCATGCCCTGGCATGCCCACGGACTTCACTCAATGGGTGGACCACTACCGGAAGCGGGATACTATAACACACACACACACACCCCGGACCCGCATGCCCCATGGTCAGTGCATAAATGAGCAAAACCCTCATTTAACTCCGTGGGGGTTTAAGTCTGAGCAGACATACAGAGGGATGGGCGCTGGGTGGGTTCTCTCTCTCTCTCTGATCCACCCAGATTCTCATGCTCTCCCACTAAAGAGGAGGCTTCCCGCCCCCGCCCCCAATTTGCAGTGCTTTGCCTCTCCCCATAACACCCTCCTCCCCATACCTCGGGCAGGTTCACCCCCTTTCCGCGGTGGGGGCTCCGGCGGCTGCTGCTCCTCTTTCCCAGGGCCCGCCGCCGCCATCTCTCCTCCTCCACAGCCACCCGGCTCTGCCCAACCCGCGGCCGGCAGCCTCCCTGCAGAAAATCACGTGACGTAGTATATTTAGGAGGGGCGGATAGATAGAGCAGCGAGCGCCGAGGGCGGGAGAGGCCTGTCGCCGGCCACGTGACGGGAGGCAAGGCAGCAGAGAGGCCGAAGGGGCCGGAGCGGCTGGCGAAGTTTCCGGGGTGGAAGGACGCGGGGTGGGGGTGAGGGGCGAGGAAGGAGCGCATAGAGTTAGAAATAGCGGTAGAGGGATACATGCAGGGCGAGCTTCCGGTTCCAGGGGGGCCTTTCCTTTCCCCTCCAAAGACAGACCTCCGCAGCCCTAGAGATGGGTGGAGGTTTTGGCGGCAGCGGTGTCCGTAAGAAAGACGGCAGCGGCGGAGCCAGGGTGGCTCATAGTCTTTCCACCTCTGGATTTTGTTTGGTGGAGGTTTTCTCCTCTGATGCTGAAAATAGAGACTTGTTGCCTTTATTGAGGAAACAGGCTAGTCTCATCTGCAGCACTTATGGCTAACATTTATTGGGGCATAAGGCTCCCTAATCCGGGTTAGATGGAGCAGTGCTTCCCCCCGCCCTAAAAAATGCTTAGGGGTACTCTTAAACAGCAGAGACATCACCTTTCCGACAAAGGTCCGTATAGTGAAAGCTATGGTTTTCCCAGTAGTGATGTATAGAAGTGAGAGCTGGACCATAAAGAAGGCTGATTGCTGAAGAATTGATGCTTTTGAATTGTGGTGCTGGAGGAGACTCTTGAGAGTCCCATGGACTGCAAGAAGATCAAACCTATCGATTCTTAAGGAAATCAGCCCTGAGTGCTCACTGGAAGGACAGATCCTGAAGCTGAGACTCCAATACTTTGGCCACCTCGTGAGAAGAAAAGACTCCCTGGAAAAGACCCTGATGTTGGGAAAGATGGAGGGAACAAGGAGAAGGGGACGACAGAGGACGAGATGGTTGGACAGTGTTCTCAAAGCTACCAGCATGAGTTTGACCAAACTGCGGGAGGAAGTGGAAGACAGGAGTGCCAGGCGTGCTCTGGTCCATGGGGTCACGAAGTCGGACACGACTAAACAACTCTCATGTTCTTACTCATATTGAAATACTGCCCTTCAATGAGGCCAAAAAACTTAGATTCACAAAATGTTTGGGGGTATGCATACCCCTGTGTCCCTCCAGAAAAAAAGCACTGGATGGATGCATTTCCTCCAGCGTTTTTCTTTTGTTTGTTTGTTTGTTTAATAAATAACTTCAAACTTTTTTGTTTAAATAAAAAACCCCAAACCCATTAATTAAATGAAGTCTTGCTATTCATACCACTGCCTACGTTGCCTTTACGCGAGCACAACGCACATGAGGGCGGATATGTGTGTGTTTGTGTGTAACGCTTGAAGTGATTGGCTGCGAAATCGATTACGTGGCACATAAATGCAGGAATAGGGCTGTACAGTGCGCGAAAGTTGGCGTGGTGAGGGAAGTGACTCTGCCTGCTCCCTGCTTGGACCATGATGCTCCAATCACCTGTGAGTGAGGCCTTTTGGACAGGGCAGAACTTAGGTGTCTTGGTGCCTGGGGGCAAACGGCATGAAACAATGCCGTAGTTTTATAGTGCAAAATAAAAATAGTTGCAATGCAATGATAAATAAGTATTTATCATTTAAATAGTTATGGCCAGTGGGTTTCCCCCCTAAAATGTTTAGTGGTACTCTCATTTTCCTATTCATACTGAAAAACTGCCCCTCAATGAGGCCAAACCTAGATTGACAAAATGTTTAGGGATATGCGTACCCCTGCATCTCCCCAGGAAAAAAGCACTGGTTATGGCTGTGAGAGAGTAGCTGTAAGCACAGTGGCCTTTTTCAGCACAACAGGCTATGATTTTTAAAAAGGGGTTGTATTGGTGACTGTATTGGTCAGTTGGAATCTAATGGCATCATCTGAAACATTAGCAGCTGATGCATCTGCTCATCTTCCAAAGTGATCTATGCCATCATCTGCCAGCAATACCCTTCTGCGGTCTACAAAGGTCAAACAGCAAAGTCTCTCTCTCTGTAAAATAATAGGAAAGGCTCTTTGTGAAATAATAAAAGGACACCAGGAACAGCATTATCCAGAAAGCATTAGAGGGATATTTGAAACCATACATGACACTCTTTAAATGAGCTTAATGCCACCATCCTTGAACAAAGGAACTTAAAAATGTGACTGCAACTTGAAACTGCTGGGCTACAGTTGGAACAAAGGTGTTTTTTCCTCTTATACTACACGATCCAACTCTACAATTCTATGATCTACATGTGCTTATTTGCTCACCAATGCCAGGATGCCTATTATCAATAATTTTTTGTGTGAAAGGTTACCATTAATAATGTAATTATTACAATCTGTACATTATTTCTCCCACCATATGAAAATATACTGTATTTCTGTAACTAGAATAACCATGCACCTGATGTAGTGAACTGTAGTCGAAGAATTATGCTATAATAACAAAACTCTTTGTTGTTTTAACATTTAGGAAACATTTGAGAAACAAATGGAGCAACTTTACTTAAAAGTTGATTCCCCCACCTCCAGAGTTGAGATCGTAGGACAAATACTTGTTTCTACTAAATAGCTTTTATTGAAAAGAAAAAAACAAACATTCTTTGAAAAAGTTGTTCTCCTGTGTAAGACTCACTTATGAGCTACAGCAAGCTGTGCTCCCCTCGTCTTGTAAGAAACTCAAACCCAAACACCACCACCAATTGGTTCCTTGCTTTGCTTGAACAGAGAAGTCCCAGAAACAAAATAACTGCGTTATAAAGTTCATTTACTGAACCATTTACATGAACCATCCTCATGGAGAATAGTTTAAAAACAGTCTACTGACTGCTACCTTTTAGCCTTGAGTTACAAAATCCAACTGAGTGTTGAAAAATTACTTGGCACAGTCTATTCTTGCACTCAGAACCAACCATAAAATGTCATCCCTCCCCCCTTGCATTTACAACAGTGTAACTTTAAGACAATGTAGACCACATGGAGTTTTTCTTTAGTCCTGTATCTCATATCAGTCAACCAATTTCTTTCTCAACATCACCCTTAGTCGGGTTGTGGAAAATACTGACTTCCATTGAGGAATTTTGCTGGCTCCTGCCCAAAAACATGCAACAAGCAGATGCTCTTTCTTGCAACTAAGAAAGAGGTATTTACTCAGGCCAGTAACTGTACAGGCTCAGCTGCAGATGCAGAGCTCAGGGTTCATGAGCAGGGTGAGAAGTTTAGAACCGGACGGAAGCAACCAAGATGTCCCAACAAGTTTCCATGCTCCACCTGCCATGTTTTTAAGAACCCAGCATGGTGCACTCACTCGTAACACTTGGCTCACCCTTTGAGGTCGGGATTGCAAATGTGCACTCTTTCAGGGTGGGTTGGTCTGTTCCTATCAGTGAAGGTGCTGCCTGGTTCTAAGCAACAAAACATGCACCTTCCTGCTAGGGCTCCAGTTGTTACTGCCTCTGGCTTAACTTCCAACTTTGGCTGCTCCAAGCTCACAGTTCCGCAGGAAAGTTCCCTCGCTCCCTCTTCCCAAGTGACTGAAGCTGCAGTGGAAAGGAGTGATCCCTTCACCACCAACTCTGGTTCCCACTATTCAACCCCCGCCCCCTGTTGCTTCCTCCTCCTGCATCAGTCGGCAAACCCAATCCTGACCTTAACAGTACTGCAGGGCTCTTGACAGAAACTGGCCCTGGGAGAAGGGCGTTTTCATGCCAGTAGCTGCTGAGCTTGAACCATCTTCGGATGAGAATGAGCAATATGGCATCCAAAGATTCATCAGGGGAAAAAATAGGTCCTTGCCCTCAAGAGGCTTACAATAGTGGGTAAAACAACGGGAGGGAGGGAGAGAGACATGGGATGAATGTGAAGGAGAGCGGGAGGATCCTGTAACCGTGAGTCAATGCCTCATCAGATCTCAAGCTTTCCTTTACTACTGGAATCCCAAGAGTTGTCACTTTCAGCCTCTGGAACATGCGTGGCCTTCCAAAATCAAATTAACTTCAGCTCTCAAATGTTCCTGCACCATCATTTTAGTGGAGGCACTGCAACAAGGCATCACGATTCTAGCGAAGGGAAACAGGGCTCAGTGGCAGCAGTGAAAGCCACAAGGTGTTCTTTAAAAACAATTAATAATCCAGCAGCTTTTCTTGGATTGCCCCCACATCACTTCTGAGCTCCTCTTTCATTCGTCTCTTTCATCTCCTTGGTTGCAGCAGGTGTAAAGTAGGCACTGGGGCCAGCTGCATGAAAGTCTTCATGCTCACATCCCTTTTCCCCCCAAAGCTGCACCAGCCTTGTAAGCCATAAACAGCACACTGGGGGTATGGGTGGGTGTCTAAACAAACATGGTCGCCACTATAAGAGGCTGGAAAATATAGCCAATGGTCAGGAGGATCTAGGAGCCGGAGCAGGTCAGATGTCCTCCAGGTGGTACATTCCTGCTGGAAGTGCCTCCCGTCAGTCTTGCCCATCTTCTGCCTGGACAAGCAAGTACCCGTTGCCTTGGTGCTCAGTATCAGCGGGGCTCTCTCTTTCTGCCACCTCGTCATCATCCTCAGTGGGTACAGGCGCCATCACCATGCCAGACCGGCTGCCACGCTGGGCAAACCAATCCATCAAAAGCTGCCGGAGAAACATCACTGGGATGGGGAGAGCAGCCAGAACAATGAGGCCTACGAGGAGGCCCAGGGCCCAGGGAGGGTATTCCAGCATCTGCTCCTCTGCCTGGAAAGGGAGACAACCAAGAATTATTACTGGTTTTCAAAACTGAAATTTACTATCAACCATGTAGGAAAGGAAATTTAGTGGGCCCATCTGGACTCTGAATCAGGCTTCTCTCAGTCCAAGATGCACTAGGCCTTCAATGGCTGCACAGCCAGAAAATGTCCCCATCAGCCCTCGTCTTTCTTAGAGAATTGACATTATCAGCAATATGGCCTGTGGAATTCAAACAGTTCTCCTTTTGAGCTGAGAAAAGGTTCAGGAAAGGACAACCAAAAAATGATCTAGGGGTTGGAGCAACTGCCCTATGAGGAAAGATTACAAAATTTCTGTAACATTTAGCGAAAAGGCAAGAAAAGGGGTGTGGCAGGATGGAGGTATATAAGTGCATGCATGATATGAAGAAAGTGGGTAGGGAAATATTGTTCTCCCTCCCTTGAGGCCATCCAAGGAAGATGAATGTTTCAGGATTAAGGACAGGGAGCATAAATATTTCTTCACACTGTGCATGGTTAAAACTTTAGAATCTGCTCCCACAAAATGTAGTGATGGCTTTAAAAGAGGATTAGACAAATTCATTGACGGTAAGGTGGTCAGTGGCTACAAGCCATGGAAACTATGATCTACGTCCGCTGAAGAAGGCACTATGTCTCTGAATATTAGTTTCAGAATCACAAGGTGGGGGGAGTGTTGTGCTGACATCCTGCTTGCAGGCTTCCTATAGGTACCTGGTTGGCCACTGTGAAAACAGGATGCTGGACTAGATGGGCCACTGGCCTGATCCAGCAGAGCTCTTTTCTTACATTGTTAGGCTAGTTGGGTCTCATGGTTGGCTTCCCTAAACTAACCCAGAGCAAAACCAAAACACTCTTCTAGATCCAGATGGTATGGAAAGATAGTCCTGGTAATGGAAGACCTGGTACAGTGGTGCCTTGGATTACAGACGCTTCAGGTTACACACTTCACTAACCCAAAAATAGTACCTCGGGTTAAGAACTTTGCTTCAGGATGAGAACAGAAATCGCATGGCGGTGGCGGCAGCGGGAGGCCCCATTAGCTAAAGTGGTACCTCAGGTTAAGAACAGTTTCAGGTTAAGAACTGACCTCCAGAATGATTTAAGTTCTTAACCCGAGGTACCACTATAATCAAGTGTAATCCATCTCTTTGGGAAGCTTGTCTGCTATTACTGAGCAACTCAACACGCGTTCAAAGAGCCAGAGGGCTCCCTCCCCAGAATGCCACTGGAAAAAATACTGCATTTGTGGATTAAAGCAGGGTTTCCCAAACATGAGTTTCCAGCTGTTTTTGGACTACAATTCCCATCATCCCTGACTCCTGGTCCTGCTAGCTAGGGATGATGGGAGTTGTAGTCCAACAACAGGTAGTCACCCAAATTTGGGAAACCCTGGATTAAAGCTTTAAAAGCCCTAAATCTTGACTCTTTAGCAACCAAGAAATATATCACCATTACTGTTTTGTTACAGAGAGTGGAAAAGAGGCAGTGGATTGGAGAAGGTCACCTAGTGAATCCATGGCAGTTTTCAGCCCGTGACTTTCAGATCCAAATCAAAACACCTGATGCTTAGGATATGCAGCAGAAGTACCCATGGGGACTATGTGCAAGAAAAGTCATTGCCACATCTAGGTACAGAGGGTACAGCTTGATAACCTGTTGGTGGAAGTTGGGGAGCAGGGCTCCGCCACTCAGTTCCCTCTTGCACTTCACCCACATTGCCACTTTTATCCCCTTCCTGTATGCACAAAAGCTCACAATGAAGTAGGCTTTAGGGTCCCACAGGACTCCTGGTTCTTTATACAGTGGAGCTGTCCCCAGACTATGCTTAATTTTTTTAAATGAAAAGCGGCAGGGGCAGCTGCTATTTGTCGGAAACATGAAGAGGTGTGATTGGGTGGAGTGCGCCTCTTACCTTTTCTCTGTTCCAGGCCTGGTAGGTGGGCCACTTCATAGCCATGTGCACCAGACTCGCTAGCAGCAGGCACAGCATCGCTCCCAGGCTGACAAAGCGCCACATGTAGCTGTAGATCCTCCAAGGCCGCCAGCCCAGCATGTCTTCTATGTCACTTAAGAACCTGCGGACGAAGGGAAAAGGATCAAGATGGCAGACGAGGCACCTCAGGTGTTAAGATACCCTGGAAGCACAGGGGAAGAAGAAAAACAGGCTCTGCCGAAAGCCACAAGGTAGACATTCTCTCCCACCTGCCCACCCCTCTCTTGAGAAAGCAGGGTAGAGAATTACCTGTCTGCTCCGTAGATCCAGGCCACGGCAAAAGCTTCAAAAGCCACAACAATAAGCAGGGGCAGGGTAGCCGAGTAGTCGTCAAACATGGACACAAAATAGCTGCCAGACCGTTGCACGAAAACCAGGCCCAGCAGGAATCCAATAATACAACACAGCACTGTGGGGAGAGAGAAAAAGGAGAGCAGGTTGGCTTGGCTGGACACCTGCTGGACCGCAGGGGCCCCAGTATAGTGGTCAGGCAGGATTGCTATGAGGAATTATGAAAAATGAAGAAAGCCATTGTGTCAGCAGTGAAAGCATTGCTTTGACTGGCTTTGAGTCATTGACATGACTTCTCATCAATCCCACAAGCCTCTGCATCTCTGCCGCATTTTCTCTATGCCTGACAGTCATGTATAAAGCATTCTACACGGACCAGTTGCTTCACCAGGCATCCTGGGTACATAAAGATAAGGAGGTAGCTTTGATGTAGCTTTTGTTAATCTTTAGGTAGATTTTAGGGCTAGGAAAGACTTTACGTGGAGGTGATAAAATGCCTGTATTTCCTGTTTACTGCCTGTTTATGACCTCTGAGGTTTGATAAATGCATTTCTCCTTGGTTCCTGTTTTATGTAGCCTGAACATGTATGCATGCTCAAATAGGAAATAGATCTTTGTAGTTAAGAGGCTCTGATCTGACTTTGTCCCCACGTGGGAATTTTTTGAAATGCTCAGAGGAAATCTGATTGGTTCTTACAAACGCTGTGTTAAAGTTCTTGGGTTAATAGAAACGGCCTGGGCCAGGGAGTGGCATGCGCACTTTCTCCCAGGTCTTGCTGGTCAAGCCTCGTGTCTTTTGTATTAATCAGGGTCCAGTCCTTCCTTTGCCTTCAGAACGCAGCACCCCGGTCTTGACAGGAGACACAGGGAAAAATTACAAGAACTTCATAAACTGAAAACTAGTGTTTGAGTTTGTATTTTTCCTCCTGCCTGCCAGTCCCCTTTCTTTGAGCGCTGTGCCTTTTAGACAGCAATCCTGAGGGCAGGGACTGCCTTATTACTGACCTTTGTAAGTGGGAACCTTTTATAGCTAAAGAGAGATGGCAATTACTTATTTGAAGTCTTTTTATTGTGCCTTTGTTGTTGTGCCTTATTTGATGTTTGTTTTCCTCTGTACAACGCTACAGAATTTTGTTGTTTTGCAAAATAAAACCCATCCACCTCACTCTTTTGCCCCCTGATGGACGTTGTTCCATCTCTTGGTTTTGGGTTCTGCCCTACCTGTGAAGAGGGTCCGCCGGCGCTGGAGGCTGTGGAAGTTGTCCAGCAATGGAGTGATGATCCCTTGCATGTTCCCCAGCATAGTGCTCAGCCCCAAGTTCAGCAGCATGAAAAAGAACAGCACCGACCAGAATGGGGAGGTTGGAAAGAGGGTCATGGCCTCCGTGAAGGTGATGAAAGCCAGTCCTGTGCCTTCCACATCCTGGGAGTTTGAAAAGAAGAAAAATCTGGGAATCATCCACTGAAACGGGCAGGTGACAAGCTTACACCTATGGGAAAGAAATACTTAACGCCTGGGCAATCTGCTATACAGGAAGTAGCAGTTTTTGGCAATCCTAATTGAATAGCAACAGGGACTATGGCCCTGTTCATGGCATAGGCCACGGTTTCTCCAACCTGGGTCTCCAGCAGCTTTTGGACTACAGTTCCCATCATCCCTGACCACTGGTCCGGATAGATAGGGATGTTGGGAGTTGTAGTCCAACAACAGCTGGAGGTCCATGTTTGGGAAATCCTGGCATAGACTAAGGGTGAGGTAGATGTGACCCTCCAGGTGTTGTTGGACTCCAGTTCCCATCAGCCCAAGCTAACATAACCAATGGCCATGGATGATGGGAATTGTAGTCCAGCAACGTCTAGAAGGCCAAAAGTTCCCACACTAGGTTTATGGGGCTTCATCTATTTAAGTGCTCACTCCTTGGTTTGGGTTTTGTTTTGAAGGCTTTCCCCCTGTGCCTTAAAATTGACTCCAGGAGGCTTTGTGATTGACACAAGGGCCAGCCAGCGCTGTACAGAGCTCTGCTTTGAGAAGCTGGTGAGGCAGCTTCGTGATTGGTTGCCCTGCGCCAATCAACCCAGTATACCTGAAGAAGCATCTCCACCCCCATTGTTCTGCCCGGACACTGAGGTCCAGCTCTGAGGGCCTTCTGGTGGTTCCCTCCCTGTGAGAAGTGAGGTTACAGGGAACCAGGCAGAAGGCCTTCTCGGTAGTGGCGCCCGCCCTGTGGAACGCCCTCCAGTGTCAATGAAATAAACAACTATCTGACTTTTAGAATACATTTGAAGGCAGCCCTGTTTAGGGAAGTTTTTAATGTTTGATGTTTTTAATAATTTTATATATGTTTTAATAATTTGATATACAGTGGTACCTCGGGTTAAGTACTTAATGCGTTCCGGAGGTCCGTACTTAACCTGAAACTGTTCTTAACCTGAAGCACCACTTTAGCTAATGGGGCCTCCTGCTGCCGCTGTGCCACCGGAGCACAATTTCTGTTCTCATCCTGAAGCAAAGTTCTTAACCTGAAGAACTATTTCTGGGTTAGCGGAGTCTGTAACCTGAAGCGTATGTAACCTGAGGTACCACTGTATTATTATTATTATATAATAATAATATTCTGTTGGGAGCCACCCAGAGTTGCTGGGGAAACCCAGCCTGATGGGCGGGGTATAAATATACTACGACTACGATGATGACTATTTAATAATAATGATGATGATGATGATGCAGATCTGGCTTCTCAAAACACAGTCCCTCAAAGGTGACTTTTAAACACTTTTAAAAACAACTATGAGAGTTCAGGCACAGCTCATACATGCCTCATTCACACAAATATAGCTTGCCAGCCATGGATTGTGGTCTGCTTGATCACCCTATGTATACAGTGTGTATCTGTGTGTTCGTATTGTGTGTGTGTGTGTGTGTGTGTACATACACACACACACTTCAATTCCAGGGAAATTCACTGAGTCCCAAACATGTTGCCACACTAGGCCGGAGGCTACATTTTGACTGACATGGCACAAGTTATGCAAGCCCATCTCTTGCCCCTCGGACACAACCCCAAAAGGCAGCTGCTTCTGACGGCTTCCCCCCCTTTTGCAGCAGCCCAGCCTGCCGTCCTTCCTCCTCCCCAGTCACCTTGTTCATCTCATCCTCTGCGCGGCAGTCACTGATCTTCCACATCTGCAGCCACTCTGCTGTGTCGTTCTGAAGACCCTGATACCAAGTGCTGTACTCAGCAGCCGAGAGGTCAGAAAAGTTTCCAAGGTGGGGCAGCGTGGCAGGGAGGGAGCCATTTGATGCTAGAAGAGACAAGGTTTTTGTATTCCTGGGGGGAAAGAAAAAGAAGCAGCTAGGCCATTAATCAGCAATTACTCCAGATCTGAAAACACAAAGCCAACTAGCTGGGTAGAGCATGAGACTCTTGATCTAAGGGTTGTGGGTTTGAGCCCCCTGTTGGACAAAAGATTCTTGCCTTTGTGGGGGTTGGAATAGATGGCTCTTGTGGTCCCTTCCAACTCTACAGTTCTATGATGTGGTATCCCAGGGCGCCTCCCAAGGGCACCTGATGCCCTGGACTATGATCCGTCTCTAAGCTTGCTCCTTCCATCACGGAAGGCAAGCAGGAATGTAATCAACACACAATTTCCGAGACTCTTCCCTTTGCTCTTCTGAAGGATGGAAGCTTGGGAGCATGTAATGAGCCTTACTCAAACTGAATGGATCCCTAGATGATGCCAAAATAAGTTTCAAGTGAGAGAAGAAGAAGAAGAAGAAGAAGAAGAAGAAGAAGAAGTAGTAGTAGTTGTGGGTAGGGATGACTGGTTTGTTTTTGTTCTTGCTTTTATTATATACAGTGATATCTCTGAGGTGACATACGCTTCAGGTTACAGACTCCGCTAACCCAGAAATAGTACCTCAGGTTAAGAACTTTCCTTCAGGATGAGAACAGAAATTGTGCTCTGGTGGCGCGGCAGCAGCGGGAGGCCCCATTAGCTAAAGTGGTGCTTCAGCTTAAGAACAGTTTCAGGTTAAGAACGGACCTCTGGAACGAATTAAGTACTTAACCTGAGGTACCACTGTATTTTGTGTTTTTTATCTTGTATTTTTATGTTGTCAACCACCCTGGCATCTGCAGATGAAGTGTGGTATACAAATTTAAATAAGAATACAGTCGTACCTTGGAAGTCGAACAGAATCCGTTCTGGAAGTCCATTCAACTTCCAAAACGTTCGGAAACCAAAGCGCAGATTCTGATTGGCTGCAGGAAGGTCCTGCAGCCAATCGGAAGCCACAGAAGCCCTGTTGGACGTTCGGCTTCCAAAAATAGTTTGCAAACTGGAACAGTCACTTCCAGGTTTGTGGTGTTTGGGAGCCAAAACATTAGAGAACTAAGCTGTTTGAAAACCAAGGTACGACTGTAATAATAATAATGGAATGGAATTTCTCCAAAACAGCCCTCTAAATGGCCGTGGATGGGTAAAATTCGGAAGACTATGGTTGGATACAAACCTAACTCAGCAAGGGGCGGATCTGAGAGCCCTTCCAGGAATTCCCGTGTGTGTGTGTGTGTGTGTGTGTGTGTGAGAGAGAGAGAGAGAGAGAGAGAGAGGTTCTTTGATCTCCTGATGGCATTGGTGGTTATAAACAACCTTGCATAATTTACTTGTTTGCATACATGCTTTCGTGTTTTGTTCAAAAAACCCCAACATAGAACCACTGAACATGAGAAATAAAGCCAAGGTTGCCCCTGCCTGCAGCCTTGTCCTACAGCAAAAGTGGGTTGGGGGGAGCAGGACACAGGCAGGTAGCTACTCACCTCTCCACACAGTCCTGCGTGATCATGTTGGCACGGAAGCCCAGCACGGCAAACACCACAAGCGTGGCCAGCACTGAAGTAAGGAAGTTGATCCCAGACACCAGCAGCCCGTCGATGTGGCAGTTGTTGTGGCGCGGGTTATAGCTGGAGTAGGCAATGATGGTCCCAAAGCCCAGTCCCAGGGCAAAGAACACCTGGGTGGCTGCCTGGCGCCAGACCTGCATGTCTCTCCAGATGGACAGCTAGAGGTTGGGTAAAGAGGACAAGGGTACAGGATTCATCCTCATGAATTCATCCTCAGAAAAGGAGAGGGGTTTTTCCAATGGAAGTAAATACTGGCAAATTAGAACTTGTCAGGAAGTTTGATTCTATGTATTTAGGCCCAGATCAAGATAATGGTCTCCTCTCACACAACAGGTTTTACCACCTTTGTCTTAATTGTGCTTTGTCATCTTAATTTTGCTTTTTTTCTTCATTTCCCATTGCCGCTCTGGCAAATAGCCACTGTTTGTTTAGCAAACATTTAATTTTTACATAGGAATTCCACTTTTCACAGTGATTTACCTCCACTGTTCACATTTTTTTCCACTCTCTATGCCCATATATGCACCTACTTGCCAATGCAAGGCTAGTACTTCATGCATCTGATGAAGCAGTCACTATCTGGCAGGAGTTTGCAGCCCAATCCTATGCATGCTTGCTCAAAATGGGTTTCACTTGTAAGTAAGAAGGCTGAGTACTGCAGGTGACACAGGATTCGTTGCTGTTCACCTTCATCCTCATGACCCTTCACAACCTCTAACCTGAGACTGCTAGAAGTAGGTTTATAAACTCCATCTCAACCTAACCAAGATTTGCATTACCCTACACAAAGGCAGAACGATCTAGGTCCTGGATTTCTTAAAGAGTGCCTGCTTATGAACTTCCTTGTGAATGAGGTAAGAGAGGCCCTGTAATGAGCTCCATCATATTTAGAAGTCAAACTGGCCTTGGCTAGAAGCAGGAGCAACCTGACATCTGCCATCTGGAAGCTGTGGAATATGTTTCATGGGCTACAGGTTTAGCACCTTCCCTTCTGTCATTCTACAAGCAGGTTGAGACACCCTGTTCTCAGGAAGGGCCATAGCTCAGTGGCAGTGAGTGCATCTGCTCTGCCTGGTTCAATCCTCTGCATCTCCAGGTAGGGCAGGTAGAGACTCCTGTCTGAAACCCTGGAAAGCCGCTGCCAGTCAGTATAGACAATGCTGAGACAAATGGATCAATGGTCTGATTCAGTATAAATTAGGTTAAAAGGTAAAAAGTAAAGGACCCTGGGACAGTTAAGTCCAGTTAAAGGCAACTATGGGGTTGCGGTGCTCATCTCGCTTTCAGGTCGAGGGAGCCGGCGTTTGTCCGCAGACAGCTTTCCGGGTCATGTGGCCAGCATGGCTAAACCACTTCTGGCACGACAGAAACCAGAATGCATGGAAACGCCATTTACCGCCACAGCGGTACCTATTTATCTACTTGCACGGCGTGCTTTCTAACTGCTAGGTTGGCAGGAGCTGGGACAGAGAAATGGGAGCTCACCTTGTCATGGAGATTTGAACAGCTGACCTTCTGATCAGCAAGCCCAAGAGGCTCAGTGGTTTAGACCACAGCGCCACCAGTGTCCTATGTTCCAGCGTTTTCTATATGTATTCATTAATCTATTACTTGCAGTGATGTTGCCTTTTCTTTTGCTGACAGTTTTGTTGCGTTGTTCCACTGGATTATTTTAAGCCAGTTTTTAATTGTTTGGTTTGGATTCGTTTCACTGTTAAACATGTCTGCACCACTTTTCTCCAGTAGTATGGAAGTTTTGTAAGTAAACAAGTGAAATAATGCTAGCCCTGTGGTTAAGCGCTGGGGGCGGGGGGAATAAAGGGAATTTGCATGCAGCAAGGGAAGTGGGCACACGTGTATGAGAGTGTTCTTCCTTTGCACAGGGCTCTTACATTGGGCGTGAACATGATTCTGATCCCATCAACCGCTCCTTCTAGCAGCAGCGCCCGTACGAGGAAGCACAAGAGGACCACGTAGGGGAAAAGAGAGCTGAAATACAGAACCTGCAAACGAGATGGGGGGAAGAGAGAAAATCAAAACCAGGGACTGACAGCCTGTTTGTGGTGAAACAACCATTGGTACAAGATGCTGGCATTTCATTACCAAGTTCTCCATCCCAGGTATTTTGACATTGGGACCAGTAGTGGACAATCTTAGAACCATGTTTATGGATCCTGATCAATCTGAAGGCAAAGCATGATTTTAAAACACTATTAATCAGAGCAGGAGTGGGGAAACTTTGGTCCACAAGCAAATACTGGCAAAGCAGCAAGGTCCAAGTTGGCCATTTCTTCCAAACCCAATGCACCTGTACATTGGCTGATGTCACTTGGTAATATCAGCTGTGGGGCAGTAGTGCTCAGCAGGGAGCCGGGTGCGGCTTTGCAAGTACATCCCATGCGGGGAACGCACTGGCAAAGTAGAAACCTGTGGCCAATAGTATCAAACTTTCTGCTGTTCAGCTAGTGAGCAGAGGGTTCTCTCCTGCTGGTGTTGATGAAGCAAAACACTCCCTCCTACCCAGGTCAACTTTTGATGAGAGGGAAAGTGCTCTCGCAACTGACCTTGCCAGAGGACTTGATGCCTTTGATCATTGCCAAGCACACAAGAGCCCAAGCGGCAAAGAGGCAGCCAGTAAGAGCCGGGTCAAGGCCTCCGCTCTCATCCAGGGAGTTGGTCACATGCAAGGCCTTGCGGTACCAGAAGTAGACGGTGGGAGAACTGTGGCCACACTCCGTTTCTAAGATGAGGACAAGGACACACAGAGACAGAAAGACAGAGAGGTGCAAAGGTTAGGAGCAGAGTGTCACTGGTGAGGCTTATTTGACAACAAGGAGCTGAGACTTTCGTGTCACCGGCCCAGTGCTGTGGAACATTCTACCAATCAAGAGATTTAGCAGGCAACTTCTGTTTCGATTTCTAAATGCCTGCTGGAAACTTTCCTATTCCATCAGGCCTATGCAGGCAATTAAAAATCCAGCTTTCCAAAATAATTAGCTTATTTCTGATTTAAACATTTTATATGGTTTTTATTGTGTGGTTTTATGCACAATTGTTTGTAAATCACTATTATTTTTAATGAATAGCAGTATATAAATATTCTTATAAATAAGGTAACGGGACAAAATAATCAAGCCCCTCTCCTCCCTTTTCCCATCCATATTTTGGTATGGTTAACTGAAGATTATGGGTTTTTTTGAGGACAGAACTGAAAAAATATTAGTTTGGCAAATATATATATACAGTGGAACCTCGGTTCCCGAACGTCTTAGTTGCCGAACAACTTGGCTCCTGAACGCCGCAAACCTGGATGTGTTCTGGTTTGCCAACCTTTTTTGGAAGCCAAACGTCTGACGTGGCTTCCGTTTGAGCACAAGAATCTCCTGCAGCCAATCGGAAGCTGTGCCTTGGTTTTCGAACAGTTTCGGGAGTCGAACATACTCCCGGAACAGATTAAGTTCAAGAACCAAGGTACCACTGTATCTCAAGTTCATCAGCACTTCCTGACAATTGGGAGTACATTTTGTCTCCGTACAATGACATCAAGGCAGCTTAGTCCTGCCCCCTCCTCAAACCTTCCAATCCCTTACCTGGGGCAGTTTGATTGGTTGCTGCTGGGCAATCAGTCCAAGGCAGGGGTAACTGGAAGGAGTTGGCCAGATAGAAAAGACTCCATGCAATGATGACATTATAATACAGGGCAACAAAGGAACAAACCTGAAGAGGAAGAGGAAGAGATCAGCGTCCTTCTCACTCCATCCCCAATGGGCACTGACACAGCTACCTCAGGGGAAGGGGCAGCTCTTTAGGGTCAAAGAACATATTAAAACACATTTTTACGTCATGCGTTCAAAACTGGTCTCCTCTCCTCCCTTAAGAAAAATCAGGCATGGGGGCCCACTGATCTGAATTGGGTTAATCATAAGTTTGGAGGGGGGGTAGCGCCTTACATTTGCCTCCTGAAACTCCCTTGTACCCAAAAGATGCTATTTACAGCAAATAGCACCTTCAAGTACATTTTTTGGCAGGAAAATTTATTGCCCCTCCCTTCCAAGAATTTTTTTTGAAAGAAACAGATGTGGTCTAAGCACGTTAGTTAAAAATATTTTTAATGAGAAGTGTCGTTCGATCCTTAGGATCATATTCCCAGCACTAAAATGCAGCTGCTTCGGGGGCGAGATACTGGAGATGTTTAACATGTCTATCCCCAGGAATTTAGGGCAGGATGTTAACTGCAATTGGCAATTATCTCACTGGCACTTTAATCTAGGCAAGGCAGAAGGCGGCTGAGGGGAGAAGCCCTTCGCTCCACCAATTCCATTACTCGCTGCCATCTGGATAATTAATTTGTGGAATTCACTGCCACAAGATATAGCGGAGGTCACTAGCTTAGGTGGCTTTAAGATGGGATTAGACAAACTTGTGGAGGACTTGTCTATCAATGGCTATCAGCTGGCATGAGGGCACAATGGAGCCTCCATGCTTGCAGGAAGTCTACCTCTGAATTCCAGTTGCTGGCGGAGGGTGGCATTAGCAGCAGAGGGCTGTCTCCTTCACACACCCTCTTATGAGTATCCAGTTGGCTGCTATGGGAAGCAGGCTGTGGGACAAGATCAGGGCTGAGGAACTGGTGTCTCTTGAGTTGCTGTTAGGACTCCAATTCCCATCAGCCTCAGCCAGCATGGCCCAAGAGTCAGGAATGATGGGAGCTGTATTCCAGCAACACCTGGAAGGCCACACGTTGCCCACGCATGACACAGACCAGCAGTGGGAGACCCTCTGGCCTAGTTAGGCCTCCCCATTTGGTCCAGGAGGCCATTTTGTTAAACCACACCCACCTGTCTTACACCTGTCTTCATTTAAGTCAAGTGTGGGGCAGGTAAAAATGGGGCAGGTCGAGGTTTGAAGGTGTCGCTGTGTCTTCCAGGCTTTGTGCCTTTGGCAAGCGCCGACAAGCAGCTGATTACTGGCATTTGCAAAGCCCCTGCCTGACAGCAGGCCTTCAAAGTCTGTTTGCAGGCGCACTCTGGATTAAAAATTCGCCTACAAACTGTGGATGCGAATCAGCTGACTGAATCCAACAGCACTTCTCTGAAAGGGCTTGTTCCCATCAGCTGTTCTGTGCTGAGAACGAGCCCCTTTGAAGTTGTTACCCAACACTATAATGACATCAGGTGATTGACAGGTGGGGGTGCCCACTCACCTGTCAAAGTTGGCTTGTGGGGGAGGGAGAGGCAGTGCTCCAGCCTGCCAGCTGGATCCAATTCCACACCCCCAGTATAGTATAAGAAGAGCTTGATGTGTGAGATTGGGGGTGAGCGAGCTCAAAGGCAAAAGGTTTTCAGAAGTGCTGCCGGAGGAACAACTCACCACGCAGCTGGCGAAGCCAATGCCCACCAGGCGGGGGCTGATGTACTTCCAGACCCCGATGCTGCCCTGCCGGATAATCTGCCCAGCCGCCAGCTCCAAGAAAAACAAGGGGATCCCAATGATGAAGAGAAGCAGCAGGTACAGCAGCAGGAAGGCACCTGGCCAGGATGAGACAGACACACACGGCTACAGCATCCAAGCAACACTTCGCTCCCAGACCCCAGCAGTCTCCCCTGATTCCACCAGCCAGTTACCCCCCCCCTCCGAATCAGAAATAATTTAAGGGAGGAAACAGGTGCTCCCGTGACAGAGCATTAGGGGTCAGCTGGTTGTGGGGTGAGCTCAACTCCCCCCCCCCCCAGACACACAAATACGGTCTGTGGCAAATTCCGATTGCCGCCTCTTCCTACTCTCCTCCCCACCCACAAGTGGACTCCAGTTCTCTCCCTGTCTGAAGCGCATGCCATGATTATGCAACCAAATATTTAGCTCTTTCAAATAAAGAGGGAGGGGGTTGTTTTTCTTTTTAAACACCATTGCTTAAACACGTTCAAAACTGTGGTTTTTTGGGGACTGGCACAAGGAAGGTGTTTTCAGGATTGGTACAAGGGCAGCACTGTGAAAATCCAGTTTCTGCCACCCCCTCCCTGCAGAAATGGGTTCTTCCATCCAAAATGGCCAAGGCAGCTGTACACGCTTCCATAGCAGGCTCAAGCTATGCAAGTTTGTTTTGTAAGCACAGCCTGGCTGTTACCTGCAACACAAGGCTGTCCCCCTTCCCATTTACCAGGTGCTGCTCACAGTGGCCAAGAAGTACCTAAGAGCCGGGTATTGTGTTTGTGTATTGCAGGAGAAGCTGGCATGGTAGGGCAGTTCAGTGGCAGTGCTGAGGTTGCTACTTCATTGTCACACAAGTCCACTTTGGGCCCCCAAATGCCTTGGGCCTCAGCACCTTTGGAATTTAAGCAGGAAGCCACTTACGGCAGGGCCTTCTCTGTGGCGGCCCCTGCCATGGCCGTTTCCATCTCCCATACCCTTCTAATAGTGATCTGCTTCTTATCTCTTCTTTTCTATGTGCATCACTGTCAAGGCTGTAACTGCTTTTCAGTTTGTGTTGGGGTGTTTTGCACGGTTTCTAAGTTGAGATGTTCAATGCCTTGAAAGCCCAATGGGGCAGAAAGGTGACACAAGCATTTAAAATAAGGAGAAGTTAAAAGGCACAGGTACCCTGCTACAAATGAATGAAAAAGGGGACAATCTTGCTCTACGCCAGCCCCGAGCTTGCAAGAAATGCCTATATCCACTCACCTCCCCCATTTTTATGGCAGAGGTAGGGGAATCGCCAGACGTTGCCAAGCCCAACCGAAAAGCCAACCTGGGCCAGGATATACTGAACTTTGGACCCCCAGGCCGGGCGGGTATCAGGTTCATCAGTGAGCAGATCTTGATTGAATTCGCCTTCGGCGTTTGCTGCAGATTCGAGGTCCGCTTTGGATTTCTCCATTGGTGGAGGGATGTGATACACACACACAAATTGTGCACACAGCTAAATGCTAGGGCCCTTGCACAATCACACACCTTCACACTTGTCTGTTCGCAATTATGTCACACCCTAAAAAAGATTCTTCTCCTGCAACTAGCACAGGCTCACGTGTACCATGGGACCAGGGAAACAGAAAGTGAACTGCTAAAAGTGTATACACTCCTTGCACATTAGCAAATCTCTCTCACACTCCCACAGATGTGGGCATTTGTGTGTGTCAATAACGCTTACCACACAGAACTTTGGCCCTCACACTGCTGTGCAGTCGCAGGTGCACATGCCTACAAAATTCTCTATGGGATTGATGCACTGAAATACGAACTAAGCTCACACACATCACTCGATCAGTTCATGCACGCACATACGGACAACCCACTCATACAAAGAGGGTTTCTCACTTTGCCCTTGCGTCGTCTGTGCCTACCTCAATCACAGCCAATTAAAAGAGTTTGGACGCTATATGCATACAAAGATTCACACATGTGAAAGTGGGTGGAGACAGTGTCTGGTAGGCTCCGTGAATTGCATATGCTACAAGATGCACACATAGGCACACACGCTTGCCGACTCTTCTCCAAAGCAAAAAAGGATTCAGGCCTAGAAAGAGAAGAATCAGAGAAAGGAGGAATGAGTATAAGGCCAAAGGTAAGATGCCCAGCTGGAGGGTCAGTCTGGATTCCCCAAACCAGCCTTCCTCCACCTGGGAACTACAACTCCCAGCATTCCTGCTTATTGGTTACGCTGGCTGGGAACAGTAGTAGTCCAAAAGAGACTCCAAGGAGACTCCAAACCATGGGGTGGGATCCAAAGCTAGTGTTGCGCCAAGCAGAAGCACCAAAATTAATGGGCACGACTGATTCAGGTTCATTCATTTCAGTGGGCCTACTCTGAGCAGAATTTCGGTCAATATAAGCGCATTGCATTGTGTATTGAATTTTAATTACTTTTTGTCTGGAAAATGAGTAGGAAATGTAACAAACAGAAATGTCAAGATGGACAGAGATTTTGCCTGCTCCTGTGCTGTCAATTCCTCTGGCCTGTTCCCCAGAAACTTTAATAAGATGTATTTATTACCATGAAATAGGAGTCAGAGCTCTTTGCAGCCAAGAGTATCCCAGCACAAAGTGCCTTTCAAACACTTGTTTGGACATCTTCTTACCTCTCCTGTCAGGGGATTAAAATTACGTCAAACTGTGTATCTTTCTAGGCCTGGAATTATTCAAATTGGCATAAATGCATTTCATTTAGATGCCTTGCAATTTATTTATTTTTCGGCGCCATCTGAAACTTTGCTTGTTTTCCCCCTCTGAATAAACAGGATGGGTATTTGTGGCTGGGGGAAAAATGTTTCTCAAGAAATATGGATGGAAGTGAACAAGAAAATACAGTTCTCTAGAAGTCAGGCGTGGGTGTGGGTGTGGGTGTGAGCTTCGGGGAGCTCCTGGGACAGCTATGCTGAATTGAGACATCCTTCCCCTGCCTTAGCTAGACCACTGGAATCTATCTTTACCCCGATCCTCTTGGTTTTCTACAGATTATAGGAGAAGTTAGCTGCTGTCAAAATCATTTCAGTGGTTTTCGGTAGCCATGAAAGACCTGAAACTCTAAAAACAAGAATAGAATTCCCAATGTCTGGATCTCATATTAGCCATAGAGCCACATTTTCTCTACTCAAGCACAAATCATACCAATGTCTGGATTTCTTGCCTCTGAGCATCTGGTATTTTACAGCAGGTGTGAAGGACCTCAGGCACTGGGGCCTAATATGCCTGTCCAGGCCTTTCTTTCTGGCCGCTGGAACTTCCACCAGGCTCTGCTTCCTATCCTAATCCTGACTGTTTTTGCCTGGCTGGAATGTACCTTGATCCTTGATTGGTAGATAGATATAGATATAGCTAGGGGTGTGGGTGGGTGTGATACATACAATTGCTTTAACTGTTTTTAGTTAAACTAAGGTCAAATTCACACTACACATTTAAAGCGCTATGATACCACTTTACATGGCCACGACTTCCCCCAAATATTCCTGGGAGCTGTCATCTGTTCAGGGTGCTGGGAGTTGCTAGGAGATCCGTAATCCCCTCACAGAGCTACAGTTCTCAAAGTGGTTGAACTACAGTGGTACCTCAGGTTACATACGCTTCAGGTTACAGACTCTGTTAACCCAGAAATAGTGCTTCAGGTTAAGAACTTTGCTTCAGGATAAGAACAGAAATTGTGCTCCGGCGGCGCGGTGGCAGCACAAGGCCCCATTAGCTAAAGTGGTGCTTCAGGTTAAGAACAGTTAAGAACACAGACTCACACACCCCTCTCTATCCTCCATCCGGACATATAAGAGACCTTATCAGAATTCAGGGGCACATTCCACCCATGGAAAAATGTGCAAGGAGGGCCCTCTTGCCCTGCTGCCGCCCAGGTCTCTGGTCTCTCATCTTTGGGTTAGAGAATTCAGAACAAACAGCCTTGGGCCACAATCTCTGCAAAAGTGGTTGCAACTGCAAAATTTGCAACAAATAATCCCCTCCCTTCTTTGTGCGTATTCAGATACTCTCTTGAAATCTGCCCGTGCTGTGGGCAAGTGTGGGAGAGCAATGCCAACTTCAGCGGGTGAGCAGGAGGCAATGCCAACGGTCATCATGCCTGGCTCTGCGTAAGCGGTGAACTTTTGTCCACTGCCCCCCCCCCTTTTTCCAGCGCCAATGCCAACCGCTCATTATTTCCCACAATAAGGACTGGAGGCTGGACTAACCTTCACAGACGTAGTGGTGGCCAAGGTCAGATATGAAAGGAAGGAATGTGTGCCAGCTCCCGGAGTGGGGGCAGGGAGAGAAAGGGTTCAGGGAAGGGGCAGCGTTGGCACAGGACAGCTCCTGCCTGCCTATCGGGCAGCGCCAGCCGTCTCCCTGCAAAGGCTCACAGGCATGGTTCGGCAGAGCTAATTGCCTGAAATTAAGGGAAATGTTTATATCTCTAGGTCTGCAGACTATGCATGTCATGAAGGCGGTTGCCTTACATACAAGACTTTGCATGTTTGCAGTTCCTTTGTTGCGAAAGATTTTCCACATGACTTCCTATTTACAAAGCTCCCAGAGGACGCTTGGGCTGCATTCACACCTGCATTTAAAGAGCATTTATGGCACAGTGACTTTTTCCAAAGCATCCTGGAGACGGTAGTTTGTTAAGGGTGCTGGGGAGGTTTAGCTTTTTGAGGCTTAAACTACAGTTCCCAGGGTTCTTTGGAGCAAGCCATGTATGGTGTGTATGCACAGAGATCTCAGGTTCCACCCTCAGCATCTCCAGTTGAAACACTCTCTATTGACAGGGCTGAAGAAAGGTTTTTCCTTTGCCTGAGATCTTGGCTAGGTGGACCCAATGGTCTGAATCCACTTGAGAAGCTTCATATATGATAACAAATACAGAGAATGGCTAAGTATACTCACATGCAGCGGAGGTATCTTATGTCCTCATCTAAGCATGCAACAGGCAAAAAACAGTTTACAGCAGCATGCCCACTCTCATTTTCTGTCCTCTCAGTCCTTGGCTTCTATATCTCCTTGGTGTAGCAATCTGTGAAAGTAGACGAACAGCCATAACTGGGTTGTCCATTCAGACATCACTCCAAATCATAGTTAAGCACAAAACACGGTTTGCAAATACAGTACATTTTAAGGTGCAGTTTCCAGTTCTACTTTCCCAGTCAATCCAGTCGTAAACCCTAGTTTTTCAATTCGAACGCAGCAAACCATAGTTAAAATTTCTTAACTACAATTTGGCAGGATGTCTGAATTGAGACACTCCATTTAATTAGATGTGGGAATACCCAACTTCTACTCTTGTGTGGCTTCTGTGTTGCTGCTTATCAGATCCCAGCTTTCTTTCCCAAATATATACAATTTCAGCAACAAGATTTTGCTACTTTTTCAGTCTTGTCTTAAGGCTAGAGAAGAATATCAAATGATAGATAAACTCAATTAAGTCTAACAACGCGATATGTTTTATTATCACTTAACTGTGATGTAGAAATAGCTACACCTGTGAACTCACTGAATCCAACAAAGTCTCCACAAACACACATTTAATTCTGTGGCATAAATAAAACACATGTAGCTGCATAACAGATTCTCTGAGGCAATTGTGCAGCAGGGGCTGCTGTTAAAAAGCTGCCGCTGCACGTACTGAATTGTGCAATGCTTGCAAGTGGCAAACTGTGTGTGGTTTGCCTCAAGGTTTGTTGTTTCAGAAAATGGAGTGAGGAAAGGGCTGCAGACTGATGCTGCATCCTTGCCATACATTTAAAGCACTTTCCAAGTCCCAAAAGAGCCCTGGGAACTGTAGTTTGCTAAGGGTGCTCAGAACCGTAGCTGTTTGAAGCTACAGTACACAGCCAAAAGCAGAAAACTAGCACATGGGAAGGGGGTGCGGGAGTTCGTAATCCTTTTCCCATGTGTCATTTCCCCACTAAAACACAAACACACACAAAGCTTTTTTTGGAGCGGGGATGCCCTGCAAGGAAAAATACGTACACAGCACAATGTTTCCGCTTTAGTTTGCAGCCTTCACAGCTGCATTTTGTCAAAAGTTGGAGATAAGCTACGCAGGACTGAGAACGACACGTAGCTCAAGCCTCGCACCTTGCCAGGATCTTGCTTTGTGAGGTGATCTATGTTTAAACAACTGGGCACGGCCCTGGGCCATTTGTGAGCATGTGTGCTGTGGAACAACACAACCTTCCTGAGAAGGAAAACTCGAAGAAGCCTCAAGCAAGCAAGCACTGAACTTGTTCAATCGGCCAGTGCCTTCTTACGCAAAAGAGGGTCTTCCAGTTTACATGACCAAAAGCTCGCTATTAACTTCATTGGAGGTTTAAAGGAATCTAACTGAACTGAGGTTCTGCCGTTTCTAACTGCATTATAAGACCTGTAACTTGTGGCTGAGCTTGCTTTTCCCTCCTCCCTCCTTTTCTTTTTCCTTGTGTGTCACATCTTCTTCGGTTATAAGCCTGGGGGCATGGAATGCCTTACTATTAGGGCTGAGGAGGAGCAGATGGCCTAGCAAGCCTGTGCTAGCTACTCCTCTTCCCATCACACTCACTTATTTGCATTCCCTCTACCTCTAGGCTAGAGGAAGAGGAAGAGGCAAGTAAGCAGGAATGTTGAAGAGCAGGGATAGGGAACCTATGGACCTCCAGGGTATTTTTGGACTACAAATTCCATCATCCCTAAACATTGACCCTGCTGGCTGGAGCTGAGGGAAACCGGAGTCCAACAAGGGCCATAGGTCGCTCCAAGCCCCATCTCTGCTGAACAGAAAGAACAGCAGCAGGAGGAGGCCCCTGGTCTCCAGTAGGCCTCAGGCCAGATCATGGACCTCAACAGGGGCCTGAAGGGATCAACCCTGGTTCCAGCCCTGTAGAAGACTGAGCTGTATGGTCTTGAATCAAATCAGCGATGAAAGACCCCAGTTGCATGTGAGGGGAGGGAAAGGGGCCACTACCACCGATTGCGCAAAAATGTGCACAAAAACCTCAAGGAGATACACCGTATTTATTTATTATTATATTTGTTAGTTGTTTTTCTCACAAAGTGACCCAAAGCAACTTACATTAAAACCAAATAAAGAACTCCCAATAAAAATCTAAAATCTAAAAGCGCAGCTGAACAGATAAAACAGATCAGGACTTGCTGTTCTCACCCAACTAAAAGAGGCCACAATTAAGGGCCAAAAACTTGTGTAAAGAAAAAGGTATTCACCTGGTGCCCAAAAACAGATAAGGGTGGCGCTAGGCATGTCTCCCTGGGTAGAGCATTCCACAAGTTGGGGGGTCACCACTGAAAAGGTCTGATCTAATTAACCTGGTAACATACCCTTTTGGTTTAAATGTATTCTGAAAATCCTACAAAAAGGAGACAGTTGTACTGTAACACGACTGAAAAGCGTGACTTTTACTGAGTTAAAAAAAAAACCCAGGGTCCTTCTCCTTATGGGTTGTGTTTGGCAAAGTCATTGGGCAAGCAACCAGACTTCTGCTCAAGCAACAGAACTTCTCCTTCCGTCTCCTCTCCCTGCAACTCCTTAAATCTGCTTTGGGGTTCCCGCGAACCCTTTGGGGGTGCACGGGAGAGGGAGGAGAAGGAAGAGGGGAAGTTCAGTTGCAGGAGCAGCCTGTCGTTGTGCAATGACTTCAGCGGATTCCTCCCCCTGCCAATATTTCACAACCTACTGAGAGTTGAGGATGCAGCAAGACACAAGCATCAGACCCCACTATCTCTGAACGCAGGTTACCACCAAAATAGCTACAAGGCGAAGGTACAATCAGTACCTGCTCTCATCACGTTTACTTCCTCCCATCATATTTAATTCCTTCTTTCTGTCCGGAGAGAAATGTCCTTACCTTGTTTGTTGTCTTGGAAGTCACAGTTTAGGGCTCAGGACTGTCTGCCACAGCACCAGGTTCGCTCCTTTACAGAAGAGCAAAAACACAGGCAAACATGAGGAGCTGGTCTCCCCAACACGCTCAGCGAAGGCATGACGAGGGAGCAGGATAGCACCCACCAGCCTCACCCCGCCACATTGACGTTTGCACCACAAAATCACATGAGAAAGCTCTCCAAGTTACACAAGACCTTACTTTATGGGTCATTAAAAAAAATGTGCTAACTACCATCTTTTGACCCACAGGTCATAAAATCAACAGGTAAATCACCTGTTTACCTGAGGCAACCTTGCGACAAGTATGGGTGATCCCAGCAGCTAATACAGTAGTCAGGTTTCACAGACCTAAACTCAGGTCATTGAAATGAAGTTATGTGGGCAATAGGTTAACTCTCAGCAGGTATAAAGGGAAGGTGGGGTTGGCAGCCCCCAACAATGTACACTAAGGGGTTTTTTTTAATTGCTTTGTGGGTTTTAGTCATGTAATCTCATTTGTACACCACTTTGAGAAATCGTTTACGTTTTTTCTAAATAAAATAAGTAAATTTTGCAGCGTAATGCAACAGATCTAGAGTAGCGACAGCCAGCATGGTGTTGGATTGGAAAGGCAGGCTAGGACTGAGGAGAACCAGGTTCAAATTCCCCACTGGGCCACGAAGGGGCTCACTCTCTCACTCTTTCTGAGCCTCAGCTACTTCACGGGGTTGTTGTGAGGACAGAAGGTGATGGTGGGATCCATTTGGGGGTGCCAAATTTATTCCTCGCATAGGGCATCGTATTACAAAAGATTGCCAAAGTATGCCGCTGGATGCAGTACCCTGAGATGCCTTGAGGAAGGATAAATATGCAAGGTCCTTGAAGGGTGGAATAAGAATGTAATAAATAAAAACAAATAAATATCTAATATTTGGGGCATCACTCTTATATCTTAAAGGACGGGAAGGATATACAAACAGAGCAACGAAACATAGAACAGGATAAAGTCTCTGAGGCGGGAAATAAATGCGGCCCTCCAGACGTCTCTCTCTGGCCCCAGGCTACACCCCCTCCCCAAACACACTCACTCTCTTGTGCAGAAACAAGCCTACTGCACAAGGGCAAACGTTGATATCGATTGCCCCGCCCACTTTTGCCTCTAGCCCCGCCCACCTTGGAATGTGGTCCCTGGTTGCTCAGAAGGAAATGTGGCCCTCAGGCTGAAAACTATTCCTCACTCCCTGCCCTGAGGGGGAGTTATTTTAGCACTCAGAATTGCCAGCTTTCACAAGAGGCCGACTGAAAGAGGCATGCTCAGTGGTGCGCAGGAGCCTTTAATTAAGGGACTAATTCAATTTGCACCACAGCAGGAGCTGCCTCTGTTCACATGAGGGCGACCCAGCACACACACATACACACAAGAGAGTTTGAAATTTGAAAGAAACCTACCATGGCTCACTTGCATCTTTCTTCCTCTATTCCTGTCCCAGCAGGAAGCCTGCCCTATTTAAAGTCCCAGAGCCAGGTCCCACCCCCTCTGCCCCCCCTTCATTCCCCAGTTAAGCATCATGTTACAAAGTGACCTACAAGCCTAGGCACACAAGCCCCAGTCCCCACTTTAGAAGCAGCCCGGCTTACGCTTCTCCTTAAAAAGCAAGCGGCAAAAATATATGATCAAACCAAACGTCCCACCATCTCAGGTTAGGGGGCCACATGGTATCAAGACATCTCTCTCCCCAGAACCACCACACTTTAAAAGCTCCTTGAGCTGATCCGCTTCTCGTTCAGTCTAGTTTCTTAAAACTCTGTCACTAGCAAGTGAGGGCTACAGCTTAAGGCCTCACACAAGTAGCCCCCCCCCCAATTCAGCTCTGCAAAAAGAGGTACAGGATCAGGCTGGGTGCTGTGCAAGCGTTAAGCTTGCCGAATCAAAGGCAAGCACTTTACAACGCAGTTCTGCAGCACCACTGCAAGGAAACTACCAGTTTAACCCAACTCTACAGGGTTGCGGTATGTAGCTACCTCATTTTATCCTCTCGTTATCAAATTAGAAGATACACAGTCACCCAGTTTGGATGATCATTCCAGGCTTCATAAACTAGAATCTTGGTGCCAAAGGTGGCAGAAAACGGGAGAAAAGGGAGGAGCACTTGGCTCACACTCTCAGCTTCAGAAACCATGGTTTGCGAAACCTTAGATAATTGTCTGAATCAGGCCATCGGCTCAGTTCGGAATCCCTTACAGATGACAGCAATGCCTGGAGGCAAACGGTCAGGTCTGTGTATCCACAGCAGTGACCTTAGGAGAAACAACCGCTGGGAGGAGCACAGAGAAGAAATGACATGGTGCATCTGCAGTAGCACAACTGGGCGGCGTCTCCTGCCCCAGCTGCAACAAAACATGTCTCTCCTGCATTGGTCTCTACGGCCGCGACAGGCGCTGCAGCCTTCCAGCAGCTTGACCTCCCCACCATAGGTCTCATTGTCTCCCGAGACAGATGGATGCCAGCAAGAAGAATCCTGCATACACACATAATGGAAGTGATTGATTCAGCTAAATATAGGAGTCCCCTTGAAAACCAATTATACCTTAGAACTCCATATGACTTCTGTTCAGGGGCAGCTTCTAACGGCACCCACATCTATGGGAAATCAGAACACACCCACCCTTCAGCCAAGGGGCCTCTGGGCCAAATTCTCTCCAGTGCCAGGGAAAGCTCTTTCCCATCTTCTCGTTCCCATCCTGGGCACACCTTCCACTCCCTGGGGACTGGAGCTTCTCCACCCTTAACCCCAAACCACACATGCGGCTGTGTGGTGCATTGTGGGAAGGCTGTCCCTGCTCTCATACGTATGCAAGAACACACGGAGCCAAGAGTCAAGAGCCAAACTTAGACACAACTTAAACCCACCCTTCTTCAAAACCATTTGGGGAGCGGGGAGTGACAAGGACCCATAGTGTACCCATCTCCCCCTATGGCTAAGGGCTGTGGCTCCCCCTATGGCTAAGGGCTGTGACAGAGCACATGCTTTCACCTCAAAAAAGGCCCCAGGTTCTGTCCATGGCACCTCAGATAGGGCTGGGAGAGACCCCTGCCTGAAACCCCCAGCCACTTCATGTAGGCAACACTGAGCTGCTCCTTAGCGGCCTGACTCATGGTAAGTCAGGTTCATATTTTCCATATGGGGGGAATTTCCATCGGAGAAATACAATAACACACACGCTACCTGTGCCTAAGACCAAATTGCACCCCATGCAGCAGCTTTTAATCACATCTAGTTTGCCCCCAGCAACCCAAAAAAAGACCCCTGACTCACACAACTCCTGAGCACTTATGCTCACCAAATCCCCGGGTACGCATCTGCAAACGCACGACTTCCCTGCCTCACACAAGCCCTATGCCACCCACACCATTCTCTCGCATTATGTGGCAGCGAGCACTGAACCCTAACTGGCCAGAAAGGCAGACACTCTGCACATGCTCAGAAGAACTCATATAGTAATATTCTTAGCATTTCCCCTCGACTAATACTCTATGAGCTGGTTAATGATATACACTTCTAGTCAATTTAGATAATAACAAGTGACTAAAATTTTTCCTATAGGTAAAAGCAACAGTATTGAGGGAAAACCCCACTACAGTATCATTGTTTTGATTTTTCCAGTTAACTTGTGCGTGAGTCATGACAACCATCTCAAAAGAATAGGCACGCCCACCTTGTGGGTGTGAGAGAAGGTGGCAGTTCCTTCCAGTAATTAGCTTGCTACTTGTATTTTTTTATACGTACTTTTATTTTCTTTTTACTGGTGTGTTACATTCCTATCCGGCCTTTCTTCCAAGGCACTCAAGCAGTGCACAGAGCACATCCCCATGTTATCCTTGCCTTGCACAACAGCCCTGCAAAGTTGGTTAGGCCGAGAGAGAGCGAGAGAGCAACTACTACTAGCCCAAGATCGGCCAGTGAGCTTTGTAGCCAACTGGGGATTTGAATCCAGTATTCCCAGTAAGACATTTTCACTACTAATTCACAGCGACTCTTGTGTCAAAAACAGTCAGTTCGTTGTAAAATCCGAATCCTAATTTAATCAGGGATGCGCATGCTTTTTTAAAAAAGCTGATTAATATACTGTATAATGAAGTGGAAACCCTTTACACATTTGCCTGTATATTTATGATTTACTAATTATATTTCTATACCACCTTTATCTTCCAAGGAGCTCAGTGTGGTGTAAATGGTTCTCCTCCCTCACACTTCATCCTTACAACAACCCTGGGAGGTAGGTTAGCCTGAGAGACGGAGAGTGGCCCAAGGTCACCCAATGTGAAGATTTGAACCCTGGTCTCTCCCAGCTCTCAGAATGACACTCTTAACTGTTAATTTACTGCTGCACTTGGTAAAAGTGATTTACAGGCATTGCAGCCCAAATTATTCACAAGTTTTGGGACTGAAGATCAAGGAGGTGTCCCAGCAGCCCAAGATCACATGCACACTATGTGTATAAACATCCCTAATCCTTGTCTCCGTTTACCTTTGGAGCCTAGGGACCCTTTCCGCACCCATGCCAGCTCCTTCTGGCCACATCTACTCAATGCCACTTTCAGCATCGGCGTAGCCAGGATTTTTGTTGGGAGGGCAGAACCTCAGTTAGCTATGTATTTTTATTTATTTTTTATTGATTGGGAGCTAGCTGCCCCCCCCTTATACCCCGGCCACCTTGCAAACTCCCCGCCCCGCCCAGAATTCTCTATTTGTTTTATTCTATATATGGCACCGAGCGGCCACGTCTGACAGCTGCGTGACAGGCAGCAGCCCAACAGGTGATGCGCAGCGGTGGGAGGTGGAGGAAGAAGCTCATCAGCGAAGGAATGCTTCGTCTGTTGTTCAGCTGCTATTCCCGCCACATGGGTGCTGGGCGGACCTTCTCCTGCCCACCTTAAGCCGTCTCCCCTCCAAACCGCCGCCACGCTTCTCCACCCCCCTCCCAGAGAAGAGGGGGGGTCGATTTTCCCCTCGCCCCCACTTCTCTGTCCCGGGGAGTTCCCGATCCGCTCCCCATGTCTCCTTCGCCCCCTTCCCTGTCCTGCCTTCTGGGAAGCCCCCGATGCTTCGTCTTGGGGTTTGATCCCCCTAACCCAATTCATTCCGCCCCCAATCTCGCTTCCTTGCAAGCGGGAGGGTCCCCTTCCTCGCCGCTCCTGCCCAGACCTACCAGCACTTCGGGGTACGATCCTGACGCGTCCGTTCCGTCGTGACACCTGGAGAACAGGCGAGGGAGCTCGGAGCCTTGCAAGCGTGGCCACGTTGCATCAGCCAAGCTCCCCCCGCGTCCAGAGGCGGGCAAAAAAGCCTTCCGACCCCGCCCAGCACCTCGGCGCCGCCTCTCGGGTACTGCCGCTTTCGAAACCGCGCTCTTTTCGCAATGGAGGCCGCGAAAGATGGAAGATCTCTCTCCGCAACCCCGCGCCTCTTTCACACATGCACGCACACACGTGTCACGCGGCAACGGCAGAGGAATGAGCACATGCCGTACGACGTTCATCCTGGGTAATGTTTGGGCATAAGAACACCCGCAGGAGGAAGGAGCACTCCGTGACGTCCAGGGAGTGGACTACAATTCTTATCATGCCGGTAGGGCCTGATGGGAGTCCTGTAACATTTGTATACGTGCTGTGCCGCCCTTTTTCTCCGGTAAAGGAAGAGGAAACGGCAAGAAAGAAGGGGAAATCAGGATAAAAGGCGCGGGGGTGGGGTGGGGAGGAAGACAGGAAGGGAGAAAACATGAAAGAAAAGAGAAGTAAATTGATGTGCTGCAAAGAATGGCAGAATAAGAGAAGATATGTGCACGCGCATATATGCTGGTTTTTACGTGCACACACGGTTATGAAGATTGAAAGGAAAAGATTCCCCTTTATTTTCATCCTTTCTCATCTGTTTCTTTCAAAGGAGCAGCATGGCTCCTCAGAAAACTCTGTAAGTTGCACAAAAACTTTGTTCCTGCTGCACAGATGTGTCCAGCTGATGATTCGTTGTTTTGACATTCTGCCCTTCCTCCGATTAGGAGCTCGTGACAGCTAGCGGTATTAAAAAACAACAGAACACACAGTAATAAAAACATACTTTAAAATCATAATCAGCTTCAGCAGCAGCAATGGCCATAATACCAGCTCTGAAAAAAACTATTTTCAGTATGAACCAAAAGCAGTAAATAGAAGTGTAGGTATTCTGTTTCTACTATGGAGGGCAGTCAAATAATGAGGGAGTTCCACAGGTGGTGTGGTGGTGGGGGCACCACCAAGAATGACCTGCTTTGTGTAAATGTCCTCTTAGATGTTGGATGTTGTCTCCTGGGTGGGACAAGAAGTAGGACTTCCTCTACCCTAAACAGAGCTCCTTGGGTTCCCGGTCATTTAGGGCTTTATATGCAGGTCCCTGCTCCTGCCAACCTAGCAGTTCGAAAGCACGTCAAAGTGCGAGTAGATAAATAGGTACCACTCCGGTGGGAAGGTAAACGGCGTTTCCGTGCACTGCTTTGGTTCGCCAGAAGCGGCTTAGTCATGCTGGCCACATGACCTGGAAGTTATACGCCGGCTCCCTCGGCCAGTAAAGCGAGATGAGCGCTGCAACCCCAGAGTCGGTCATGACTGGACCTAATGGTTAGGGGTCCCTTTACCTTATATGCTAACAGCAAAACCTTGAATTGTTAGTTCACTAGCAAATACGTAGTGCAGAGCTTTAAGAATCAAGTGAAATGATCCATACTTGCTGTTCCAGACCACCTTCCAGAGTTGCCCACATATGTTAATGCTGTTACACTGCTCTGGGATTTCTTGATTCAAAATCACGTTGAGTTGTATCCAAACATATCCAGAAACTTGAGATTAATTTCCAGAAAGCTGCTTCTTCATCCCGGGAACCATCATGCAAAATTGGATTACTGTATCTTAAGAGTTGTCCAAATGCATAGGAAACAGACAAAACATCTTTTTCCAAAAATTATTTATTTATATCATATTTTATCTATTTATTACACAGTATATTTTTTCATTACAGTTGTATTCCCACCTTTCTTCCAAGGAGCTCAAGGTGGAATGCATGGTTCCTCTCTTCCCATTTTACCTCCCTGTGTCATAGGGGAGTCGGTAGCCATATATGTTTGTTTCTTTTTTCTGTGAACATAATGTAATAATTGCATTTCTTTAAAATTAAAAAGAAAAATGACGGCGGATGCCAAATCCAGTTATTAACATCCCGCATAATGAAACAGATAAGAAATGAGCGAGTTCCTTGTGGGCATTAAGCTCTGTACAGGTTGGACAGGTTTCTACACAAAGATATTCCAAGCCAGGTATTTAAGGCTATCCATAGTGGGAATGTGGCTGGACTTGCTGGTTAACTCTTTTTTTCCCCTTTTTTTTTTGAAATATTTTTTTAGTTTTCCAAAAATAGCAAAAATAAAACAACAGCAATACAAATTCAAAACCAAATAGAAGAAATTGACTTCCCCCTAGTCCCTTCCTTGGTTCCATTATTTATCAGCATTCCACATGTCCATTGTAAATTTAAAAACCATTAAAATTACTTATTGTCCATTCATAATAAAATTACAAGTAGTCCTAGAACCCTGCTAATGTATTAACTTGTGTACATTGCTTCTGTATATATGCAATAAAGTCCTTCCAATCTTCTTTAAATTCATCGTCGTCTCTTCCTCTTAGTTTCATTGTCAATTTTGCCATTTCAGCATATTCCAATAATTTAACTTGCCAATCTTCTTTGGCTGGGACACCTTCTTCTTCCCAATGTTGTGCTAGTAGTATTTGTGCGGCCGTAGTTGCATACATAAATAAGTTCTTTTGTAATCTTGGTAGGTCCACTCCTGTAATACCTACTAGGAAAGCTTCTGGTTTTTTTTAAACAAAGGTTATTTTAAACATCTTCATTTCATTATAAATCATTTCCCAATAATTCTTTTACAATCCCACCACATGTGAAAAAATGTCCCTTCTGTTGTTTTACATTTTCAACACTTGCTTTCTTTAGCTTTGTACATTTTTGCTAATTTGACTGGAGTTAGATACCACCTATACATCATTTTCATATAATTTTCTTTAATCGCCACACATGCTGTAAATTTTATCTCACTCTTCCATAGTTTTTCGCATTCCTCCATCTGGATATTGTGTCCCACATCTTGTGCCCATGCCTTGCTGGTTAACTCAGTTGGTTAGAGCATGGTGCTGATAATGCCACCGTCACAGGTATGATCCAGGTATGGGTGCATGTTTCTGCATTGCAGGGGGTTGGACTAGATGACCCATGGGGTCCCTTCCAACTCTATGATTCTAACATTGCAACCTGTAGTTTAGGCTGGCTAGTTTACGCTTGGCAGGGATTAAAATTTAGCCCATGAGGCCATGCCACACAAACCACAGACACAATTAAAATGCATCTTGTACCTTTGAACACAATGTTGGTAAGCTGGGAACCATAATAAGCAGTAGGCACTAGGGCCAATTTATGGACTGGGCATTCTGGCAAGCTAATGTTGGTTGGAGATATATGCATAATGTATTTGTTATTTATATAGAATGCTTTTAAAACATGTAGCAAAATTCTGTTCTTTCCGTTTCTTAAAAAACTTGGTATAATAAAGCCGTGCGGTTTCACTACCAATAAGGTAAAAACAGTTTTGCTATCAATAAGCTTGATGTGAAGCCAATACGTCCTTTGCAGCTCCCTGGCAACCAGAACAAAACATTCGTGTTTGTTTGTGCGAGAGGGATTCCCCTTACAGAGGGGGTAAGAAGCAGGTTAGGTCTAGCAGATAAGCAACCTGGACTCTGCTACCCACTTTGAAACTACGGTACATTCACAAATGTTCCCTTGCAGTGAAGAAGAACAAATACACTGCAAGCCTGGATTTTGGCAAAGAAGAATGTTGCTTTCAAAATCCTGTGGGTTTCTGGATTCTGTGGGATAGGACTGTGCTTCTAAAAGGCAGCTCTGTCCTAAGGAACAATTGCAGAGAAGCCAACTCGGAGAAGGCAGCCACAATGGCAAAGGAGGATTGCAATTGCAGAATTGCAGTTTGTAAGACTGCAGGAAAAACATCTTTTCTCAAGCCTCACCTTGTTTCTATTTTTGCTTGTTATGTGGATCCCTAGCCAGGATCCTTTGCATGTGTAAGTATCCCTCCATCCCTGCTTTGTGCGTGGATCAGGGGTGCCGACTTGGGCCCCAATTTATGGGTGCCCAGCAGCATGCATGCCGTGATGTCATGACGTCATGTTACATTGCATGCTGCAGCAGTGCTTGGAAACCCCAGAAGTCGTGTCCAGGGCCCCGCGGTAAGGGTGCCAAGCACCCACAACAATTTTTTGTGGGTGCCCGAGCCCCCAGGAGTTGGTGCCGGTGGTGTGGATTAGGATTAGGGCCAGCCCAATATATTTTGGCTCCTGAGACAAACCACAAAATGGTGCTTCCTCCAGCAGGAAAGAAGGGGTGAGTGAAGATCTGCATTGGGAACGGGGGAATAAAGAGCTGCACTGGGAACAAGGGTGGGAGGAGACCAGCAGTGATTCCTGTTTGCCAAGAGACCACTGTAGAGGTGGCATGGAATGGATGCCAAGGAGGCAGCAGATCTGGACCATAAGCCAGTGTGGTGTAGTGGTTAAGAGCTGTGGACTCGTAATCTGGTGAACCGGGTTTGCGTCTCCGCTGCTCCACATGCAGCTGCTGGGTGACCTTGGGCCAGTCACACTTCTCTGAAGCCTCTCAGTCTCACTCACCTCACAGAGTGTTTGTTGTGGGGGAGGAAGGGAAAGGAGATTGTTAGCTGCTTTGAGACTCCTTCGGGTAGTGATAATACGGGATATCAAATCCAGACTCCTCCTCCTCCTCTTCTTCTTCTTTGCAGCATGGCACAACTATAATTGCCACCGTGGCAGCAGTAGCAGGTGATGCATTTCTTGGAGGCCAGATCTGCTGCCCCAGGTGGTCGCCTCACTTTGCCTCATGGATGGCCCAGCTCGGATTAGGGTTAGAATAACTATTCAAAATGTGATGCTTCCTCATGTTTATTTGAGCTCTGGAGACTTATTTCTGTCAGATGGTGTGGTATCTTCAGTACATCTATATGGAAAATAAAATATTTCCCCACAGCAAAGAAGTCTGTGTCCTTTGCCTGTCCTCTCGCACCTCACCACTTAAAGTTGACGAGTTAAATTTTCAGTGAGGCCTACTTGCCAAAGCTTTCATATCACCTTACCTGTCTCTATCAGTTCTGCAACGTGGAATAGTCAAACTGGCTGCACTCATAAAACTTAATATGGTCTTTTGAAAGCAGCTTGTTCTGTTCATCCTAAATATTTAACAGTGCCTCAGCAGGCATCATTAATTGGTTTTGCTTTGTAGCTTGCTCTGTTCAACTAAACACCGTCCTCCAAAATTTTAACACCTTTCTACGGGACCACCACATAAGAAGTTAAGTTCCTTGGGCTGCAAACACAAATTAACTTTAAAAAGCACATTCCAATCACA